TCAGCAGCGCACCGGCTCTGCCGTGAGAACGATCTTAGAAAAACGACAGAAAAACCAAAGCGCAGGGATTTCAGAGCGGGGAATGTTTCATCAGCGCCGCCGGGGTCACAGACAGGTCATCAGACAGGAGGAAACTATTACGCCAACGCTTTACGGGCTCTTGCTCAAGAGCTTCTGAAGTGAAACCTTTAGGACAAGCAGAGGCATAACAAGTTGTCAGAGGGCTAGACGCAGCACGTATTTCCATTCAACCTCTCTGAATCACACAGAGAAAAACTCCTGCTCTTAGTAAACAAAGCTCCGTAATCAAGTTATTATAGATCCGATCAGAGGGCTGGAACATAGCTCAGCAGTAGGTCAAAATCAAAAATACTACAAGGCTGTGTGGGTGTGTTGGGAGTATTTTCAGATGTCACTTCACTACCACTCCCGATTAATCCGCTTTGGTCATTTTAAAACAGACAAAACTATATCCAGGCTTAATATAGGTGTCATAAAAATATGAACTCCCGCTCACTTTTGAGTCAAAAAGTAACCAGCCATTAAAATTACATACAGGCGTCCTGACTTTCTTTGGGTTCATTTAAAAAAGGATAAACACATAATTACAATGCATAAAAAGAGAGGGCTGGGGTAAGAAATCAATCAATTTAGACTTAGACTTGTGAGTGTGTGTTTATGTTTTTTTTTAACCCACTGAGATCCCTCCTCCACCCAGTAATGTTGGACCCATCACACGACCTGAACCCACTCCATCAATGAGCATTTTTAAAAGTTGGGGAGCCCTCTGGCCTAAAATATGAGTGTCACCAGAGATTATCAGACTTCTGCTCCTCTTGTTTTCTTAGCTAGCTTACTCATTAAAATACCACTTGACAACAGCTTACAAAACAGGAGGCAACACAGAAAAGGGTCCCGGTGTCAGTTCGAACATGGGAACGGCAAACGAGGTGGGTCACGGTCAGTGTGAGAGGCGGGAGAAGAAGGGACACGGACATGAAAGGTGCCGTGACCCCGCCGGATACGTGGGCGCCCGGGGGCGAGCCTGCCTTCACGAGCCCGCTTCACGAGCCTGCTCCACGACCGTTAACTTAGCACAGTTAGCTTAGCTCAGCAGTCTGGCGCAGCTCAGAAAACGGGTCCAACTCTGCCCAAAGTCAGACTACCCCCCTCCCACACACCGGACAGCTTCACTAGCGTTTAGCCACGTCAGCTAGCATAACGAGAACATTCCTCCATCCGCCTATGGTAGCAGCAATATGCATTTAAAATGCGCAAAGTGTGCAGTTATAACTGGGGAAAATGTCGCAGGGCTTCCTACCTGTCAATGCAGTGGCTCTCGTGCACAGTCCACCGTGGGTTTGAATTGAAAGTGTTTGATATCGCGTTGCTAGACGTCAAGTCCAACTGCACCACAGTGATGTCAAGCAGGGGAGCAAAATAAAGCTCAGCTGTCCTACTGTACAGAGCACGGTGCGGCGCTGACAGCCGCCCGTAAATAACGTTTTGTCGACATCTGCAGGAAAACACAACACACGACGGAGAAATTACTGAAGGTTTCCCCAACTAAAACATTTGACAGCCCAGGGCTAACTAACTTAAGAACACCAAACTGACTCTGCTTAGAGGCGTTTAACAAGATTGTTCCTCGTTTGGCGGGAAATACATTTTTTTTTAAATATCTTAATTTATTCTCTAGATACTGTAATACTGATTTTTTAAAATAATTTGAGATATTCATATCTACTTTCATAAGTTATTCCTTAACATCATCATCACTGGACTATTAAATGCTGACAAGTTAATAGACTTTTTTTTAAATAAAAACGTGCAGAATTGTTTATTACAAAACTTTATTTAAAATTTGTACAATTTTATGTCACATAACAGTGCCCATTGAAAATCAAACTGCCCAGATTGAAGTCTGGAGCTAGCTGTGACAGAATACTGCCTTCATATTAAAAGTTGAATACATGCAACAAAATGATGGTAAACATTTGTGTTCTTCAAAACTGTTGTGACAATGTGAAGTATCCAACAGGTTAATAACACATTCTTGATGAAGTCTGCATCATTTTCCCTACGACAATCCAGTTCCAAAACTGATGTCAGAGGGCAATCCAATGCACCCTGCCCCCCGAAAACAAAGCAACCCCGGCCTCCTGCTTAAAGACAAAAGAGGAAATTGGGGAGCTAATTTTCTATGACTGGAACAGTGAGTAGTGTCATTTTACCATGGTAACCATACCAAGTAGACCTGGCAAGCTGCCGAACAAAAGCCCCATCAAAGAGAACTCTTTTAGCGTGTAATAACAGACATTAACAGTGCTCGTCTTGCTGCGAGCCGCCCTGGTCAGGACTTAATTAAGGACATCTAGGCTGTTTGGAATGAGCCTACAAGGTTGCTGGGACCTCAGCACATGGCATCAACAAAGACTACTGTGCAAGTGGACACTGCATGGCTAATAACCATCTCCATAGAAACCATACCAAAATGAGAGCAAAATCATGAAATGCAGACAGACCTAGAGCATTCGTCAAAAAATAAAATAAAATAGAATCTATAAATAGAATTCTTAAATATTTTGTGGTCCTTCCACAGTCATAATGCAGAAATTTTATCAGGTTTTCAGACTACATTTATTTTACCATCTTCTACTATGTAATAACAGGGGAATAAAACATTATGCAGCTTTCCAAAAAAAAAAAAAAAAGGCCCTGCAGTCATGTTGCCAAACAACAGACAAAGGCATTGCTGTGTGACCAACTGCAAGTAATCCCGAATGTATCTCAACTGGTACTGCCACTGTCTGACAGGGCTTGTGGTAACAACAATGCTGCCTTGTGACATGAGTAAAGGATCAAGCAAATACCACATCTAGAGTGAAGTGACAAAGGCCATCAGCTGGTAAAAAACTAAACAAAAAAAAACCCAGAAATGTGCAGACCCATTCTAAGCCAGTCCGACTGAGCATCTAGCTTCAGGCACAAATTAAGAGGGCCATGTGAGAACAGCTATGTCCTGTTCAGAGGCTCATCAGACTGTGTCTCACTATGCTCAGTTTAATCAGAAAACATCCTGATATAAAAGGGAGTTTTAAATCAAAACTTGTTTTTAATTTGATCTCAGGCAGTTTTTGGTCAGGTCTTTTTTTGTCGTCACTTGTGTCGTGGTGAACAGTAGAGCAGAAATTCAGCTGGGTAGTCCACGGAGGTAGCAGATGATGGTGGTTGGAGAATTCAAGGCAAAGCGTCACCAGTCAGCTGAATGACAATACTTCCACTGGTTTCTGACTGGATGAGCAGCAGGCCTGTGTGTCTGCCTGCTGTACCTGGCTTGAACTTGACTGGTAACTTCAGATAGTGCTGTGATCTAACAGATGAGTAAGAGAAATAACAGTTACAAGACAAATTGTAAGCATTTTATAGAATGGATAAAAAGACATGCATAAGCACAAATCCACATGCTTTCCCCTTTAGATAGTCACAAAAGTGTAGTATTGCACTCTTAAAAAAACAAGATTGCAATACTCCAGCTCTCATGCACACTAAATGTCACGCACTAGCATGAATGTCATTTAGAGAAATGATGGGTAATTACATCAATTTCATGTGGATGTGATCAAAACTAGTGTAAAATACAGGAATCCATTTACTATTCTACCAATTTCAAATACTACTTGACATTTATTGTGCGTATGATGTACATATAAAAAGTTTGAATATTAATGACAACTTGTTGAGTCTAAACAAAGTATACACTGAAGGTTTTTACCTTCATAAATGTATGAAACTGTGCCTGAAATGGATACTTTCTAATAATTTTTTATTGCACTTACTTTAACAGCAATTTTTATTTATTTTATTTTAGCATGTCAGCTACTCCTGTAGCTACTTTACTACCTGTAGTTGACATGCTAGGAAAACATGTCCACAGTGGTTTCACACAGTCTCTAATGCATAGTTGGGATGGGTTCAGGGTGTGCAATGCTTATATTTGTGGAATAAGTCACAAAAAATATTTTTTTTCTATTATTGATTCCTTATGTATTCAGTTTAACTGTACAGAATTCTTCCAATCAAAAAGACATGCACATACTGAACACAGTCCCTCTTTAGCACAATACAGAGCAGGTACCTGTGGCCGACCGCCTCCCCAAAGCTTTAGCTATGCAAAACATCACAACTCCTTTAGGCGTACTGTGCATAGTCATTACCCTCCAGGTCTCAGCATCCCAAAAGATGTCCCACAGAGAGCAATCGAAATGACAACAACACGTTACTCATGTCTGTATTAACCGTGTTATTTTGCATGGTTTTCAAAACATCCATCCATCCATCCATTCTCCACCGCTTATCCGGGGTCGGGTCGAGGGGGCAGCAGCCGAAGCAGGGAAACCCAGACTTCCCTCTCCCCGGCCACTTCAGCCGGCTCCTCCGGGGGGATCCCGAGGCGTTCCCAGACAGGCCAGACATAAAGTGCCTCCAGCGGGTCCTGGGTCTTCCTCTGGGCCTTCTCCCGGTGGGACGAGCCCGGAACACCTCCCCAGGGAGGCGACCAGGAGGCATCCTGAACAGATGCCCAAGCCACCTCAACTGGCTCCTCTCCACGTGAAGGAGCAGCGGCTCTACTCTGAGCCCCTCCCGGATGGCAGAGGTTCACACCCTATCTCTAAGGGAGAGCCCAGCCACCCTGCGGAGGAAACTCATTTTGGCCGCTTGTATCCGTGATCCCGTTCTTTCAGTCAATACCCAAAGTTTGTGGCCATAGATGAGGGTGGGAACGTAGATCAACTGATAAATCAAGAGCTTCGCCTTTAAGCTCAACTCTCTCTTCATCATGACAGACCGGTACAGCGCCCGCATTACTGCAGACGCCGCACCGATCCGCCTGTCGATCTCACGCTCTCTACCCCCATTCGCGAACAAGACGAGGTACGTGAACTCCTCAACTTGGGGAAGGACGTCCCCCCTGACCTGGAGAAGGCACTCTACCCTTTTCCAGTGATAGACCATGGTCTCAGACTTGGATCCTCACTGATCCTTATCCCAGCTGCTTCGCACTCGGCTGTGAACTGCTCCAGCGAGAGCTGTAGATCACGACTTGATGAAGCCAACAGGACCACATCATCTGCGAAAAGCAGAGATGCAATCCTAAGGCCACCAAGACGGACACCCTGAACACCTCGGCTGGACCTAGAATCCTGTCCATAAAAGTTATGAACAGAACTGGAGACAAAGGGCAACCTTGGCAGAGTCCGGAAATGGGTCTGACTTACTACCGGCAATGCGAACCAAGCTCTGACTCCGGTAGTACAGGGACCTAACAGCCCGTAACAAAGGGCCCAGTACCCCATACTCCCGATGCATTCCCCACAGGATTCCCAGAGGGACATGGACAAGTGCCTTCTCCAAGTCAACAAAACACATGTGGATTGGTTGGGCGAACTCGCATGCACCCTCCAGGATCTTGCTGAGGGTATAGAGCTGGTCCAGAATTCCACGGCCAGGAAAAACCACACTGCTCCTCCTGAATCCGAGGTTCAACTATCCGACGGACCCTCCTCTCCAGAACTGCCAAATAGACATTCCCAGGGAGGCTTAAGGGTGTGACCCCCCTGTAGTTGGAACACACCCTTCGGCTCCCCTTTTTAAATAGGGGGACCACCACCCCAGTCTTCCAATCCAGCGGAACTGCCCCTGATGTCCACGCGATGTTGCAGAGTCGCGTTAGCCAACGCAGCCCCACAACATCCAGAGCCCTAAGGAACTCCGGACGAATTTCATCCTGTAAACAGTGTTGGTAGAGCACTGCTTCCCCCTGAGACATCAGTTGGTGGACCAGAATCGCCTTAAAGCCATAAGGAAGTCTTTTTGCATAGCCTCCCCAAACTCCTCCCATGCCCAAGTTTTTGCCTCGGCAACCACCCGAGCTTCATGCCGCTTGGACTGCCGATACCCATCAGCTGCCTCTGGAGTCTCACAGGACAAAAAGGCCCGATAGGACTCCTTTTGCAAAACATATTAAAGATATATAAAAACTGTACAATGTAGTAAAACAGATGCTGGCATAAATTGTTGAGGTCACGACTCGTTGGTAATCATGGAATTAATTAATTGTCAGAGTTACAGTAGAAGAGTAAACTGAAGCATCTCTGTAAGGGATAACCATGACTCACCTCAGGGAATATTTGGAATGCTTGATGCTGAAGGGCTCCCTAGGTTTTACAAATGTCAGCTGCAATTCAATTAGAGAAGCCACACGTCAAATATTAAATCCATGCAAAGCACAGTGAGAAATGCTGGGCATTAATAAAACGCAATGATCTTTCAGTGTACAGACATCCAGTTAGTCAGTCAGTTTTCTCCATCAGCACAGAGGTTACAGTAAAAATATGGCAACCTCATCTGAACTGTCAAACGTTAGGTCTGAACTCAATGACAATCAAATTCATACATGTAAAGATCTTATTTACAGAATTTTAAATCGTACAACTTCCTTTCCTTCATAAGCTCATTGCACAATAAACTTTTGATTATTTTCTTCATGCTGCAGGAAACAGTAGAGACAACTCTCTTTCAGACATCTAATTGAGAATAGAGAACGTCTCACCTCATGCGTGTCGGATGAGTTGTTGCGGATGTTGACCTTCAGAGTGCTGAGCTCACCAACTTGTGTGTCAGGAAAAGAGTAGAGATCCTGTGGAGAATAAACACCTCTCTGCACGGCCTCCTCCTGGCTGACAGTTGTAAATAGTTCCGGTTAGGAAAATAACTTAAGTGAGAACCTATCTGATCATGTGCATGTTTGCACTGAGGTGGCCCCACCTTGTTTTGCTTGCAGTGGCATCAGGTCGCTTTCTGCTCTTTACTGTTGCTTCAGTCTTCACCAGAGAACAGTCTCCATTTTGTGGTCCTTCAAATGTTCCTGACTTGGTTCCCTTGAGAAACATGAAGAAGATACTTCTTTACAGTGTTTTCTAAAGTATCAATATCGTTTTACATCCTCAGAGCGTATAGTGCAACATTAACAGCTAAGAGAAATGTATGATTTCCCTTTTTCTTTTCTTTTTTAAATATATATTTTACATGCATATATACACGCGCATTACTTAACCCATCTACAATGAAAATGTGTGAACATAAGTTAAGTAATGTTTAGCATTCTGACTAAACATTTACTTAGCACCACATGATTTAGGGGGTGTCAAACGCCACACTACCAATACAGCAATGCTCTTTGATTCAATCATGTGAATAAATATAGTTTATAGTCAAATTTTTGTGGAATAACTAGATACTTCAAAGAAAAAATAACTTTATAATAGTTGAATCAAAGCTTTTACAAGCTGTATTCTAGATAATTGTAACCCTCTTCTGAAACTCCATTCGAAAGAACTGTGTAAAGGCATTTTAAAACTTAAAACACTATGGATGTGGCTAACTAATGGGTATAACATGTGTATTAGCAATAGACTTTGAATTAAAATATGTGTCTTATCTCCTAGTAGAAAAACAAAAATAAAACAATTTTGCTACAGCTCTTTTGAGTTGTACCAAAAGACACTGAGTAAATTGTGTTAAGGTTAATTTTGTTTATAACAAAAGGTAGATTTGTTTTGCAGTGGTACAAACCATACATTTCCATGCAGACACACACAGTCAAAAGTGAAAAACACATTAACATAACCAGACACTCACATATAATAGTGCTTAATTGTGCTAAAGGTTTCCGAATTCAAGTTCAAATCGGGACACAAAAGAGGAAAATAAAACTGAAAAATCTAACTAATTTAAATAGCCTGTTGAAACAAAATATTAATTAAATCAATTATATGACATCCGCACACACTCCACTGAGTGCATCAATGTCCCTGCAGTCTCTTCATTTCAGTAACAGCAATAGAACCAAAACTGTTTTGAAGCATCCCATCCTATATTTACAGACTAAAAATCTCAGTCTGGAGGGAATGAGCTGAAGGCCCCTGTAAAGGGGGTGAAAAAACGTCTTTAAAACAGAAGAGGCAGGGATGCACCTGATTGTTGTCTCTCTCCAATCAGTCTAGACGACAGTTTAACAATCTTTTCGTTTAATGTTGCTTGACCAAACGATGGTCAAGCAACAATTTTTAAATTGATTGCTTTATGTAGTGTTTTTTGTTTAAGTTTGTTTACAGTACAAGTTGGGCTCTATACATATAGTAAAAAACTGTGCTGCCAGCTGTTTAGATTATTATTAATGTCATTGAATTTCCCTTGCTGCAACTATCCTATTGCCTATTATTAATAAGTTACTTTAAAAATGCATAAATATAATCATAACAACAACAGTAATCAAGTCCTTACAGAGCCACAGAGCTGGAAACGGATTCTAGTTTTCTGCTGGGGTTCAGTAACAGGGTGGCATTCCAAGTCCCAGAACTGGACATAGTCCCCCCTGTCTCTGGGCATGAATGTAACAGGAACCTGGTAAATGAGGAGAAACAATCTTAATATGCTCACAATAAGAAATGTATAGAAATTAATGCAATCTATTTATTTTTCAGGCATGGATTAGCCTAACAACTATTAATAGAAACTGAAGCCTCAAGCAACTCCTCACTTAAAATTTCTACTAAGTAAAAATGCGATTAAAGGATCATCCATCCATTCATTTGCTGTACTACTTATTTGTACAAGGGTCGCAGGAAGTTGGTGCATATTCCAGTTGGTAAGAGGCATTATACACCCTGGACAAATCACCACTCTATCACAAGGCTACACAGAGACAGGCAACCACACACTTACATTCCTGCCTATAAGCAGTTTAGAATAATTAAAGGATCTTTGTAATTGTACGTTACTTTATAACTAGATGAAATATCTGGTTAGTTTAAAGTAAATGCCTACCTGCATCTTCTCATGAGCTCCTAGGGTTCCTGAGACTTTGGAACACCTAAAAGCAGTGTAAGTGGCCCGATAAACATCTTCTGTTTCATCAACCCCCTGAGAAGACAAAATATATCAAAATAGTATTAAAACTGTCTGGGACTCTAAACAGGCCTGTCAAGATTAAGCTCCAGTTATTTCTTTCTACATGCAATACTTGTCTGAGCTAAAAAATAAAAAAAAAGCATTTTGGAGATATTTTACTTGTTGCAGATTTTGCAAACAATGTAAGCTAAAAACAATTTATGCTAATTCACATGCCTCCGTCAAAAAGAGACCTCCTCCAAATCGCTCTACTCCTCTCTTAACTTTGTGGTTGTCTTAGAATAGAAATGTGTGGAATAACAGAAACAGACAGAGACAAACACAACTAACTATTACTTAAAAAATAATCAAATAAAAACAATCCCCATTTTCCTCTCTTTTTTCAATTTATTCTTACTTGTGTTCCACTGAAGTTGCAAGTTTAGCAGCAGTACTTTTACACAGCACCGTAATAAATACCTTATATCATATATTGACAGAAAGCACACATTCTCAACTCTCTGTTGGCATTAGAATGTTTCAGATTGAGCCAACTTTGACAGTTACATTAATAATACTCGAGATGTGTGATCATTACGCCAGTTTTGTGGGTGAATGTAAAAGTATAAGATGTTTGGATAATTGTCTTGTTAGAAAACAGTTCACAATATCTAAACCCAACAAAGGATCAATAAGATAATATATACTTTTTAAACAACTTCTATTGGATTCAAATCAGCTGCAATTCAATGTGAATCTGGAACACAAAGGATCACATTGCCATTGACAGAAATCTGTGGATGATTTTGGAGATCATTTTCTACATTAGGAAAATTATATCATTAAAGTTGGGACATTGTTTGAAGGTGCAAAGCCAATTAACAAGTTTGCTGTGTCCAGTGACAACACCCGTTTTTTCCTTTTTGTCTGTTTTTACAACCGATCAAATAAAATTGTATTTTCTCAACTGCCTTCTGGCAGCACACTTAAAACCTGTAAGGAAGCTCCTAATATCATTGTAAAGATAAAATACAGTTTCCTTTTTCTAGATTGTTTGCCATATAACCCAGCTAATGCATATGCAAATATAACCTGTTGTATTAACATGATTGTGAGTAAACATCATTTTTGGAGATGGTTTACTGCTAAAACTTTGCCAGTTTTACTGTGGGAGTAAAAACACCGGTTTTCCTTTAACATTCTCAAGAGAGCATAATAGGAATACAGATGGACAGTTGAAAAATAACTAAACATGATGAGAGAATTAAATGTAATTCAGTAGTGCACGTTCTCTGGGGTATTGGGGTCTCAGACAGCTAACACATGCAGGGTGAAAACAATGCATGTCATGCCGTACCTTCTTGTAATGTGTCTTGCAAGTGAAATCAAACTAATTAAGGAAGTGAGTGAAGAAAATCTTTTAGATAAAACAGTAAAGCATCTGTTCTATAGACAATTACCTCCCTAAAAGAAAAAAGAAAGAGAAAAAAATAACTCACTTTGACATATGGAGGAGCAAAAGATGACAAGTACCATCTTACTTCCACTTTCCCATTCTGGACCTCTATATGGGCCTCTGAAGGACAGGAGAAACAGAGAAAAAGAAAAAAGGATTTGAATCCCCCTACACGTACAGGGTGCTCATGTTTCATAATGTTGCAAACTATATATACACAGAAGTGATCAAAATAATAGCAATCCAATGTGATTAACCAGATTAATCACTGTTACTAGTATATTTTTTATTGCTACATGGCAAAATAATTACCAGTGGGTGCAGCAGATTCCATGAAAACCAACAAGACCCAGCTTTCGTCATATACACACTCTTAAGGCTGTGGAATTCGGCAATTAGTTGAAAGGGGTGCGTTAAGAAGAAAATAGCAGTGGCATTAAATCAGTGAGGTCATCAATTTTGTGAAAAAAACAACGGCGATTCAGGTGATCCCTATTTAAGGATGAAGCCAGCACTTGTTGAGCATGCATTTCTCTTTGAAAGCCTGAGGAAAATGGGCCGTTCAGGACATTGCTAAAAAAAAACAGCATAGTTTGATTGAAAAGTTTATTGGAGGCGGGAAACTGTAAAAATATTATAGGCTAATGAAATGATCTCCAGTGCTTCAAAATGGAAAGCAGAACCAGACTGCTGGCAGAAAATGGAAGACAACCATGATCAAAGACAATCTGCAGATACGTGTAAGTACTGTGACAGTTACAAAATGTCTGTATGGAGCTTATCTTTTTACAAGAATTCCCCATAAAGTCCCTCTGTTAAAAATAAATTAATAAAAAGGCATGTGCTGAAGAAGTTACAATTTGACAAAGAACACATCAACTGGCCTAAAGAGAAATGTTTAAACATTTTGTGGACTGATGAGAGTAAAATTGTTCTTTTTGAGTCTAAGGGCTGGAGACAGTTTGAGAGACGAGCCCCAACTTCTGAATTCAAGCCACAGTACACAGTGAAGAAACTGAAGCACGGTGGTGCAAGCTTTACGATATGGGCATGTTTCTCCTATTCTCCTATGTTTGGTGTGTCAAAATACTTGCTCATGTTGCCTTATGCTGAAGAGGACATGCTCTGGGTGTTTAAAAGACAATGACCCCAAACATGCAAGTAAAAAAACAAAATTAATGTTATGGAGTGGCCAGCCAAATCCCCCGGACTTTAATCCAATTGAGAACTTTTGGGGCGACATCAAAAGTGCTGTTTCTGAAGCAAAACCAAGGAACAAATTAATTGTGGAATGTTGTTAAAGAATCTTGGAGTGAAACAACAGCTGAAAAGTGTCACAAGTTGCCACACACGTGAAGATGTTATAAAAAATTGTGGTCATACAAATAAATATTAGTTTAGAGAACAGAATTGCTAAATCCTAGAAACAAAAAAAGTTTGTACAAAATGATTTTGAGTTTGTACGGTCAAACACAGACACTATTTTAAATGGTCAGACACTATATTTTTTAACACAACTCTTTCAACCAATTGCACAGCCCTAAAAGTGTGCACATCACAGATGCTGGTAATACTGGTAATTATTTGCCATGTGGCAATAAAGATATACAACAAACCTGGATTAATCTGAAATGCATCAGGATATCAATAAATAAAGTATTGCAATTTGTGTTCAAAGACAAAGTGACAATACTAGTTACACCAAACAACCTCACTCCAGTGGTTAGTAAACATCTTACCTGATGTTTCCCCTGCACGAGTAGAAGGGAATATGATGGCCTTGTTGTTCATTTCGATCATGGGCTTGGTTCCAGGCCTGGTCGCAGCCTGAACAGGAGTAGGAACCTGAGCAGCCAAGGCTGACAGAGTTGCATCTGCTGGGGTGGCAGAAATATCCAGAGCCAAGTCCTGGCGTACTTGGACCTTGATGAACTGAACCAGCATCAGAGTGTGCAGAAATTGGTTAAGTTCTAGAACTACAGGACACCAGTTTGCTAAGATGACTTCACTGTGTCTACAATAGTTGCAGTGATTTTTTTTGTTCCCTTTTAAAATGGATTATTTAAACCACAGCATCAGAAATGGCAGAAAGCATTGTTTTGAATAAAGAAAAATATGAATATAAGGTAGGTGGAAACATTTCTGATTTATCTTTAACAAAAATAGAAAAGAAAAAAATATTACGTTTTTTCGCATCTACAAAAAATAACCGTGGCCAATACTCACAGTCCGTTTCCAATTGTCTATTCAAACATGACCAAAGTAATTCACATTTAATACATAGTGGCTGTAATAACTTCTATGTCGATTAAAAGCATCTGCAAAGTTTTAACAATGTTATGACTACACATTAGTCATTTCAAACAGATATTTAAAGGGAAACTGTTGTGGATTTTCTTTTGCAACAATCTAAAAAATGTTAACAAGTTTAGTTAAATACAAAGTGTGTTTTCTGTACCTTCTGTTGACCATCACACTGGGCATATATCTGCCCAGTCCATGGCAGCAATGCAGATTTGTTAGCCAGTGAGGGGTTGGGGCTGACCAAAATTAGCAGGTGGCACCTTAGTTAAATGGCCAGGACACAAGACATAAGTGGAAAAAAATTATTATGTCAGACATACAGACTGAACAATAGAAACAGTTCTTACATATACATAAAGTGAAAGAGAGTTATTTTTTGTATTGATGTAAGGAAATGCATATTTAATCTTAGGGATTCTTACTGAGGCTCAATGAGCCCGTGCTGTGGCGTGACAGTGAGGCAGTGAGCAGGCCAGGATAGATCAAAGTTCAGCTGTCTGTTACTAATGTTTCGAATTTCAACATGGCTGGTGGAAGATGGACCATCTAAAAATAAAGCACAACAGAAAATGTTTCTGTGAACTCCGATTAAAATGAAATCCGCTCATGATACATTTCCACAATCTAGGTACAACTCACTAATGGTGGGAGCGCCAAGGACAAGTTGTGTTGGGTGGATCGTCCAGGACTCTGAATTTGTGTGCGGGTGTTCTGAAGCCTGTGGGAGAATTAGGCAATGCAAAATCATTACAGAGTGGGAACATTTTTTAGAATAAAAAAAAAAATCTATATATTAAAGAGGCTTAAAAAGTACCTCTGGTGAAAGGTTTGTAACTCTCAGTGCTGAACCCTGGGGATCCTTGACTGGCAGAACATCCAGAGATGTACTGCCATTCAGCGAGACTCTAAGAAATACACAATTTTAAACTGCACATTAGAAAAACATATTAAAAGAATAAAACAAAGTGAATTTAAATCCATAACAATATTTGTATACAGAACAGTAATATTAATGGCAAAACATAAAACAGTTTATGTTTTTCACATGGTTGAACTTAAAGGTCCTTTAACAATAAAAGGCCAGTATTACAGAAATCCCAGAAAACATGGGGTTGAATACCTTGTCAAAGAACATTTAGTTGATCATTTTCTATAAATTCAGTATTACCTTTCTGACCGTGTTAGTTTAGTATGCTCATCCTCATCCAAAGCAGTGGTCTTTGCGGTTCCCAGCAGTGATATCACCACCCTACTCATGTTGCTGTAGAAGATGTGGGCTTCATTAGGACGGTGTGGCAGGTCATAGGCTAAAAACAAGTGACATGTTTGGTCAGACATTTCAGATTAGTGGAAATTGCAAGGCATCAAAAGCTTAACTGAGCGAACTACAGGCCATCAAATCTGCATAATTTATCAATGATTTAACAGCAGGGCAACTAAATTAAATGTGAAAACACTACACATAACATCACAAAAGATCATTATTTTAAAATAATAAAAAGTACATTTTGAAGAGCATGAAATTGGCAACATACTTTCTTTAATAGTGTCTTCTCCCAAAAACATTTCATTGAACTCTATGTTTTTCAGCAGGCTGTTCTCAGACAGGGCCTTCCGTGCTGCCTCTGGTTTGGTCTCAAGCAATCTTAAAGAATAAACAAAGATTTTACAGAATTTTTTTTTGACAGAGCTACCTGGTCAATATTTCACAAATGGGACATTTTCTACTACTGTGTATCCAAACAAGACAGATTTAATAATCTATAACCAACAGCTAATTTCCAGACTTGGCATTTAATCAATACAAAAAAAAACCTAAAGCTCAACTTTAGGTACTAAAAACCTAAGCTCAATGTTGCAAGTTTTTTACCTCCTGTATTGCTGCCTGGATACTTCATCTCCACAAAAGAGACAAATTGTAGCCAGTGGGGTATTAGCTGAACACAGATTCAGTTCTCTTTGGGTGGACTTCATTAAGACAGTAATTACCTGAAAATAATAAAGTGTCAGTAACAAGGTCAGTTAAAAGACTGTAAACCAAAGTGAAGGGTTGAAGGAAACATTTAGGTGATGTTGTTCAGCATTTCCCAACCCTGGTCCTCAAAGCACACAGCCTTGCATGTCTTCACAGTTTTCCCTGTTCCAGCACACCCGGTTCAAATGAATGAATCTTTATCAGCTTTCTGTAGAGTTTAAGGAACTAAAAAGCCGTCCCATTCATTTAAATCATATATGCTGGAGTGGGGAAACTGTTGATGCTGTAAGAATATGTCCAACACCAACTGAACTCCTCTGCTAGGAAATGCACAAAATAAGGTACTGAACACCTAAAACTAAACATGACAAAAACAAATTCATCTTTCAATGTCAACCTCATTGTTCTTGTGTACATCACATGCTGAGGAAAACATTATAAAATAATAATTCTAAATAACTTTTTAAAATAACAGGAAAACTTTGCCTTGACCAATTGCCTTATTGAGCCCCTGCTTGTCCCCAGCCAATTCATTCAATGACTTTCCACAAAATATGTCCCCCTTTTCATCGGCATTCAAAAGAAGGTGAAATTGGAATGGAAAGCATTGAGCTTCTACAAGACAACAGACATGCTGATGGGTTCAGCAATTGTGGAAAGGGCCAAAGAGGTCGGGTGGAATGTGGCATGGATGGCAGCTGGAGGCGGTGATGGTGGTCCAATCCTCGGCTACAGAAGCTGGCTGACTGACATGGAATGTCAACTCTCTGGTGGAGAAGGAGCCTGAGTTGGTGTGTGAGGCGGAGAGGTTCCGGCTAGAAATAGTCCGACTGACCACGATGCAAAACTCTGGCGCTGAAACCAGTCTTCTGGAGAAAGGTTGTATTCTCTTTTACTCTGGGGTTGCCCACGGTGAGAGGTGCCAAGAAGAAGTGTGCATACTTGTTGAACCCTATCTTGACGCCTTTACATTGGGGTTTACCCTGTTGAATGAGAGGGTAATGACAATGAAACCTGGAAGGGTGCAGCTGGGAAGAATGTCTCTCCCATTCTAAGCCCGAGGGTGTTTTGTTTTTTTTATTTCTGTGCTCATCATGGATTGTCCCTAACGAACAGCATGTTCAAGCACAAAAACCTCTGGTGCTGAAGTCACCGAGATGCTTAAAAAGCTCCTCAGTCAGGGTTTTGGGGGTCGATGAGATTCGTCAGGAGTTCCTCAAGGCTCTGGATGTTGTACGGTTGTGTTGGTTGACGTGAATCTGCAATATCCCATTGAGGGGTGGTTACGCTGGATTGGCAGACCAGGGTGGTGGTCCCCTTATTCAAAGAGGGGGGACTGTAGATTGTGTTCCAACTACAGGGGATTTACACTCTTAAGCCTCCCTGATAAGGTCTATTCAGCGGTTCTGGAGCGGAGGGTCAGTCAGATAGTCCTCTGGCCATTGAAGCTCAACCAGCTCTATAGCATCCTGGAGAGTATGTGGCAGCTCGACCAACCAGTCTACATGTGCTTTGGGGACTCGGAGAAGGTATTCAACCGTGTCCTTTAGGGAATCCTGTGGGGGGTACTCTGGGAGTATGGGGTTCCTGTCCCTTTGATATGGTGGTTCGCATCGCCGGTAGTAAGTCGGACTAGTTTCTGATGAGAGTTAGACTCCATCAAGGTTGCCCTTTGTCACAGATTCTGTTAATAACTTTTATGGACAGAATTTCTAGGCACAGCCAAGGTGTTGAAGTGCCTTAGGATTGAATCCCTGATTTTTGCAGATGACGTGGTCCCATTGGCTTCATCCATCGCAGACTATGATTTTCGCTGGAGCAGTTCACAGCCAAGTGTGAAGCGGGCGGGATGAGGGTCAGTGCCGCAGAATCCAAGGCCGTAGTCTTGGAACGGAAAAGGGTAGAGTGCCCTCTCTGGGTTAGGGAGGACATCCTTCATGTATCTTGAGGGATTTGTCTGGGGAGAGGGAAGTCTGGGCCTCCCTGTTCAGCTGCTGCCCCCACCACCCGACCCCGGAAAAGCAGAAGAAAATGGATGGAGGGATGCGATCCAAGTTATCACATACTCATCACTAACTATTAAGCTTGGTCTATCCTCCCCAGGACACTTCATAATGTTTTGCTGGCTCTGGATCAATGATCAAACCAACATTGGCCAGGAAAATAAAAATTTGTGCAGCTGAAATGTACACAGTTTTTGCAGCTGAAACAAAAAAAGATGAGGTAAAATCTCTTCAAAAACAGGAAAAAGTTATCTAAAGGTATCTTTGACCTTTTGAAATTTTCATGAATCAGAACAACCTGCTTGTAATAGTGATGTGACTAATGGAACCATTTCTGATTTCTTTTAACATACACAGCTTGGCATTTTCTTTTTGAACAAGCAAGACCTCTTACCTCTTGCGTCCTCTCTTTCAGTACAAACTGTGAAGGGGCCAGACTCATGACAGAGGGGTCTATAACTGATCGAGACGGTACATCTGAGAAGACCACAGCTTTGATGAAGGCTGCTCTGGAGCCAGTGTTCCTCACACACAGACACACTTTGCTAACACGACCAGCAACAATGTCAGTCAGTGATGCCACATAACCCTCTGCCCGCTTCCTCTGGTCTTCTAAGATGATGTTGCTCGTCCCACCATAGCCAGAAAGCGGAATCTGACAATGAGAACCAAAGCAAAATTTAAATTCAACTAAAGCTAATGCCATGAAAAAAATAGTAAACATTGTTAAGAGACTGTATAAAAAATGTATTTAAAAAGTTAAAAACAAATAATTCAGAGAATAAATGGCAATATTCTCACAGTGAATTTTACTCCTGGCTGTGAAGGCCGAACCCCACACTGTTTAATCTCCAGCTTGGCCAACATGCAAGCCACCCTCGTGGGGGCAAAGAGCAAATGGACCGTCACATCCTCTCTTGGCCGAATGGACAGCTCTCCATGTCGAGTAAGACGTTCTTCAAGGCTGAACATACTCTGAAGCTGAAGAACAAGAGTTAATATTAGGTTAACAACTAAATTCAAGTATTTTAAATTCTATCAATGCATTCATTTTTTCTATTCACCCTGATTTTATGAAACACAAAAATAATTAACCATTTCAGGCCAAAAACCTATGGAAATGGCAAGAGACAAATTAATCTACCCTCATGCGCATATCTAAAAAAAATACCTGTTAGCAGAGAAGCAAACAAATTCAGATACTTTGTTGCCCTGATATGGAATTGTGCATAGCACAGCTTCATTCAAGTTTAAACTATACCCTATTGGGGGGTGGGGGTGGGGGGAAGAGTAAAATAAAAATAGTAGCAAACCTGAAAGCAGTCCTGGTCCTGACCACGAATGAGCAACCGAAGGTGCTGTGCAGTACTAGCCGAGTTGTTCCTTAGCACCAGCTTCTGTTGGCTAGAAACAATGCTGATGGTAACTAGCTGTAACAATTACTATATCCAACTTATGCAAGTTGGAATCTTATTTATTTTATTTTTTTAAGTTTCAGCTTTCTGAAATCAGGAGTTTTAACTGTAAAGTTTGTGTGTAAAATGTAAAAATAAACTTGGATATGGTTAAAATTCAAATTACTGCAAGCAAATTATTGTTTTCAAGCTACTTTCTATTCTGCCACTATTTACTTGTACAGGAGTGCAAATAAAGGATGAATTATGCTGAAACAACTTCCGAGAACAAAACTCCCTGTAGACACCCACTGCCCCCTTTCATGAATAACATTATACAAGCCATAATAGAATAAGATGGAACACTGTGCCTCGAGATTTATATTGATCACTCTCCAATGCATAATTGATTTCTAGAAAGAGTTGTTTCTGTAACCAAGTGGAAGTTAAATTAATGAAAGGCTGAAAAGTTGCTTACACAGCGCGTCCCAAGGTGACTCCTCCCCAGGCCACGAACTGCTTATTGGAGAGGATTGGAGGGACGTCTCCAGTCAGAGAAGGGCCGCAGACAGGGTTAGAGACTGGTCCAGGTTTCCCAGAGTCAATTACTTCTCCTTTCAGAGTGACTTCATACTGAGGGCCTGATGGCAGCACCAAGATGGTGAGTACACTGTAAAATGACGAGAAGATTAGTTTAGGGAGTTTAGGTTACAGGTTTACTGACTGTACTCACACCTTTTCTGTGATAATTTGTGGCACAAAATATTGCTTTTGCTTGAGTTAAATTAATACTTTATTCTACTTATAATACTTGATGTATTAGTTCATGCAAACATGACAGTATGACAAAAGAAGATTTTTCAATTCTATTCGTCCTGTTGGCATACATTTTCACTAAAAGAAATGAAAATCCTTAACATTTTAATATCAGGGGGTGTTAATCTCCAGTTTTCCAGGGCCACTTTGCTGCAAGTTTTCCCGCTTCAACACACCATTCAGATTAAATCAATTTCCCAAAATATTATTAAATTCTGTGAATTTGGTGTGGTGAAGCAGGGAAGACTGACACCGGTGCCTCAGACAAAGCTGAAGATATCTCAAAAGCAGTAACAGAGTATCCATGGTTACATAATCAAATAAGATAATAATCAGAAATCAGACCTTAATGAGTCATGAAAAAGTAGCCAAAGTAGACAAAACATTTTTTTTCATTAGTCTTGTTATCAATCAACCCACATACAGAATAAAGTCCTGGCTTATTGGCAGGACTTAAATAATAAATGTGATGATTGTAAAATGATTTTTTTTCCCCTCGATAATTGCACATGTACCTTTGTCTGCATCTTTTGTTATGCGTTTTGAATGATACAACAATATTTTGCTCCTCTTCCACTCTCAGGAACAGTTCATCTGGTTTCACAGAAAAACTATCCCCATCATCATTGCTCTGTAAACATAGAAAATACAAAAATAAAGGCATTAAGGAAGAAAAGTAGACACAAGAAATTAATAGAAGTAAGTATGATAAAAAATAAAAAAAACAATGTTAATTTTGAAGAGAAAAGTATTAAAAGTGAACATATGTAAAAAGAAAAATATGGCTACGTGATGAAAAAGGAATGAAGAATATTACCGTTAGTTTTAGCTGCACATCAATGTTTCCTGCATTTTTCAACGGTAGTGTCTGCTGACAACATTTACCCACTGGAGCGTGAAGAGTGAGAGTCTAGACAAAGAAAGCATATATCAGCTAACTGCCAAATCTAAATTGGAAAAGAGAAGACCTACAACTTCAGGAGTGTGCTTGATCGACGTGCAGTACATGTTCTTCAACAGATGATGGCATCTTCTACACACCTTTATGCCATGCAGTCACGCCAATCACACATCCAGAAAGAACAAGGTTTGAATTTCATATTTCTGAGGTTCCATTCAATGTATTCAAGATGCTCATCTCATGGATCACGGAAGTAACAATAACTAAATCATTTTAACTCTAAAAGCCAAGGCTGACTTGAGATGTCATCTTCTGAGGATGCCAAACTAATAAAGAGCATCAAGCATCAAACCAAGAAAATTATTATTTCATAATCACCTGTATTAAATAATCACTTACACCTACAACTGGGAAAAAGAAAGTACAATTGAGCCGAGAAAAAAATTAAACCCAAACTGGGTTTTTCCAGTGTTACTCTGGAAAAAACTTTTGATATTTACACCATTTTTGCTAATCTAATGATTTTCTGAGTAGTAGTAACACTATAGCAAACAGGAGTTATCTTTAAAAACGTTCCAGTTTAAAAAGTTGCAGCTACCGCCATGTAAAGATAAAATTATGTAAAGGTACACTCAGTCAGTCTGATAACTGTCAAACAGGAGCTGGTCTACCTGTAGATCTTTTGGAGCATGGACCCTTGCAATTCCAGACCTTGCCTTGAGAGGAATACTACGGATAATGTGACTTGGACCTGGGGAGTCCAGTTCAACGTCCACTCGAGCACTGTACTCGTCAGGGGGACCAAGATCTCCTGAAAAGTAATATACGGGGTTGTGCTTACTAGAATTTTAAACAAATATATTGTCTTATATCTGATGACATGCATTCAAAAAGGGCTCATTACCTGATGGGGCAGTATACTTCTGGGGGGCCTTGAAATGGACCCAGATGGTGAAGTTCTCTGGATTCTGTCATTTTAATCAAATAAATCAATATAAAAAATATTTAAAATTTGCTCAATTGCTTGACGACATATTTTTTAAAATATCAGGCGTGGATTTAACTTTTCCTCAGAGTAATTGAGAGAAAAAAGCTGCAGCATGATATGAAAAAGAACAAACAAAAGTAATTGAGGTTAAGGTTGTAATGATTTTGACAACTAACCTCTCCATAGCTGGCTTGCATCACATGATTTATCACAGAAGGAGATGATAATGGAGTCATGTGTCCATCCTGCTGTGTGCCTTCAGATGTCACGGTAACAGGGTGTTTGGAAAAGGAGAAACATCGCCATGCTGTTGCATTCTGAAATACATCAAGTCAGAGTGAGGAGCATTCAAGTAAATCACTTTAACTGGCAAAAAGCCAAACTACAAACTGCCTGACAGAAAATAATCATCTTTCACAACAAATTTAAACATAAGTAACCAAATATTAGTGGTGCGGGGGCTTAGTGGCACTTTTAAGTACCGTAAGACTGACCTCAACATTATTTTACATTTCTTAAAACTTTTAGACAACTTTTTAAACAAATGCCAATACTTTATCCTCAACATAACTTTATCACAGAGAGGCCATGGAGTTGCCACATGAGGTCACTGTTGCTGTGAAACCACTTGCTACTTCCTAATGTCACTACTCTGGTTCATCACAACTAAAACGCTTTAAGGCACCTACCAAGTCACAAACTTTGATATATCTGATCGATATAAGACATATTTTTGCGTAGTATTTCAATTTTAATCAAATATATTCAAAATAACTTTAGCTGTTTAGGTGATAAAATTCAGTTCTGCTGACATGACTTTAACATCCATTCTTTATTGATCCTGCTTATTCCCAGCTGACCACAGGCAAGAGGCGGGAAACACACTGGACAAGTTGCCACACCATCACAGGGCCACGCAGAGACAAACAACCACACACACACTCACATTCACTTCTAGGGGCAATTTGGAATGTCCAGTTAATAAAATGCACGTTTTGGATGAAAGGAGGAAGCCAGAGTACACGTGAGAGTACACAGACTCAGGGGAGAACAAGCAAACTCAACACAGGCACAACTCGGGGACCTTTCTTGTGCTTAACGATATATGGCAACTAAATAAGAAATACAATATTCATTCATTAGTAATTAATTAATTTCATCATACTTTACTAGCATCTGTACTGAAGTTTAAATATACTTTCAGCGTGAAATGCATTACAGCACACATTGTCCGTTAGTCAGCTTAGTAAAAAGAAAAAATCTTTCTTTGGTCTATTGTGGGATACTTTGAGTTAACTATATAGTATTAGAAAAAAAATAAGAAATTTACATTACAAAAAAATCTTCATAAAGCACTTCACCATTGTTATGCACCAGCATATGTCTCTCTGGGGGAGAAAACTTCAGAATGGCCGTATGGACAGAATCACTGTGTCCTTGACAGAGTTAATGCAGGTGTATAATGGTATATGTGATGGAGATGTGCTTTTCTGAATAAAAAGAATAATTTTTTTTTTTTAAAGTCAAACTTACTGCACTGATGACCAGACGAATGGGTACTGTGGCATGAGTCCTATTAAGCAGTCTCAGTGGAAGAGATCTAACACTCCCCTCTGGCAGGTCTCCAAAATCCACACAACCAGATTTGCTTGATTCAATCTGGGGGGGAAAAAAAATAATAATCTGAATTATTTTTTTATAACCAATGTGCAATCATCCACATACACAAAAATTGGAGGCGGCTTATTCTTCCGAATTACAAATCAATTTTAATTCTATGTATTTTTGTGTATGTTGGTCTCAAACGAAAAAAGACCCTCACCTCTAGCGTAGGGTTCTCCGCTATGGCAACTAGGACCACTGTTCTGGCAAAGACATTTGCTCTAGCTGCCAACTCTGTCTCTGCTGATGCTGGCCAGGAGCAAACACTAAGGATACAATGGTAGACACCAGCCTTGGGAGGAAGGAACAGCACTTTCTGTTCCTCTGTGCTCTTGGGGCCAATAATGGTTTTGTTCTTCACCATTATCCACTGGTATGGCATGATTTCCACCTGTGGAGATTGATAAGAAAGACTCAATCACTCAGGTTTCATAGAGTCACATCAACTAAAAAAGTCTATTCATCTGGTACAATTTATACTATTTTACTTTAGGTGAATTTTGCTCCTGAACACATAACCCTCAGCTTACCCTCTCTCCATCGATGGCAACGCTTGTGACAGAGATTGAAACTTGCTGCCATCTCTCTGAGGGGTTGTAAAGGCTGAGAGAGGTCTGTGAGGCGATGCCTACACAGCATGCATGGGGGAACCGAAGCTCCTCTGGTACCACCACTTGGCCTGTGGACAATATTGGGATAGTGACATCTATCACATATATACTGGCCTCTTATGCACATGAAAATGTTGCTTTGGGTAAGACAATTCGAATAGTTCAATTGAATGTAAGATAACTGCTACCTCCAAGTTCCTGTAGATCACCAGTCACCAGTGGCTCTCCACCATACTGATTAAATGCTTTTCCCATCATTCGCATTTCCTGTTGATTCTGATTTGGTCTAGAAAGGTGATGATGAGACTCAGCAGTCCCAGAAAACCCAGTAACGCCTGGTGTGGAGTGAATGTGTCTCACAGCTAAGTCACTCTTTGGACCACCTGAAAGGAAAGGGAAGAGCAACTCTCTTATTAACTCATCTTGATTACCAAATTATTTGATAGTTACTTAGAAATCATCATCTATAATATTGGAAATTAGTTTTGATAATCTAATGCAGACTTGTTATCATTATAGCAATATATATATTTTTTTAATCAATTTGTCTATGGTACTTTTACATGTATTCAACATCATGCTATTGTTGTTTTACGGTATTATGAAACAATATTGATTAAAAAAATATATTAATACTGCAGTATTTTACAGTTCCGACAGTACAAAACTCTACAAAAGAAAAAGAGAGAAAAAGACATGCCTGAAGATAGCACGCTGTAGAGACTGTTCCCTGTCGGGCCCACGCTGAAAGCACCAGGATGTAAAGGAGCTTCAGGAGCCAAATACAGGTGAGGTAGCTGGGAGTTCCAGTGAGAGCTTCCAGGCCGACTATCTGCTTTGTGGGACAGGTCAACCATTCCAGGACATTGAGGCTTGAAGCCAGAGACTGGCACATACTGAAGCCCTTCTGCTGAATAGACAGGGGGCATGCCGAGACCACAGGGATATGCTGATGGCAAAACTGACGTAGCACTTCGCCACTGCTGAGAACCCTGCGGAGCTACAGAGCTGCTGGTTTGCTGAATGTTCAAATTGCTGCAATAGCCCGAGTCCACCTTTGTGAGCTGTCTTCCACTGGCTTCAGAAAGATGCTTTTGGTTCCTGCATCCTTTGGAAAGGTCACCGGAACAATGGTGCTTGCACTCGCTCTGGCTACGGGCGCAGTCCAGAGTAGAACCAGGATGCAAGGGTTCTGGACTTTTGCACTGCTGTGTCGACAATGTGTCCAGACTTTTAGCATGCTGTGGCACATTACTATCAAGCTTTTTAGGAGGGCCATCCTGGTTAGACTGTCCATCCGTTTCCACAGGTGGAGTTGGACTGAATCTAATGATTGTGGTACTTAGTCCCATTGTGGAGTTACGCTGTGGGAACCAGAACCACCCAACACAATAAATATAAAAGATTCCAGATCTGTAAATTTTTCAACAACAAATTAAACAAAAACTCCAAACTACCCATTTAATCTGTTTGCTTCAGAGAAAGTTATTACTGCTCATCAACATTAGTGTTTTCTATTCAAATGCGATTTAAAATAAATTCAGCAAGCAACATTAAAGCATTTTCTAAAATAAAGCAGTTTTATCCAACACCATCAAGCATCAAATTGAAAGAAGATATGTCCATCTTAAGCTTGACGACCTCATCCTACTTTACCTTTTTTCTCTCAGGAGTAGGTACAACAGTACCATCGTTTATTGAGATGTATGTGAGCCTGCTGAGACTGGGGCTGGAGCAGGTGGACTGAGGTGAGAGGTCAACCGCTGGACATCTGTCTGCAGCAGTGGATGAAGACGGTGAAACCATACTACAAACAAAGAAAAAAATATTAAGTATCAAATTAGTGGATAATATTGCCAATGTATGGTATCTTTCATTAGCAATACTAAAATTTAATACAATGTATTTAAATAATAAAACAATGGGTGATACAAGACCATTCATCGTTTTGAAGGGAGGTCTGACTTGGAGATGAGTGAGTAAGAGGAGAGGTGGATGGTCTGAAGTTATAATTAGAGTCCTCCACACACGGGCCAGAAAATCCTTTTGGCAGTTCTGAAAATGAAAGTTTAAAATTAAAACAAAACTGTGTGCTGGTTTCTCAAAAGACGCATAAAGGGAGTGATAATAGTTTATTATTATGACTACTATAGTCCAGTTACAAGTCTTGGCATTTGGGTTTTACTCACCAGATGCAGTGTCTCGAGCAGGCTGAGTGTTTTGATAAGGAAGGCCACCCTGCTTCTCCACAGAGCCATGAGGTAGGGATTGAGAACTGATGTTCACTGGTAGTTTCTTCTCTGGAGAGTAGCTTAGTTTCTGTTGTGGCTGCTGGCCTACACTCCTATTTCTCTGAGTTGATGGAGAGGGACCTTTAAGGCAAGGCAGGCCCCGCTCCCCATTTTTGCAATTTGGGAAAGTTCTCTGTAAGCTTTTATCATTCGTGTATGAGGTTTCCAAGGTTTTAATGTTGCTCGTTTCTGTGGCCACTTCACAAGTAGACCTAGAACTCTTGCGTGGGGAAACCTGCCCTGAATTCACAAGTCTTTGGGCAGTGCCGAGAGACACACGAGGACGAGGAATGGAGCTTGTTTTGAAGCACTCCCTCTTTGGTGGCGACAATACATCAGCGACTGTGGGGGATTTTGATTTTCCACGTGTCATCGATTCCATTCTGGTGTCTTCCTCAGTTTTTGTACACATTGGCTGATTCTCAATCCCTTGTTTAATCGGATATCCTTTTTGAGGATTCCTCTCTGAACTGCTGACACTCTCAGCATAATCACTTAAGTCAAAGGTTGTGTGGGCCACAGAGGAATTACTGCAGCCAGACAGGTTGGCCTTTTTAAGGTATTTTTCTATGTCAAAGGCACTTATCTCTCCAGCACAGATGCTCCTCTGTAGATTGTCTATAATGGCACTCGGATCTGGCCCTGGAACGGTCTATGAAGAGGACAAAATGGGAAATTTGTTAATATTTATGTTTACAAAATCATTAAACTCTTTTAAAAAGTCTTTAAACAATGGGATTGGAGATGTATAATATTGAGCTCCTAGCTATGTCGCCAATTGCCCAATAATCCAAAATCTGGAGAAGATTCATATGAACTGTGTATTGCAAGTTTGTCACTATTCATTTATCCTATTTGTCCCATCAAATCCTTTAAAGCCTTTTCTTGGCTGCTTTGCCTATTTTTTCACTACAAAAGCTTCCCTTCATGTACTCCAGCATTCAACCCACAGTCCAAAAGCATGTATTTTAGATTAATTGTGTTAAGTGTGAGAGTGTGATTGTTTGACTGTGTGTGGCCCTGTGATGGACTAGAAACCTGTCCAGGGTGAACCCAGCCTCTCATCAAATGACATTTGGGAAAGCCCCCTGCCCCCCAAACCTACTAGGAATAATTGGTATGGACAATGGATGTATGGGTATTCAATCTTACACGTGCAGCAGCCGCTTCCTCAGTGTTTCTGCCAGAGGAGTCTGGCTGCCTTCTTGCTCTACTCTTCTTTGACAAATCCATGATCATAGCAGCCAGCTGTGATGGGTCAGTGCTGATGGATGCATTAGTGATGGCCGACGCAATTGCGCTGATGCTGAGCATCAACTGACTGCTGTTATTGTCAGGGGACACACAACTCTGATCTTCTTGGCTTGACTCAGGGCCTAGGCCCTGGCTGTGTTCATAATGCACAGCTCTGGTTGAACAATCCTTACAAATATAAAAAAATAAAAAAAAGAACAAGTGAATTTGTGTTAATTGTTCATGAGCTCATAAATCTCTCTTTGCAGATATCCACATACCTCTGGTTTACAAGCCCCTGGATCCGTGTCCATTTTCGGTGGCATCCTTTCACTTTGGCCATTTATAGTTTTCTCTAGATCCTCTACACAAAGGTTATCATTGAGTAAATCCCTTTAAAAATCAACCCCAAAAAAAAAACAATCACAGAAAGCTGTTCATTAATAATAAATCTAAAAACACACCTGGGTTTAGAGTTTTTTCTGCTTCACTGAGATCCGTTGTTTCATTGTGGGAAGAGGCGTTTTCTTTTCCGAGTTCTGAGGGGTGAATTAGGGGAAATGGTTCCCTCTTCTCTGGTGAGGTAATGACGTAGCCAAACGATGGCTAGTGAGACAGGAGCAAGAGTATGCTTTCAGTGATTACATAAATTGCACTTCTTTATCAGAAGGACTGAGAGCTGAGGTTAGTTATAAAAAACTGAAATCTCAGTTTTATAACATTAAATAAGAAATTAATCCCCTTCTAGAAAATATACTGACATACAATGTTGTAGCTATAATCATCAACAGACTTTCCCAAACAAACAAACAATAAAGCAGGTTCAATGCACAAGTAACCAGTGGCATGTCAGCTTGTTATTTTACCGAGCTCTTAGTAGCAAGCAAGTCTAAACAGTTCTCTCTACCTTCTGTAAAGCAGTAATTACTTACCCGTTTCACTTTAACTGCATGGGTGCTTCCCAAGCAGCCCAGGGCTTCAGAGCGCTGTCCAAAGAACTGCCCCAAAGACAGTCGCAGGTAGCTTTCATCTGCCTGTTTAAACTCTGAGGAAACCTGCGAAGTCCTCATCAAGACATGGCTGTTCGTTGGGATCTTCCAAGAAGAGTCACTGTGAAAGGTGCAGCTGCTCGCTGGCTCAATCTGCTCCTCCTGAGTAAAGAGCAATACTCGGGAGAAGAAAAAAAAAACAAGATACCATGCTATACAGCAAAAAAAACAATGCATCTAAGCAGTCTTGGTATATGTTAATTCTTCCCAAATATATTTGCACCACACTAATAGGAGCATAACTATGACTCTGGCTTTCAAAAAAACTCTTTGATGCATACCTGCATAAACTGATGTTGTTTTTCAAACTCCTCTTGATCCTTCAAAATCTTTTCCATGGCATTGTCTAAACAGAGATGTACCAATTTACATTACTGTCTTTTCTTCTAAATTTCTAATTCATTGTACAAGTTGCAGAGTTGCACTTACTGGCAGGTACAAAATCCTCAGTCTGAAACTGGCCAGCAGTCTCTGTTGTCTTCCCATCAACCTCTTTTTCAAAGCAAGAGTAGTATGCAAGGTCTGTGACCCACTGCCCTTCTTCATTCTGGTAAACTATGTTATGAGTGGCATTTGGATCTGAGGGAATTTTATATATTATAAACATTCAAGCCTTATCAGTATGCATCACATTTGAATATTGCCACTTCAATATTTAATATAACTGCATGTTGATGTCTTTGAGTTACTTGTGACATATATAAAATAAAAAAAACTAACTTTGTTGAAATTCCAGCTCCAAATCGTCTGGACAATGATTCCAATCTTCCTCTGAATCTTCCTGTTCCTGATGGAAGCTCTGAGAGAAATATTTTGGCTCCAGGGAAGTGGAAAGTGGTTTTCTGTCATCCTCACTAGTACCATCCGATGCCTCAGCAGCACTCACGTCACCACAGGGTCCTCCTCGTATGCCTAATGAGGGCCCCCTGCCATCAGGTTCATCTATTCCCTCATCATCATCATCCCTCTCCTCACAGTTTGGGGGCAGCATCTATCGCATAAATGGAAAATAATTAGGCTTAAAGACTGCATTACTATATCATTTAACATATCAGCATCTCATCCAGTTCGATTTTTGAATGGCTAACATTTATTACACAACACTGCATTCTTTCAAAGAATTCAAATGGAAAAGGGGTTATAAAACTTCAAGATTAATAATATTCCATATAAATTCATGACAGTCTATATGAATCAATGGGTATTAACAGAAATAAACTGGAGTTTGGGATTTGAATGTACATTGTAACATGATCTTTACTTTAAAGAAAATAAACAAATTAAGTCCGGCTTTATGCAAATACAGTATCTACGACTGCTAGGATGACCACATCTGCCATGTGTATTCTGCATTAATCCAAATCATGCAGTTCATTTTGTTGATTCTGAATCGCTAAAGACACTCTAGATTTGGCACCAAGATTGAGTATTTTGTCGTTATTATGAAGAGGATACATGTGATCGTTGGTGTTTAACTGGAAGCTATAAAATCAAGATGTATTCCCACAGCATCTAACTGATAAACCAGATATGCTAAATGTAAGCTAGCTATCATATTATTAACCCTTTACCAACTGAGGAACATTTTACTTCTTGCAAATTATGCAAACAGTCTATGCTAAAAGCGACAAATGCTATTCACATAACTCTGTTCAGAAGAAGCATCCTCCAGAGAGCTGAAACTGAGGTTACCATGCAAAGTTTCTTGAAATAACATTTTGTTACATCTCCAAGTGACAGTATTGTATACAAAACCATATACTGGAGAAGATAGAATGTCCTAAAGCCTTAACCATTTTAAGCTTTTTATTATGTAAGAAAAATACTAAAACATGGATGTAACAGAAGTTCACTCAAATTGTAGGATTTACAGGCATTTACTCATTATGGAGTGTACCTGGGAGAGATGGAAGCTTCCTTGAGTGCTTTGAAGCTGGGAGTAACTTATATTTGCTGAATCCGGCGATCTCCTTTCTCCGGCTCCATTCCTCAAGTAGACGGAATCAAAAAAACCTACACCTACAGGTCCAGACTCTGTGTTCTCCATGGCATTCTGAAAATGAATACAACACAAATGCTTACATTAACATGGCCATAAAAGCTCAACAAACAATTCCTATTTGAGTAGCAATACAAAAAAAAAAAAAAAAGTTTCTTAAATTATCTGAGAGCTTTACTAAAGCCATTTTTTTTGTTTTATTTTCTCTAAACAGCTTGAATCACTGCAAATATTGATTGAGATTAAGTGTGAGAATTTATTGAAAAAGGTTCAATAATACCATGTCCCAGATTAGAGTGTGGGGTTAATTCCTAATACAAATTTTATAACTGATACCTAAAATTTAGGACAAATTTACACTGAAAATAATTATTCTTTCCATAATGACTTATGGCCATAAACTTTGTGTGATTTAATCATGGTAACATCAACCTTTTTGAGGGTATAAAATAATTTTAAGATTTGATCATAAAGAAAATAGAGAAAAGAAGACATATTTAAATATCTGCAAGCAACATGGAGGGGCACACCAATCCAAACATTGTACATTGAACATCATTTAGCAAAAAACTGAAAATTGAACAATGCAAGTTACATGATAGATGTTAAGCAAGTTAAAGTATGTGGTGCTCACTAGTGCTTCTTGCCGGTCTAACATCATGCTCCAGTTGACAGAAAGTCTCTGAGATGCCCCAATTGTTTCTGCTGAGGAGCTGGCTTCTCCTGTTCCAACAGGACCCACACGGTCCCCCATCTGTAAAAATGAACGAACAGGCAAATATTTTAATATTATACCAATTAGTCCAGATAGATCGATTAAAACAGTGGGATATACATGGTGTATTCATGTTACAAACATAAATTAACAATTATATTAATAATTTTTTAATTAAAAAAAGGTGCTCAAGGCATTTTGTAAACCAAAGTTACCTTTTCATTAGGATAGCCATTTAAAAATATCACATTTGCTCCTAAAAAACACTGAGGAAAGAGCCATCTTTCATTCAAAAACACGTCTTAAAAAAAAAAAAAAAAATCTAATGCCAAGACCGATGTCCTACCATATAACGAAGCTTCAGTTAGAGCATGATTTGCTACAGACATGCTGAGTGAAGATGCCACCCTACCTCTGAATGTCTGGGAAAGCTGTTCCTTATATCTTCTGGCAAATCACTCAAAATGTTGCTCTCATTGGCAAGATTGCCCCCCACAATGCCCAGGCCTCGCAGGGCATCATAGGAGGTCTGGACATTCATCAGTGGAATAGGGACAGTTGCAACTCCTCCATCATTTCCACTCTCCTCACTCCCACTGCTCCCATCCCCACCTCCTCCATCTCCTGGTGTTACACAATTTCACAAACGAACACAGTGGTGATTCAAAGGGGGTGATTCAAAGGGAAATTTAATCTCATGATATATATTGTTTTACAAGTTTGGCCATATCAGTAGAAATTTATATCACTGAAAGCAAACACTAATGACCAAAAGATTTGTTTTTTTATACAAATGTATACATACATATACATACATATAATCCATGTTATACCTGTTACAGGAAGATTTATGACTTGTCCTTCAGCAGATCTTCTATGTTCAATCCCAGCCTGAGACAGGCCTCTGCGGCCGGTGGAATCCTCCTCGTCAGAACTGCCCCCTTCTAGGCCAGGTCTGAAACTGGGATGGTTACTTTCTCCAACCTTTGCAAGTACATAAAAAAAGAAAAGATTTCAGACCAAATGGGTACCCGAGATTTAAACACAAAATTGTTCTGACTACAGCATCAGCCACTTCTCACCAGCTGTCTGGAGGTGCTCGGTAGGAGCTCTGTCCTGGGAGCATTGTTTCTTCTTGCCGACTCCAGCTCATCATCCGTGTCCTCATCACTGGCTGGGCAGGAATCCATACCTGTAGCTGCAAGGCGTACGTCAGGCATCTGAAAGTTTTCCTAAAGAAAAGGCAGACAGGATATGACAGGTTTTATACAACACAGGGCAAAAACACAGTTCTACAGAAATAACAATACCAGTAAAAAATGTCATACGAAGTTCGTTTCATGCGATTCAAACACTTAAAGAAAAAAAAAAAGTGTTTCATATCAAATATATTTAAATTTTAGTTATTTCAAATTAAATGTATTATTTAGTTCATATAAAATTTGATTTTCAAGTAAACTGGAATTGACACACAGATAATAAGGGGTAACAATAAAAGACGCCCTCACCTGATCGTACCGATCAAGGATCTGGTGTCTATAGTCATCATCCTCAGTGGAACTTGTATCTGATCTGTCATCGGCAGCCCCTTTCATTCTCTGTGCATACACATTGTTAACAATAAAAAGTTTTAAAAATCATATGCAATTTTTAAAAAAGCCATTTCAAAACGTACACAAAATGTTATTTGAAGAACATCAATAATGACTACAAGAACAATTAGCATCTCTTCGCCCCAATGGTTTAGAAGGAAAGAAACGTCTTACTGTTGCAGGAATCTCCTGTCCCTCAACTCTGCCTCTCTGCATAGTATGAGGGACCAATTTGTTGAAATACACATCCAGTTCATCATCAGGCAGGTTGTTTAGGTCGATGTCATGATCATCTAGTGACCAAACATTAACAATTAACCATCCACGAGTAACTCAATAAAAAACCTTAACTCTTTGCATTTCTTCCAATTTAAGCATGAATGATTGATGACCTCTTAAAAAAATGCATTAGTACAATTCAGAAATTGGAAGTGAAAGGATAAACATACCTGTGACATCACTGTCCATACTCTCCACAGACATGAGCTTTTCGTTTGCCAAGAAGCTTGAGTTACTGCCATTGAAATGGTCACTATCCACTCCCTCACTTAGCTCGTGGTCATCCTCAGCAGTGACTGGTAGGGTCTGAGCAAATTTGCACGAAAGTAATCAAGGGCACATCACTATTCTGCTATAAAAGGTTAGTCTGGCTGACCAGGCTTTCCCACTCCATCTGGCAATTGACCAACCATTACCTTTGTATCTCCACTGTGCTTCTGTCCACACTGGGCAAATGTTAGAAGACCCGTTGAAAGATCTGTCCGTGAAATAAAGCCAAAAATATTTATAATCACATAAACATTATAAATCAGTAAAAACTACAAATATGGTATAGATATAGGAAGTGGCTTATTCAGACAAATGTAACATTTGTAAAAGTTACTATGCTTCCTCAATCTTCAGTTTTTATACCAAATGCAAAATTAAACAATAAAAGTATTTTATGTAATTTAGAGTATGATTAAGGAGCTCCATCTCTGCACCTGTGCCAAGTTCTGTGGGCCGACCATACTCTGAGAATGTCTGGATGGGGAGAGGTCCAAGCATAGAGCCTAGGTTTCTGGATGCACTCTCATCCAGACTGATATTCACCAGCACATTTGACAGGCGGTGGGCGGCAATGAAGTCATCTGCATTATCCCTGTAATAAATGCAAGCATTATTGCAAGAATGTTTAAGCCACGTCAAAGCTTGTGGGAAAAAGTTGAAATTAGTATACAATATTTATATTACAGACATAAATTTGAAAATATACCCATGCTTTGAACTTTTGTATTTGTACAAAGTGCTTCAGTTCCTTTCAAACTAATGTATTCACTGAATTAAAAAATAATAATAAATGGAAGAAAGAAAAAAAACACCTTCATTCAAGCACAATTAATTCTGGTTCTTTAATTTTGTGTCATGTAAACAAACTTATTGTTCGTTTGTTTTTTAAGTACTTCATTAAGTACTTCATGCATGTACGGCGCTCTTCTAGTTTCACTCGCTTGTACAAAACATTCAGTACATCCTAAGAGAGTTTTGTATTTTCTTTTCTCTAGTATCTACTCAGCGTGGCTTGGCTACACGATTTCTTGAATTTCCATTGAGGGTTGGTTCCCACTAACAGTTCAAATTTTAGCACCTACTGGACAGGGGTTCCAAGCAGGCACTGTCTGGCCCATGACAGACTGTCAGGCGCTGATTGGCCAGGGTGTCACATGACTCAAAAAGAAAGTTCCTCCTTCACAAGAGGCATGCCCATTTAAAAAAAGACTGCAACACCAAACATCCGTTTCCATTATTTCTGTGATCATGAATGTTGCAAATAACTAAAAATGAACCAACACTGTAGCCTAACATTGAAGTTGAACCAGTCCTTCATTGTTGTCTCGTGCTTTTGTCACATGCAACTGACATCATTTGCAGGTCAAGACGATTTCTCTGTTAGGACTTCATTCATTTACTCACAAGTCATCTTTGAAGCTGAGAGCAAACTTGGGATGTTCTCCGGCAGACGACAGTAAGTTGGTCTGCTGCAGTTCTTTACTGTCCAGATATGACGCTTCAGTATGATCTTCCCTGTAAAATAAGCCCATTGATAAGTTGTTATAAATGAAAGAACCTTTTGCAACAAAAGAAAGTAAAAGAACGACATGGAACAGTTATCAAACATTGAATTCTTGTGTGTAATTAAGTCGGAGTCCAGTAACTTGCATGCAACTACTACAATCAGATCACTTGTACAATGAGTTGGACAAATAATGTGTGCAAATATATAAAATAAAGTCACATCTGTCCATTATAAAAACATGCTCCCACCTGTTGTCAGACTCGGGTCTAATTTTAGCCACAGTAGAAGCAGCCACAGGCAGCCCAGGGCCTGAACCCAATGTCACATTCCCCAGGGTCGGCCGGCCACTGGTGTTTTCCAGAGATTTACCGAGGAAACTAGGAAAGGATTCATCCTCCAACTTGTAGAAACTGTCTGCCATTGTTAGCGAAGCAGGGTGCTTGCCAAACGAGACTTGAGACTAGCTCAAGTCCAGACCATCTGTGCTGACTAAAAGAAACAAAGAAAAAGAGAGAAACACTTTTTTTGAAAAAATAAATAGTAGGTTTGCATTCCTTTGTAATCTTCTATTTTGAACTTCTGTCAAATACAGAGACAACAATATGGTATATATCTGAAAATCTTCACATTTAGAGTTTAGCCCGTTAATGTATCTATAAAACTGGCACCACTTGCTAATTACGCTGAATTAGCAACAACTGCGCTTATTAGCAACTTGCTAAAAACACGAGAAATAATCAAACTGACTGCAGCTCCAAATTTGAGCCAACCCGCTTCTATTGCTCAATAAGTAAGGTGGATGCGTTACAAATCGACAACACAGAGACACTGGTAATATATTAAAGAGTCGCACCTGCTTACTTCTGATATTCTTGCTGAGATTCTCCATAAAAGATTAAACTTAGACGTTAGTTGGTCGTAAACTCACATTCAGTACTCCAAGAGAGGACCGAAAGTGAACTGTTTTTCCCCGAGCTTTATAAACTTGATTTTAACACGCAACCAACTGTAGTTATGTTCCAAATGAAACTTTTTTAAGACCTAAACGTTTCAGAATTCTTAAATTTACGCATTTCAAACAAACTGCTAGAGTTCCCAAAGACTCAGTAGCGCCCAGAAACCACAGGAAGCCCGCGTGAGCGTCATTCTATAAGGGTGGGACTTAAGCTGTTTAGCTCACTCTGATTGGCCAAAACCCTTTAAAATCGTGATAGGACACAATTCTTGTCAATTTGTTCTTTTTTTTTTAAAAAATCTATGAAGACATCATCTTTGTATTTTTTCTTACGTTTGATGTGGTTTAAGGTCTTTTTATTTTGATACCCCATCCATAATACACTTCATACATCATGCATATTTATACAATAAACTGATTGTGCTAAACTTAATGACGTAAAAGCAAAGGGTTTCCGGTTGAAACGCAGGAAAGCATTTTTCTGTGTTTACACACTAGAGATGCTAAGTTGGAGTCACTGGCCAGGTCAGGAGCGTAACGTGTGTTGGACAAAGCAGTTGCACTGCCAGCCAGCTGCTTAGAGAGAAAAAAAAAACAACATAGACAATATACTACTTTAAAAAAAGATTTTATTTGAGACAGGGTCACGTAATGAAAATTTCTTCTTGCGATCACAGCAAAGTCCACAAAAAATGCCACAATATCCCATGCGAATTTAAGGTGGCATAGACGGAAATAGCAGAGGATTAATCATTGTGCTTGGGTTGTGTTTGTGTTGTTAGTTTGATGACTGATCATAGCTGTAGCCCCCATAGCCTGTTTAATGGGTAGTTTTTTTTCTCTAAAACATCAGCTCATAAAACAGGAACATAATTTAGCCACATCAAGGTCATTTTTTTTAAAGCTTTGGGGAAAAAAAGATTGAAAATAACTGTGTCATTTGGAGGTAACACCTGTGACTATGAATCATCTTCTTTTTTAAGAGTTGCTTCATGTGACAGTTCCTCATATAAGCCATTTCAGCTAGTTTAAAGGGGAAATAAGTTATAAAATAGAGGGCCACATATATAATTCATTATCTTTTCCAGTCTAAGCATAAAAAACCTTAGAAAACATATATCGTATATTAAAAGTGAATGTCACTATTGTAATGCACTCTCACACCAAACTATATTATGAATTTAAAATGAAAACAAGACACATACAGGCAAATTCATTGCTCTTCGGCCTCTGGTAAAGACAGCAGGGCTCTAGAGGAAAGTCTGTGGGGCAGAGCCTGCTGCTGAGGTTGAACAACAAGCTCAGCATCACAGTGCTCAATAAGGGAGGAAGGAGGCAGCAGGTGACCATACCTGGTACCTGCTCTGGGAGGATCCAGAGGCGGAAAGAAATACCTAAACCATAATGGGGGGGGGGGGGAAGGACAGGAGAGGAAAAAAAAAATAGGACAAGCACGTGGATAGGGAGAAAACAACAAAGAGAAATACATGAGAGAAAAACAAATTAAATTAGGAATGATAAACGGACAAATGATGCATATGTACTTCAGAATTTAAAAGGGGATTAATAGCAGGCAAGGTGATTACAATGGTTTATTTCTTACAAAGGTGTATATTCAGTGCCATTATCCAACACCAAAAAGCTTACGTCATAAAGGAAAAACAGAATGTGATGGGAGTTGTGAAATACATACATGCAGTTCTCATGCCAAAAATGAAACCATCAACCAGTAATAACCAGGAATTCAGCGGACATGTGTTGTGCATATAGCATTGGTGGTGCATGAGCAAACGATTGGAGATTCACATGAGATATTAGTAATATGCTGGACTCTGGTTTATCTTTGGAGTGGTCAGCAGCCGCAAGGGGGGAGCAAAGGGAGCTCTCCTGCCAATCCTGCATGCAACAAGCAATACAATACTAAATTAACTTCAGTAGACCCAGTTCAATCTTATTTGTCGTCTAAACATAGATGGAATGCAAGCACACTTGGTCAAAAGTTGCCTAATACCATATAAAATTGATTGATTACTAAATGTCATACAGTGTCTTGTGTTACTTAAGTTAGATGTGAGTCAAGTGTTAATTTTTTTTAAGTTAGGGTAAATACAAAAACAGTTAAGCTCCAGGTAATCAAATCCAACATAAATACAGCCAACCCTCTGATCTAACTAAATCAGTGTTTGTCCAAAATTATTTAAGAGAATTTACTATTCCTCCATCTCATGGTTTCTTTTGTTTTTACCTCCAAATGAAATGTCTGTTGAACAGCCTTCACTGCGGCAGCATTTAAAAAATGTTTAAACAAAATACAACATATTAATAGGGGAAGACAATGTCTCATAGAAGGAAAAAAATGTCTGAAGGCACTGAAAAAAATAACAGGTGCTTGTTCGTTTTATTTATATAAAACAGAATTTATTCTTTTATTAAAAAATGTACAAGCTCTTGCTTTTGGAAATGTAAATGGCTGTATTCATACTGTCATTCATTCATGTGTTACAATTGGTTAATATGGTCCAATAAAGCTGTCCTTATGCTCAGCAAAGAGTTTGGAGATTATTATACAAGGAGGCATTCACTTGAAAAGAGAAATGAGGAAAGTTTTGACTGGTTTAATTACTTTTCAACAAATTTAGTAGTATAAACACAATAAGGATACAAAAAGTCTACAAAAAAAACAAAAACAAACAGGAACATATGACATTTTTCTAAACAGATTTATTTAACTTAGTATATCATGGGAACAGGTAGCCCTCACATTAATGAAGCAAAGTCATAACATGATAGCACTCTTATGACATGCAGTACGGGTCCCCATGACACAGGCCTGATCTAAATAAACTCAATGCCGGAGGGCAAAAGCCAAGCTCTTTGCATGAGGGCAGCGTTAGGTCAGTGAGTCCAAGAGGTTTGTCAGTGGACAGCTGAAGTCCCAGTCAGTGCCAGGCTTAACCTAGTCATCAGTTCTGCCGGGTGCGGCTTGGACTGGGTGAGTGGCGTCAGACGCACCACACCACCTACCTTCCTGCTGACATCCCGTTCAGGGAATTCTGCGAGGTCTGAACAGAGGACCCCATCACTGTGCTCATAGCCGACGGCTGACCAGATGAGCCGGTCAGTGGGCTTCCATCTCCCTTCAAAATACCTGTGCATTTCCAGTTGTCCATGTAGTTGGCTGCACAGACAAGAACATCCAAAGTTTATTCTTATTCAAAGTGAAAGAGAAAAGCTGATATAAACAGTCAGAGGCATTTGTTTTTAATTCTTCCCCAACATATGTGCATTATCCCCATATATCACTGCTGAACAAAATCTTCTTTTCAACCAGACCAGCACACCTATAAGAGAAATCCAACTTGTTGTTACACATGAATGCCTAAAACTGCTGAAATTACATTAATTTAGTATTCATATAATGTAAATATATACACCAAGTGACTGGCCAACAAACAGACAAAAACATGAAGACAACTGTGAAAGCACTTCTACATCTGTGACATCTATAAACATGTCTTACAACAATAAAATAAGGCTTACAATTAATATCAAAAGCCTTTAAGAAACAGGCTTACAGTGATATGATGAATGTCACCTTATTGACGTGCATGTACAACTTCCTTTTTTCGATATCTATCAGATTAATGCCATAAATCTTGACAATGCGTATGTCAAGTAAGTAACTTTATTGGAGTGCGTCCTACTGGCTGAATTAAATAAATGATTGATGCTTATTTTTAAAATCACTATTTTGTATAGTTCAGCGATTATACATGTAAACTAAATGAGTTGTCTATCCAAGTAAATATTATTGTAAAAAGCCTGGTGTTAATATAATAACAGCAATCATTAGCAAAAGATGTAAAAGCACAATAAGAATGATTTAAAGAGTCATACACCCAAAAAATCACTAGTACAATCCAGTTTGTGATGTCTCTTGTGAATAAGGAGTCAGAAGCGAGACATCTACCAGTGTACTGTACTGGATTAACAGTTTAAAAATCAAGCAAAATAATGCATTACTCATACCTACACTTAACAGTAACTTACCCCTTAATTAGTTTTAAACTTTGTCAAGATGGTTAGCGTTACTAATTGAGCTGATCCTCTATACATGGAGGTAGTATATCCTGATTCCAGCTCTACCCGGATGAAGTCTCAGCCCATTGCAGCCTGACTTCTTAATCTTTCTGGTAACTTCCCTGTATCCAATCCTAATTTTTTTTAAATCTATCCAATGTTGCCTTATAAGCCATGCAAATATGTAATCTAAAATTAATGTGACTAAAATTGGTATCAAGGGAACTCTACAGTTTGGATTGTCCATCATGATTTGTAATCAAAGTACCTTAAATCACTACATAGATACAAAGAGCCATCACAACAGGGAGCGGTTCGGGCATTGGTGGGAAGAAACCCAGTTCAATTGTTGTTTCATTTGTATTATCAGACCAATCTTTTTAGAAAGTCACAAAGAAACAAGTTAACTAAAGTCACCTAGGTAAAGACTTTGGCCAATGTGTTAAATGGCTTGAACATGCTGCTCAAGAACAGCATTACGGAGAAATGATCAGTCAACAACAGTGTCCAACAACAGCCACGCACCTTTCCATAGACGTACGCAGCCATCATCCCCTGAGGAAGCCAGCAACGTGCTGGTGATATTCCAGCTTACACGCCAGACCTGGGAGTTGTGGTTGTCAAACTGGGCCAAAATCTGAACCTCAAACTTGGTGGGTCCTGCACTGGTGCTCTCCCTCCTGTTTGGAGGATTCAGGATAAGAGTCAAATGCAATTCTAACATATAATAATGGCTAATAATGGCTAAGAAGAAGAAAAAGAAGAGGAAGATTTTCATTGACTATAATCTACTTCTGTAAAATGTCGTGCAAACAACAATAGAGAGACCAAGAATGAAAAACTGAAAGTCACCTCATGGGAACAAGCTTAAATATTCTGACATCTTTAGTAGCGATGGCAAGCACATGGAAAGATCTTCCCAGGTTTGGTGCAAATGCAATGTCATGGACTGCGTCTGTGACTGTCATCAGGGTTTCCGCTTTACTGTATTTCCTTTAAAACAAGAAAAAAAGATACCCACAATCAACAATATTGGTAGGTTTTAACACTAATGTAGCCCACACAATACTAAAAAACTTTAATAAAATAAAAAGGTAATAATAGTAACAGTACTCACCGTGTGTTTTCATTATATTCGTATATTTGGACCTTCCCACCATAAGTAACATTGCTATCATCACTCCCCACAGCAAACATTGGAGGGTGGGCACGAGAACTAAGGGACATGAGGATAGAACATGATGAACCCATCATCTCTTTACAACGCAACAATCTTATGATCCGAAGTTTGATAAACGTTTATATCTGACTCACAATGAGGAGGAATGTGTAAATCTAAGACTTTTAAAATCAGTAAAGATCAAGAATGTTCAAGCGGAGTTAGATATGCTTCTCTCACAATATAAATATATCTGCTTATACAGTGGGAAAAGGAAAGAAACGTAAATAAATGTATCGCCTGAGCTACAGCTCATCATAACTGTGCATAAAAATATATAATGTGAAATCTGAGAACTTCAGTGTGCAAAGTCCAGGTCCTGACCAATATTTGTAAAAAAGTGTGTCACATGGGAGGTCGGAAAAAAACAAAAAGAGCAGAAAAACACAATATTACAATAAAATATCCAATACATTTCCTACAAGTTTGTGTTCCAAGAGCTTTCAATTCAAAGAAATGCAAAAGTAAAATGTTTCTAACCTGGAAGGGTTCCAAGAAATGCAGCTGCAGCTGAGCTTGCATGAGATCTCATGCTGCAGTGACCACTGACTCAGGTTCATCACGTCCGGAGCTTCATAGATCCGCACCACGCCATCAGCAGAGCAGGTGGTCAGCATCAAGCCCATGTGTTTTGGAGCAAATTTCACGTCCGTCACTGATGTTCTGCTGTCGACGAGTGTTGTTCTCTTGATCTAAAATAGAGACAAATTCAACAATTGTGTCAGTTTTGACATCTAACCTACAGACTTGATCACGTGCACTCATTGGACTAACCCAGTGGCTCAAGCCTCTCTGCTTGTCATTGGACTCCCCGACAATCTCCTCCCAGACAGCCGCTGTCCTGTCAAAGGAGCAGGAAGCTAGTACCTGCCCAAACTCTGGATGAGCCCAGGTTACTCTCCACACTGATCCACTATGCGTCTGCACAGAGGAAAGATTAAGATTCCCTTGAATCAGATAATCAAATTGTGTTTCATTCCATGATCACTCAATGGGTTGCATGACTACATTACACAGAAAACATAGAGCCAAGGATCTCATGGCAATATAATGATAACTTATTGTTTTACCTTGAAAGGAAAATTAAAAAGAAGTAATGAATTACCTTCCAGCTGGCTGTGCAATGCCATTCTCCATTCTCACTTTTGTCCCAAACCTAAGAGGCATCGTACTGTTATTTGTTGACATATTGGTTGAGCCAACAACAAAAACCCATAATAGTAATCTTTATTATTATTCATATTCTTAAATCCACGTAAACAAACTGAAAGTAATGCATTTTTCTGTTTTAAGCGAAAACATAGGTATCAAGCTGCACCACAGTTAAGTTGGCAGAAATAGCCTATTAGCACTCCATTAGCATGTGGACTACAAATAAGCTTGTACAATAATGTACAACGACATTAAGCAACATTTTATTCATACACATACGCTGTATGTAACAACAACATCTACGACAGTATTAAGTTGAGAACTAAATGTTCAGATAACGTACGTAATGGGCACATGCCAGCATCAACAGACGGTAATGTTAGCATCAACTTTAACGTACCTTGACACTTTGGTCACTAGAGCAAGTTGCCATTCTCCGACCATGAAAATCATACGAGACATCATGAATGAGATCTTTGTGATCTGCTGCAATACTACGTGCGACGAACATTATTTCAAGTATAACAAGGCAGCAACTCTAGCTTATAGCAAGCTAGCAGGCCCGTCATGTGTGTCTTTCTCAAAGAGCACACCGTGCCTGAGTAGAAGTTTGGCGCCTGGGTCCTCTAAAGTCATATTGGCCACAGTGTGGCGCCTACACGTAATTTAAATAAATATTTTAAACCGTGTTTTTGGTTCAGAGGTAGTTAATAAAATTAAAGAATATGTAAATTCTTTAGTAAAAATATAATTATAGAATTTATGGTGCCAAAGGTACAATGCCGATAGAAAATGTATCCCTAAAGCGCGCGTGCGTGCACTTGCTTGATTTGACTTCATTACAGTATTACTCTGCTCCCTGCGCGTGAACCGGAAAATGCTCATAAAGATATCTTGATTAATTGTTGTATAATATTAAGGTTCTATCGGTGTGGTTTAATAGCTATTTCTCACAGTAAAGTACATGCTTTAAATTTCCCGTGGCCAAATTCAGTTTCTTGTGTTATCGAGCTATATTATTTTAACCGAAAACGACAACTACAACTCTATGAGTTTTTGATGAAGAACCAATATATTGATTTGAATATATATTGCATACTAGAAATTTACTGTATCATATCTATTGGGTGTTAACAAAAAATGCTCTCATTTCAGTTTATTTTCTTTACATTTACCTCATTTTGCACATATTTGAGACATTTAGAAACATGGTAATATGTGAACTAATATCAAATCTACAATTTAAATATACAATCTAAATGTCAAATCAAATTGGAATCATTATATATGTTAAATCTAAATATCAAATCGAAATGTAAATATTTTTTATAAATCTGCATTTCAAATGTAAATTTTGAATCGAAATGTTATAATGTTATATACTCACAAACCACTGATCATTAAGTGAAAGAAGTTTTTAAAGTTACATTCTCCTCACCATTTTGAGCTGCAGGTGCCTCAGAACCAGTGATTCAAAGCAGCTTGACAGGACTAAATGCTTCTTGTCTGATTTTTGGCGATTAAAACCCAATTTTACTATAAAACTTGGTCCATTTATGCAAAATGTTCTTTTCAGTGCCCTTTATTGTTCTTTTCACATTGTCTGTGAGATGTTGTCCTGACTCATGTTAGAATGCCCCCTATCAAGGAATCTATTCTTTGGCCCTTTGAAATTCTGAAAGATCAATGAGTAGGGTGACATGACAAGTATTTGGTTCAAACCGGTCAACCCATGCAACTTCATTGTGCTGACCTGCTCCACAGCCTTCCCAAACAGTAGGCAAAAGGTTATCTAGAAGGCTCCTTTGTTTAGACCAAGACACAACGGCCAATATCTTAGGGACGTCTAGAGAATGTGTCCGTTACCTGGTCTGTATAAAATTTCACCCTGAAATCTGACAATTCTCCCACCTATCTGACACCCAAGGCATTTAACCTTACCATTTACAGATGGTAAATGGGGGACATAAAACAAATAATCCCAACATTTCACCCAGACGGCCCATTTGAGATCAAGAAACTCTAACTAAACTCTGAGTTTTCCATTTTGTCCCTAGTAGACGGCAACACCAAGATCTTTGTCTGAGGCATTGATATGAAGCACAAAAGGGAGCTTAAAGTCATGATACGTAAGAATGTGGGTGTTCACTAGCATATTAATGAGCTTACACAGTAGCTCCTGGTGCTCAGTAGTCCAGACGACCAGTGTTTTGGATGGGAAATGGGCCCCTTTCTTCTTTAATGACCTGGATGCTTTTCCTTACTTTTATTAGGCAACAGGAGCTCATAAATGGGTTTGGCTATGATGGCTAAAAAATCCAGCAACTCTCGAGACATCATCCACTATAGCAGGGCATTCTTTCTAAAGTCAGTGCATTCTCCCTCAGCAGATACTAAATGACCAACATGTCATTTTTGTTCTTTGTAAATGCTCCTGATTCTTCCTAATCATTTTTTTTTGTACAATCTGTTGTTGATCCTGGTTGGTGTTGTCTCTCTTCTTGGGGTGATACCTGAGACACAAACCTACAGTGACTCACTGTCCAGGGATTCCCCTGCTTGGAATGGAGACTTGAGCATTGTTAAAGAAAATGGGCTATGGTCCCCTGGACAGGACAATGCAAAATGGAAAGAAGTATTGCCATTGGCATAAACTAAGACATACAGCAACAACACTGAAAAATAAATGACATTTTTATGTATTTTTCTGTCATCTGAGGTTTTGTTTTAATTTAGTTGGAATCTTTGACCATACAATTTTTATGCTATAATCTCTGATTGTGTTCTGAAACATTTTTAATCTGTTTTTAATGGATTAGACACATCTACTGTATATAACTTGCAATCCTTGTGCTTATAATAATAATGAAACAACACATCTTCTTTTTGTTACAGCAGGAGCTACTCTCTATAGATATGCATTCAATAATAGAACCAAGACCAAATTGGCCATAAATATCCTAAAAATTAGACATTAGTGGTAATTGTTAGTTTAAAATAGGGATTTTCGTGGTCAGATTGGCTCAAGGGTGAGATTCCCTTAAAGAGAGACAAAGTTGTTTATATCATGAAAGTGATGTGATGTGTAGCTGGAAGGCAACTTTCAGGCCGGCTTAAAGTGGCCAAAATTGGGCAAATTAGTCATCAGTTTTTATTTACCGAGTCTATTGTAATTGAAATATTGTGTGCATATGTACCTAAAAAAGATCTTACTGGATTAGTTGATTAGGAGATTATTCATTTTAAACTAAATTTGAAAGGGTCTTAGTCCATCTGAGGAAGTAAGAAATTGTAAATTTATTACAAAGGAAACATTTGTAATAAACCAAGGACACACTGAATCTAATCCCTCATTGAAATTTTAAGCAGAAATATTTGCGCGGCCAACGAAGTAAGAAATAGCAAATGTATTAAAACGGAAAACTTTATGAACTCAAATTAACCAAACACGATCATACAGGTTGTTCGTACAACATACCAAGCTGCTCTGATTGTAGAGGAAGTTGAATTAAAATTCATACGCTTTTCTGTGCTGGAGTGGAAGTGAAGTGAACGTTCTGAACCAGTTACCTACTGGATGAGGGGAGGGTTTCCGACTTAAGAGTAACATCAGCAGAGCCAAATATCCCAGCTCTCTGACACCTCTGGGATATGATGTCTCAAAAGCCAGGGTTAAGATATTGTAAGACATGATGGCCTAGGAGTTTGACCTAACAGTCGCTGCCAAGACTTGCTTCTCTAACCTTGCAAAACAATGGACAATAAGCACATTAAAAGTATATATGTGACGCAAATCTAATTTGAACTACTTTACATGTATTGAATGGAACTTTTCTTTCTACACCAATTTGAACTATTCATGCTGTTGGAGGATCAGGGTATTTTTGACACAGGTCCAAGAATACATTATGGTAATTTTCCACATTTATTTGTGACATTTTTTTATTTTTTGGGGGACTTTAAGTTGTCCTGAAAGGGGGAAATATGTATTTGTCTGGAGTTCAAACAGAAGACGAGTTGTACTGTACTTGGGAAACAGCTTGATGTGTTTTGAAACATATTCCCGAGATAGACGAATATATCTGTGGAAACTCCAACATAACAAACGTTCTTATACTGTAAATAGATCTTAATAAGATCTATCTACAGGGTGATATATGACATATTGTAGAGGTAGAGCTGATGTTCATAAGAGAATGAGATCCAGACGCTGTGGAAAAGTGAACAAATACTACATGGCAAATTGTATCCTTAAGATGGTGAAACCAGGGTTAGGGAGATTTCTCCTGAAATTTGGCTCTCCAAATTTAATGCAATAATCTGTACTTAATGCATGCCTGAGACAGACATGGTTGAAAATAAAGTCTTCCCGTGTTCGACTAAGTCTGTTGCAGTGCAGTTTTTGTTGCAGCATCTTCCTCAATTCCACAACACACGTCATAGTTGTAATGCATTGTCGTGAATATATATGTTTCACATATAAATCTGAGAATATTTTTCTGCTATGAACAAACGTGTTTTTTGTTCTACCTTTACATTATTTGTTTATTTTGAGGTACAATCTGTGCTGTCCTTATTTGTAGCGTTCCCTGTCTTATCAGATCAAATCTAACTTGTATTGTGTTAAAACATATCACTGTTTTGTATATAAATATGAAAATAATTTTCTCTCTCTGAGTTGTGTCCATATACAAATTCATCTCTCACTTTGACCACATTAGTTAAAAACCCCCCAAAAATAGACTGTTTATGACATTTACTGCCTTTTCAGATAAAACTGCATTCGTATTGGATTGCGTCTAAAGACAACATCGTTTCATATCTGTATTCTATGATAGGCTTCTCTGATCCAGTTATGCATATTACAAAATTTTCCCTGACTTTCAAATAATAGTTTAAAATGATATATTTTTCCTTTGTTATATATAATCCGTGCCGTGTCAGACAAATTCAGATTTAATCTAAAAATGCAGGAACTCTCCATTGTTTATGTGTGAAAGTTATGACTGTTTCTCATAGCAATCCGTAAAACTTGCACATAGTCCTTCGCAGCTTTTTATGGAAAACTTGTATAAAATGTATATAATGTGGGCTAAGAGTTTCGACATGCTGCTGGATTAGATTACATGATATAAAATTATAATTTTGGTGACTACCAATGCTTTATATTTCGGAAAGCTGTTGCATAAACCACCGGATGGTGATCTAACAAATTGATTTAGCAGTATTTAAATGTCTATCGGTAGAGACGATATTTCTCCAAAATACAGAAGCAGATTGCATTCACTGGGAGAAAAAAGTAAGAAAGAAACACCTTATATCATAATTACGAGAAAAGATCTCGTAATTATGAGATCTTTTCTCGTAATTATGAAATCCTGGATGCCGTAATTCCGTCAGGATGTCGCAATGGAGATCAGAATGTCATAAGTATGAGAAAAGATTGTTTCTTGTAATTACGACATCTTTATCTCGTAATTATGAGATGTTTTCTTATAATTACAAAGTAAGTTGTCTATTTATTTTTTTTCAACTTTATTTATTGAACATTTTTTAAACCAATAACATACAGAGTACAAAGTATAAAGATGGCACATTTACTGGCACAACTGTATGCAAACAACCCAAAACAATGCCCAGCAACCCCCACCCTCCCCTTTACAAGCCTTCTTGACCAGATAGAAAGAACACACAAGCATTCACACACATACACACACTCACTCTTTAGGGAGAAATAAACAACAATAAACAATAAATAAAAAATAAAATAGAAAATAGAAAATAGAAAATCAAGTTGTCTATTTTTTTCAGTGAATGCAATGCGCTTCTGTGCCTAAACGCCAGGGGGCAGCACTGCGAACTCTCCTCATGGCTCTCTGTTACCGGAAGTGAGAAGGCGTCCCTGAGGAAAAATGGAAGCCGCAGTGTTCATTCTTTCGCTTGTGGACTGTTGTGCACTGATTTTCCTCTCGGTTTACTTTGTATCCTTTCCTCGTGTTTATTTCTCCGATGGATCAACTAACGCTGTCGGTTGGTTTGATATACTTATGGCCTATTTTCTTTTCATTTGGCGCGTCGATAGTAATGAGCTATGTCGGTTAGCTGCCCTGGATTCTTTCACAGAATAAATTGTAGCCAAATATAAAAATATGTAAATCAATATGTGGAAAAGTTCATTTTAAGACACCAAACTTAGACTCTCTAGGCATAATGTTGTTTTGTTGGTCTGTATCTCTTTTAGCATATTGATTTCCACAAATATTTTATTGCTTTTTTAAGCCAATGCGAGCGATAGTTATCCCCCTCTAATGGCCTAAAAGTAAAGCTGCATACTTTGTCATAGAAAATTCTGACTCATCGAATGTGTTCAAATCATGCATTATCACCTTTAATATCACACCCGATTTTTATTTATTTTTGTCTCTAAAGAACAGGTTTTATGAGTAGTAGTTTTTCCATTCAGGAGTTTGTTTAGTTTAGTATCAAGTCATTTTTATACACTCTTCTCTCACAGAGAAGGTACAGAATCAGTTTTTTGTTCTTGAGAATTGTATTTATATTTTTCATATCATGGAAGCATCAACACTAAAGACGTCTGGGTTTGAGTTGATGAGAGAAACTTTTCCAAGTGTAACTTGGCTTAAAGTGTGACATATAAAAGGATTTAAGGACAGAAATTTAGGTTAAAGTAAGCAAAACTGTATCCAATGAAGTTAACTGTACTATATGTTATGAATTTTGCAGATGGGATAAATCAATCCTTCTTTTTGCTTCTATGAATAAAAAAAATACAAAGGTAGTAAGGATATTTTTTTTTTTTTCCAGAATGATGTATTCTGCTTTTTTCTACCCAGTCAGGATTGATCACATCTTAACATTACATATTAATATTCTGGATCTGGTTCTTCCTGACAATGTTTGGTGTTTCAGAGTTTTTTCTTATTTGTTACTTGTAGTTTCCCAACCAGTAATTGTTGTAGTGCCACTTCCGTCCCCTTCTCTACCCCCAAAACAAACCTCAGGAAATTCAATAAATAATAATTTAAATAGATGACACTTTAGCCTGTGTGGCAATCTTTTTTCTATAGTTGATTTTGTTATGTTCAGTGTAATCTACACTTGAGGCATGTAATGTCACATCGGTGGGAGAGATTTATTTTAAATGTATAAATATAAGTGTGTGTATGTATATATGAGTATTTGTATGTATATATATATATATATATATATATATATATATATATATATAAATAAGCAGGTGGCAGTGGTGGTTGCCTATTTAATTCATAAAAAAGATTTTCCCTCATGCTCCCTTTACCACTTTGAAAACATAACTTGTGACTTTGGCAATATTGGAAATTTGGTATGTTATGTGTTTTGGATTTGAATTTTCATTGATTGAGATACACTATTTATTTTATTTATTTGATTATTAAACTGAAAACGTTAGGCTTCCTGTGGATGGAGTGTCCTGCAGCAAAGGGTCTGTATTCAAGAAATGAAAAAGGCTGAAACCTTGACATAAAGCTTAGATCATCACCTTGTCTGATCTTGAATGTGACTACATTAATGCAAGATCCTGCTGCTCCAAGCTGAACAAAGTAAGTTCCTCCATTAAATCTCTTTACTGATATTTTAAAGTCATTTTTGATGATACTCATTCCAGGGTGTTCTGATAATGGATTTGAAAATGGTATTACTTTTCATTCGCGTAGCTTTTAATCAAATTATTCTAAGATTTCTGCCTTTCATGTCTTTTTTGTTTCTTTTTATGTCTCAGTGGATCATTCCAGAGATGCTTGGCCAGTGTCTCTCCACTATGCTAATGCTGGTGTCCATGCACTGGTTCATCCTCCTCCTTAACATGCCTGTAGCAGCCTGGAACATATTTAGGTACAGTATGCTATTGTAACCACTTCTTCCTTAGAGAGGCTATCATTGAGGATTTAATCAAACCCAATACTGATTTAAATACTTGAAACATTTGTTAAGGGGTGTGAGGAGTACCTAATGCAGTCATTTGGGTGCATTTACAAGAACAGTTAAATATTTAATTTACTGTACTCTAGTTACCCACAGAAGTTGGAGCTCCTTTATTCTGTTTTAGTGCCTCTTTTTTATCAAACACATCTTCCAGAGTTGACCATTTGAATGTCTTATATGACAATATCAGCTTAAATGTAGAAATACCTGAGGAAATACTTTGAACTTTGGCTGGAAAACAGTTACATACTGACCAGGTGATCCTTCGTCTTTATTTAGAAATATAATGTCTTGCTAACAGCTTCCATACTGCATGATTTGACTTAATTAAAGGCACTATAGCTGACCAGTTGTAACCAGAGCAGTCCCATTTAACAGCTAAAAAGCTGAATACAAAGGTTCGTCATCAGAACTGGAATTTAAATGGGAGCTACACATATGCATTTATTTTCTACATTGTAATTACAATGATATAACACTTGTTCTGAATTATCTTTGTCTAAAGTTTTCTGAATTTAATTGGATCCTTTACTATTTAAAAATGACAGATCATCACCATCACAAATATGTCTTCTCAGTCAGTACATGTTCATCAGATCTTGTTCATGTTGCGCTTCTTCTGCAGGGATAAAGACTGTTTTACTGTTTTTTTTTTGCTGCCGGTGTGTCAGATGGCTTTCCTCTTGTCTCTGCAGGTACATAAAGGTTCCAATGGGAAACATGGGTGTGTTCGACCCAACTGAGATCCACAACAGAGGTCTACTAAAGTCGCACATGAAGGAGGCCATGATTAAACTGGGCTACCACCTGCTCTGCTTCTTTATTTATTTGTATAGGTAATTGATAATGGTCAGATGGATTTATAGTACATTAATACATTAACCCAGTACTACTCAAAGTCTTGAATTACCCTTTAGGGACTGCTTGAAAGTCCAGAAAATCTGGACTTTGTTTTGCAATAATACCTTTGGAAGTTAAACAACAAAGGGAAAAAAAGGGGTTGCTTAAGACTTCAGTGTACTGTGTGTCTTTAATATGTTTCCTGTCTTCTTCTAATATGTTTTGTTTGCCATCGACATTTTTCCAGCATGATCCTGGCACTGATCAACGACTGAAGTCCTCGGCACAACTCCAACTCCCACTCCAACGTTTGCTGACCTGGTTGTTCCCCTTCCCTCCGTGCTTTGTTTCCCAAATCTTTGAGAGAAGAAGAAATGTCCACTATAATGCTGATTTGTGTGATGTCAGAACTTCCCAATTTCCACATCGACATCATACAGTGGTTGATATTTATAATTCAACATTTTTTGATTAATTAAAAGTACAAAATATCCTACAAATATTACTTCTCTGTATGCTTTGTTCTTTTATTCAGTTAAACTACTTTATGTCAGTTTTACTTTGACTCGTGAGTTTATCCTTGTTAATAAAGTATTACATTTTCTGGGTGAATACATACATGTTTTTTGTTAAACTTTTGATAACTTTTTGATAATAATTACTATAAATAATAATTATAATACATTTGATTTAAGGTGCCTTTCAGGGCACTTGTGGTCACAAGTCAAAAGGCAATGAAAGCAAAATATAGGTAAAAGAAAGCATAACTCAAAATGAAAAGACCATGGTGTTTGTGATATCAGAAAGCAGAAGCAGGGGGATGGAGACAGGTACATTTTCAGACAGCACTTTACTCTGTTTTCAAACTTCAGAACATCATCACATCTTTGTTTTTACTCTTGTGACTGAACTAACCAATGAGATGCCAGAATCTTGACTAAGGCAAATGGTGGAAAATGAAAAGGAAGATGCAACAGATTATTTCTAACTGTCTTAAAGATGCAGTAGTAAATAGTGAAACATGTAAATATATAAATAAATGTGCATAATAAATATGTAAATAGTTAAATAATGCAACTTATAACATTGTAAATTCACTCGAATACAATTGATATGAACTTCTGAATTAACTTGACGTCTTAACATTACAAATGCATTAAACAAAATTTTGAATTCCAGGTGGTATCTGATTGGGAGTCAATGGAGTTGTTGAAGCATGGGTGAAATGGTGGGGGATGTTCTGAGATGTCCAGTCCAGGTGAAATATGATTGTGTAGATTACCTGTGAGTGATGGGTAGAGGGGACTAAAATTACTGAGGTGGAAGTAGGCAGAGCAAGTGATCTCCAGAGTCTCGGAAAAGACACAGTGTCATTTAGCTTTAAGTCGATAGCCGTTCTTTCACCATTTCTTCCATCCATTTTCCTTTTTATTATTATTTTTATTTATTTATTTATTTTTTTAATTTTCTTTCTATTATTATCATTATTATTTTGTTATTTATTTATTTATTATATATACATTTTTTTATTTATTTATTTAAATAAAATAAAATAATCTATCCATCCATTTTCCACGGCTTATCTGGGGTCGGGTCGAGGGGGCAGCAGCCGAAGTAGGGAAGGAAGTAATCATGGACTCCTTACCACTCCTTTCATTGGCAGTGTGTCATCTAGGACAAAAGTTCTTCTTTGTCAAGCAGGAGTGTCTTGTTGAAATATTCTGCAGCTCTAACAGGGAGACATACTTGATAGGCTTGTAGTAGCTGATTAGAATTGTATGATATCCAAGCAAGTAAAACAATAATAGCAAGAGGAAGTAGTAGCAAGCAGAGACCCGTCTGCACTCCTCAATCATAGCAGTTGTATGCATTATAAACTGAAAGTCATCTGTGTGATAGGAGATCTAATGTCAATGGGACTTTTGCATCTTTCTCCAGTTGTTTTCGGCAGAAAATTTCTCTTCAAGTTCCTTCCGAGATCTACAGGTCCAGGACTATGTTGGGAAAAATGTGCTTAACTTTGGAACCACTTACCAAGCATGAGGTCCTGCACATCCTGTCATATTTTGAATGAATGAATGAATGAATGAAGGTTTTATTTAAAACATTTAAAACATGTGATGATACAAAAAAACAAAAGAAAAAAAGCAAAAGGACAAATGAAAACAGTAGAAAACAAAACAGTAAAAACAGAATTAGCTCAGAAGGGCGTAGGAAGAAACAACTGTATTTAATCCTACCCCTTCTCCACTTGTTTTTTTAATATCACACACTCACAAACATGAATGTGCCAATAATAAAGAATCAATTAAATAACCCAACAAGAAAATAAACAATATTTGAGCACCATAGTGTTAATTACACCCTTCCTCTTCCCTATACCCTGTGAATTTTATATATTTGTACCACAATTTTAACTGCTTGTGATTGGACAGTGCCTTAGCCCCTCTGCCGGTCTGTTCCACAGTTTCACTCCACATACAGAAATAGAGACAGTTTCCAGCATTGTGCGAAAACAGAGATTATTTCCTGGAAGTAGGTTAGTTTGTTGGTCTTTATATGATTTGTGCGGTTTGAAAATGAACAAGATCCGTGAGTTAGAGGATTTCTATGTGTTCTCTGTAACCAGTTATGAATGATCTCCATGGCCCTTTTTTGCAGCATACACAGTGGTTATAATAAAAAGTATTGCCCCAAATCTTTGCAGTAAATTAAAGATGGTAATATCAGTTAATGGTAAAGAACCTGGATTGATTTGTGGTCCAGAAAGTATTTTACATTGCTTAGAACTGAGATCTTCAATGACACAAAAACAAACAATATTTGTGTCATCTGCTAATAAAACTCATTAAAAAAACTTAGAGACTTTACAGATATAATTTATATACAGAATTAATGGTTTTGGACCAGGTACTGACCCCTGGGGGACACCAAAAACATAGTCCAAGCATGAGGAAGAACAGTCCACCAAATCCACAAATGTTCTCCTGTCCCTTAAATAACTCTTCAGCCAGGGCAAAACTGTGCACCTGATCCCAAACCGTTGCAATTTATCTATTAATATGTCATGATTGATCGAGTCGAACGTTTTCTTGAGGTCGATGAGTATTCCAATTGCATACCGTTTATGTTCTATGGCATTATTGATTTCGAGTCATGTTGAAAAGTTTGATCTGAATCCACATTTTTGTATTTTTTAAAATCTGAATCCATATTGATTGTCAGATTAATTTATGCTCATCTATGAATTTGTCTAACCTGTTGCTGAATATTTTTTTCTAGAATTTTTGTGAATTGTGGAAGTAAAGAAACAAGCCTGTCATTTGTGAGGTGCTGTCTCTCCCCCGTTTTATACGGCTGTATTTGAATTTTTTGGAAATTTACTGGTTTGGAAAGATAAATCACAGATGAAAGTTTGAAATCACCTCCATGACCCTTTCACAATTTTCATATCACTATTATTTCAATCAGTAGATGTGCTCTGTTTACATTAATTTATTATATCAGTTATTTTCTTTCTTTCTCTTCCACTGCTGTGAGGAACATTGACCTTTTGATTTCTATCTATGAGAGTATTACAATAGATCACAATGTTTTACAAAAAAAACATTACACTATTAACTACAGCTGTTTATATTTATATTTAACAAATACCATATTCCTTTAACATTGTTTTTCTCATTTAACATTTTACTATAGTATTTCTTTCTGCTAACCCTAGAGCTGTTTATATTATTTAACAAATATCATATTCCTTTAATATTGTTTTTATCATTTAACATTTTACTATAGTATTTCTTTCTGCTAACCCCTATACTATTAGTTAACTTATTTTTGTAGTTTTCATATTTATTCTTTGCCACTTTAGTTCTTTTCAATTCCAATTCCGATAAAACATTCTATGATATGACTGTAGACAAAACTGGAACTTAAAAAGCATGTAAAATTTGGGGCAACAAATATCTAATGAGGTTTGGAGAGCCTATGTAATTGTTCAGTCATTGCCAGACACAGTCTTCACAGTTCAAAACATTACAAACTCCACTACTTGAGGGAGAAACTACAATAACTTCACTAATTTGCCTCCAGTTTGTAATGACTTCCAGGCAGTAATTTCAACTTGACACACTTCTTATTATCATATGTCGAACGTGACTCACTTTGGAAGACATTTGTTTGTCAGTGGCTTTTGGGAAACACTGGGACCCAGATCCATTCAATGCCGTTATTTGCGTTTCTAGTGCATTACTGTTCAGTTCAGTTCAGTTTATTCGAACAACAAAACAATATAAGATGTGTAAATACAACACAACACAATGAATACATAACACAATGAATACATAAACCATAATAAATTGTTCGAAAAGGAATGGGACGAAGTATAAACTTTTAAGTTTCCTATCCCTAATGATTCAAGTGACCTAAGTTGCTCATTTAATTAGTTACATTCACTCTTCCATATTAATCTACCTGTTTTTTATCTTTCCTCGTCTACATATTTATCCAAAAGTAATTTTTTGAACCTTCTCTTAAACAAATTTATGTTCACACTCTGCTTTAAACACGGCTGTAAACTATTCCATAACTTCACTCCACTACTTGATATAGTCATTCTTTTCATCGTTGTTCGTGAGCCAACAAACATGACACAACTGCTGTTTAGTTTTGCATGGCGATTACTACAAAGTTTAAGTGTAAAAGAAAAACTGCCCACGTTTGATCTGTGGTCGGGAGAACTAAAAAAGACTGAGGAATTATAATAATGCCATGTGTTAAAAAAGTATTCAGTGAAGTGGCTGAATGACTGACCATGTGGTTGTATACACCTTTTTTCCCCCTCAATCTAAGGCAATTTTCTTTGAAAAATAGTTTTGGTCATCAAAAACAGCCTCAGAGGCTCCTTCCTCCTACATGTGCTTCCAAAAGGAGGAAACCAGGAGACTTCTTAACTGGATACCCAAACCTCCACGGCCGACTCTTTTCAGCAGCTTTACTCCGAGTTCCCTCCGGATGGCCACGCTCCTCGTTACCGTCCTTACTGAGGTTTCATTTACTTGATCATTTCAACAAAAGGTGATGACAGACTATTTAAAATGTTTAATCACATTTTTTTAATATCCACACACATTTCCGTAGCTATGCGTTTACAAAAATTGATTAAGGTGTTTGTTTTTTTAATCATATTGAATTCTCAAAGAATTTAAGTGACTTCCAGTTATTTTAAATCACATCTCATGACAAATACCACTATATGTCCAACTTCTCCTCAAAGGAGACTTCAACCCGTCTGCTTTAAAACAGCACTTTTTCAAATTCGATGTACGTTTTAAAAAATGATAAATGTTTTAGATTTCTTTTCTACTCACACTGTGCCTGAATATGTCAACTAAAATACGGAGCCCAGCCCTTAATCCATCATTAACCTGAGCCTTTACGATTGTGCCGTCAATCCAAGAGAAATTAAGAATAGTTAATAGACTTCAAAGAAAATAAAATCTCACAACCTTACGGGCTCGCTGGGTTCAGCTCTCATGCAGCAGTGGGGCTTTGGATGTTGGACTGACAGACATGCAGATATGCCTGAGCTTGATCAACCTGGCCATGGACAGTAGGTCTTAGTTACAGAAATCCTGGAAAGAGGTACTGCAGAAGGAGGACCACTCCCACCACCATAAGGACACAGAAGAACAGCATGAGCCAGACAGGGAAGTATCCTAAAAATAAACACAAAACAAACACTGAGCAGGTCTGAAATTCGGAAATATATTGGACTGAGGTGTGAAAGATGAGAAAGCCTACTTACTTCGGTCGGTAACCGTGTGTACTTGACAGCGACTGTCCACAGCAACACTCAGCATGGCGGTTTCATGATTCCCTTTGATGTTTTTGCCTTTCAGGGAACCGGACAGGAAGGTGAGGTCTGTCACAACGATGCCATGGGACTCCTGGACATAATACAGCCTCTGCGGACAAATATCGACACACACTCTACTTACAAATGCCCCAAACAAGATTTTGGTATCAGTCATAATGATAGTTTTTGTACCTGTAGGGAGAAAGCAATGTAGATTGCCACTGATCCAGTTACAGTTCCAAGGCCAAGAAATGTCCCGGAGTCGCTGGTAAAGAGAAGGGAAAATTAATACATGCAAGAATTAATACAATCTCCACCCCAAAAGTCTGATTAGAAATAATCCATCAGACGAAAATCACATGATAGCAAATGAATGACACAGACATGAAAGTATAGTGTTTTTCCTTGCCTAATGCAGTAGAAATGATGAGATTTTAGTACTACCATCAGAATGGATAACATTAAAGTCTTGCTCATTTTTACTAGTTGATCAAACATCTAACAAAAACCAGAATAAATTAAGATGTTAATTTTTTCTCAAGCTTCCTAGCAACTCGTAGAAAAAGGTGAAGGTAATTACAATGTTTTTTCCCCCAAACGAAATCACTGCAAACCTGAGCTCTGAAACACTCCTGAAAACTGTTTCAGTGAACACATGATTGATTCAACCAACATGAACATAAGTAAATTATACTATAAATATATAGCACCAAATCACAATAATCTCAAGGCACTTTGTTCCAGTTCAAACCACAAAAAAAAAAACAAACAAACAAACAATTCAGTTAAAAAAATTGAAAATATTCCTCCCAGATGTACACTATATTGTTTCAGTTTTATGTTTTTACATAATCTTATTTATAAAATGTAAACCTACATGTGACCTAAATTAGTTAGAGGTATAAAGGGAAAGGCAAAAGAAAGAGGAAGGCCAGAAAGTTTGAATAAAAATATTATTGACTGATCCCAAATGGACTTTATGTTTGCAAACCGCCACAGCTTGCATTCCTATTGGTTTAAGTTTTTTTAGTCTAACAACACAGATTGCACTCTCCAGACAGACCTGGAGGAAATCTACTTTTTGCTGCAGACACAGAAGAATATTATCTAGCATTTAGTGCTGGATTTGTAAATAGGTGTCCAGGCAGAGCCACAAGTTTATGTAGTCCCAAAAACGTGTTCAGAGTATGGCGACAGTGTTTGGCCTGTCCCTTAACGTTGCACTGTTATGGAAGGTGGAAGATCCTGTTTAGTAATGGGTTTTGTACCTGAATGTGACCAATTTCCAGGGAGATTCAAATGTTATGTATTGTTCAGCATCCACATTGAATGCATGAGTTACCTGACAGCCAAACAGGAGATGACCTCAGAACCACAGGGGGACGTGAGCATGGGCAGCAGGCTCTTGCCATCCCACTTTGTAAGGTAGCAAGGAGCCGGTTTTCTCTCTCTTTTGTGAGGAATCTGCACTGTGTAAAGCCTCAGTGTGTCTTTTTGGTCTTCTACTTTTCCAAACCTGAAATACATTTTAAACAAAAATAAATAAAAACAGTTTGGAGGGAAATGTAGTTGGATCTTTGTTTTTTTTTTTGTACCTGCAAGCCATGTATCGATAAGACTTTTCAGATATCAAAGGCATGGCTTTGTGCCAGTGAAGACCCATAACCAACTGGTTGCCACTCCACACTTTGCAGGCAAAATCGCGTCCAACAGTCACAAGGTTCTGCATGAGAACACAAGATGTCAACAATTACTGATGAACTTTTTACAATCTTAATTAAACGTCCACATTAAGGTACGTTAGTGGTTCACCTTGTTCAGCGGGCTCATGTCCAAGTCTTCAATCTCCCCTTCATGGGCTTTGAAATCAAACTTACTTTTCAGGGAGGGAAACTAAAGAAAAGAATCACAAAAGTCAACTAAGTCAAACCAGTTGATGAGGTTTTAAACATCTTTGAAAAATCAATTGTAGTAATCTATAAAGTTAGTACTGTTAAGCATATTTTAACATAAAGCCCAAAGTTACCCAGCCACAAACATTAATAACCCCCAAGTTTGCTGTGAATTTGTGATTTGTTTAATCCGCTTGGCAGAGTTATAATTGACAACCAAATTATGATGTAACAAATATTAACACAGTAACTTGACGGGTGCTAATGCAGCTACCACCCACTCAAACAACTGCCTGTCTAAATGGTAGCTTTTAATCAGGTCGTAAGATCTTGTGTAAAAAAACAAATACAAATAGAAAACGTATGCATGTTCATGTTAGCTCTTATTTTAAGTGAGACTTTTATATTGGTATTTTGCTGTCCCACTGACAGGGGATTTGATGGATTTGTTGTGCTCCAAAGCCCCCCCCCCCCCACTCATTTAAGCAAAATCACATTTAATTCCAATAAGGACGTTTTTGTTTTTTTCAAGGATGCATGTTTTGTCACAGCTTTTCTTTTAGCCTGCGTAGGTGTATAAAAAGCATAAGTCAATATGGACAGTTATAATGATTTGTGTCTGAATTCTTTCAGCGTTGGCGCACAGCATTTACAGAAAAATGTGAAGTCTTAGTAAGGAAAGACAGAAAGGTGAGGAGAGGGGTTGACCTCCCAACATTTTTCAGCAACACTCTTTCACTTGACAACAACCGGCTTTACCTCCCAGACTCGGATGTGTCCGTCGCTGCCTCCTGTCAGCAAAAGGCTCATGTCAGGACTGAACCTAACCACTTTCTGCAGCGGGTCTTCAGGGTTTAAGTCCGATTGCAGTTCAGCCAATCCGGACACTTGGATGTGAGTCGTCTCTTCCTTGGTATCTGACGTATCCTGAGCTGCAGCAGCCCGATCGCCTTCCACTTGGTCTCCTTTCCCCACTCTTCGCCTGGCATTACCTTCCTTTGTGATCTTCTCTGTAGAATAAACAAGATTGAGCTTCGATCGATCTTACACATACGCACACATACATACACATACACACACATACAGATATGTATACATGTGACTTTTGAATTAAAAAAAAAAATTCTGTATTTAAACTTCATATTTATTTCTTCCTCCTCTTATCTCATCCCTCCATGCATGTGGCTTCCCTTGCTGAGGTATAGTGAAAGCTTATTCAGGACAGTGGATTGAATGAAATTGAAAGATTCAAAGATGTGTTTGTTCCCTCAGCTTGGCAACTTTTTATGACTTCAAACTGCAGTAATACAACCATCATAAATTGGACTCATTTTCCTTTAAGAAAATGTGTCTACATTCTTCATATGCTTATTGCCTTGAGATGGCCCATTTGATTTTTTGTTAAATGCTAGAACTAATCTGAAATAATCAATCAGCTTTTTTAAAACAATTTCTACGGCGACAAGTAAAATTAGAAATAATCCAAACTATAGCATAAGCCTCACCATTTTTGTCAGAAACGTTTTTTCCTTTCTTCGTGCAGACTTTAAAATTCATGAGGCAGCAGGTGCCGTCCTGTCCTGCAGCTATCACTCCATCACCCACAGCCATGTTCATAGTGGCACGCATGTCCGTGTCGTGGGAATGAAGGAGGCTTGCGCTGTAGTGGTGCTCTCCATTCAGCTGCAAATCCAGGAAGTGCTGAGACACAATAAATAAAGATGTGTTTCCATCAGCAGAAAATCAAAAGCAGCCTGAGCCTTAAAAATGAATCCTAAATGACAATATCAGATTCTGCAGCTGTATCTGCTAAACATTGAAGCCTTATTCAGGCACCATTGAATCATTCACAGAAGCATAAATACACAGAAACTGAATCAAGTAATTTGGTTTGGAGGCAAAACCCACAGAAAATAGAAATATTAACATACTATTAATCAAAATACTATGCCCAAGAATTGTGTCAATTTCCTTTGTGTCAATATATTGTGACATACACAAGGCATCCATGTTGGGGAAACACGCTCATTCCCTGTAGAAGTAACTCTGAGCAGTAATGGAAGCAGCATTTCGAAATGTTCAGTCGTCTTGTGTTAATTTCATAGATGGTACTATGGGTACCATTTGTCCCCTTGAGCCCTTTTAGTGATGGAGCAGTTCTACTTTTAGATTCAGTTTGGCCACGAATCCCCAATCATACTGGATATTGTTCATGAAGTTGTTGTCAGTGAGGTCTTATTGCAAAAATACATAGCAAGCATCCAAACCTTTATCCAACTATGCTGCTGGACAGAAAAAAAACATCCACTAACTTCGAAAAGACAGACCTTCAAAATCAAATTTTCGTATAGAAATTCTGTGGAAAATGCAGTGTGTCATCCTAAAGAGCTAGCTTTTCAGAAATCCTGTATTTGACTCACTGTGGATTGCATAAAGGTGCATAACGCAGAACTTTAAGACCACAGATAAATCAGAAAATATGTATATGAGCTTGATAGACAATAGTCTGTTCACACAGTCTTAAGTACTCACCACGGCATTCCTTATTCCAGTCTTTGAGGCTCCACCTCCTCCTGCTGTGATCACCATCCCCGTGGCTGGATCCACTTTAACGGTGTACAGTGGAAAGGGGGCTCTGTACAGATCTGGTACCCTGCTCTTTCCCATTTTTCTTCATAAGACCTTTGTATTTAATCACACTTGTGAATACAACACTGCGAGTCTATCCTAGGAATGTCCTATTCTCCTTCTCATGGAAGCTCTTGAAGATCTGCTCCACATAAACAAGAAGAGAGACATACATCCATTAGAACTGACAGCAATAAGAAAAGTTGATTTATCTAAACAAATTTCCAAACAAAACATACTCATTTTCTTTTTAAATGGTTGCAAATATAGTTATTGTTACTTTCCATATTCAAATTTTTCCAAGTTGAAAATATTTTCAACATTTGGTCAAGAAACATTCAGCAGATTTCTTTAATATTTGTCTGATTTAATAAGCAGCACAATTTCATCAATTTCATAGACATGTTTAATCCAATTTAAGGATCTGTCGTCATCTTGGCTGTCATTGAAAGAGAGTCAGAGTACACCTGTGAATTATTATAAATTATTAGGTTATTATAATTATTATAAGCATTATTTCTATTAGCATAATTATTAGCATTACTTTAAAAACAAATACATCCACATCAAACAGATGATCTGTGGAAACTGTTAGCCTTTTGAAACTACAAAGTAACTTACTAGACCAGTTATAATATAACTTCAGCGTAATATTCTACCGGTTATGCTTCGCAATCATAAACCTAACCAGCAGAGGCCGTTTCTGATAATCTCTGACTCTATCCTGTCTGTGTGGAGAATGTCTGATCTTTACTAATACTGCTGTAAATGTTGCATTTATGGATTATGTCTAAATGGCATCCAGATTCAGTCGCACTATACATGTAAAAAAACAAACAAAACACGTTAAGACGGTGCAATGGCTTAAATGGATATCCGTCATTGGTAATTATAGATTTATACCGCAACGCCAGAGTGTGTCAACTTTAAACCTTTTTGACGTTATCGTTGACAACTACAGCTAAAACGTCAACTTCATGCTGTTTCAATTACAGTAAGGAGCAATGCTAACTTCCTTGTTGTAGGTTCGCTGGTGGTTCAATTTGAGGTCTCTTACCTGTCCAATTACGGTTTGCCTTGTGTTGCAATGTATCAAATACATCGGAACAACATTTAATAATTTCATGCTGTGATATTAAAGACAAAGGAAAACATTGTGAAGCCGCTAAAGGCTAAAGGAATCTTAATAGGCACCTCCCTAAATACACGTCAGCAATGTAACGCACCATTCACTGCGTACTGACGTCACCGCTCTTCTTCTCTGGTTTGTACAACGGTTGTCCAAAACACCGGCTGGTCCTCCACAAGTCCCCGGAAGTCACTAACCAGGTACTTAAAGGCAAGGCATACACTTCTGATGCCAGTTCCAAATCGGCAAGATTTTACACGTTTCACTATTGGATTTTAATAAAGTCCTGAGTAAAGCTATTTATATCAATCAATTTTTAAGCAAAAAAAAAAACTAGAAAAAGAAATATGGAAACTGTCATCACGGGAAAACTCATGAGAAACACTGTACTGAATGTTTCAGAAGAATCAGAATCAGAATCAGAATCAGGTTTATTGCCAAGTAGGTTTTCAGACTTACAAGGAATTTGCCTTGGTGTTTAGTGCACAACACAACACTTCTATGAGAAGCAAGAATAAAAAGTAGAAATAAAGATATAGGGCAGAATGATAAAACTGAAAAATAAAAAAATTTGACGTTTGATGCACATTTAATCTAATGCGGCTGTAGGATTAGGGTCATATAAAAACACACCTTCATCTTTACTATGAGCAAGTTGTGACCCATATTTGCATGGTGTGCTTTTTTTTAATACTGAGAAGATTATTAGAAAAATGTGAAAGATGTAACAATACGCTGACATTACCACAGTCCCGTGGTCAGTATCTGGCACAGAGAAACTTTTGGAGCAGCATTGGCACTCTGTAGACACCTCAATCATTTGAGTTAGGGCTGGAGGCCTGAGAGACAAACCAGAGTCTGGGCCCTTGGTGGGCCTTCTTGGAAGGGTTTAAAAGACCCAGGGAAACTGGAGAAATGGGGGCCCTGTTGGAAGGTTGGAGAGTGGTATAATCCTGATGGAAGCCTGCTACAGTAGACAGAATATTAATCAATAAGTCTTTGAAGACAAATAAATTGTCTGCTTCGGTGAATAATCATTCAAATCACCCCTACAAGTCCCCAAAGGACAACACTTCACACACTAAAAACAATGTTCCTGAATTCAAACACCATGATCATTTGGAAAGTAGGGGGCATCTGTAACACTATTTGGGACTTTTAGTGCAGTCTTTAGATAGAGCTCAAAGCTTTAATTAAACCCTCAACCAACATTTAACCCTTAATATATTTTGCATTTATTCTTTATGTTCATCTAGAATGTGTTTTAGAGTATGTTTAGAGTGTATTTAGAGTATGGGGGAGAACATCTGGATATTTTTATTGTAATGGTAATTATTTGGTTTAAATTTAAAAAATGCTTGAGTGACCACACAGGTTTTTCTGAACTTTAATCACTGTCATGTACAATTGAATCAGTGCCAGTGCTTTAGTCGTGTTCTTTAGAGTTTGCTATGGCATCAGTTGTCCACAAGATGTCACCGTCAATGAAGTCTTGAGGCTTTGAATCCTTCAGCACAATTGTTAGGAAAGCCTCAAGGCTCAAGATGCTTTATTTGCCCCTAACTACCAGGTACTCAGAAAAGTAACTTTATTGTCAAATGATAAAAGGTGCAACTAAAGTTGGATACAAAAATACAACTTGACTGGGGAAAACCAAAACCTAGCATAATATAAAAACCAAGGTAAAGATGAGAAAAAGGCTGGAAGAGATAAACATCAGAATCAGAATCAGAAATACTTTAATAATCCCAAAGGGAAATTATTTTTGTTACCAACTCCAGATATACAACAGCATATTCATATATAGATCTGTATACATATATATATAGATCTAAAATAAGTGTTAATGACAGTGTGAGAAGAATAAATAAATGCCAATAAATTCGTAAGAATGTACAGAGGGGGGTGTCTGACTCTTTGAGGGAGGCGTATAGAGATTGATGAGTACAGGAATGATTTCCTGTGGTGTATCTGGGTGAGAGGAGCCTTCTGCTGAAGGAGCTCTTCTGCTGGGCCAGTGTGTCGTAGAGGGGGTGTGACACATTGTCCAAGATGGACTTAAGCCTGGACAGCGTCCTCTCTGCCACGGTCGTCAGAGTGTCCAGCTCCTCCCCTACGACATCATCGGCCCTCCTGATCAGTTTTTTAAGTCTGTTGTTGTTTGCGACTTTCAGCATGTGACAGCAAAGAAGATCGCACTGGCCACAACAGACTCATAAAACATCCTCAGCATTGTCTGAGAGATGTTAAAAGACCTCAGCTTCCTTAGGAAGAAGAGTCGAGAAGAGTGGCCCTTTTTGTAGACCACCTCAGTGTTTCTAGTCCAGGCCAGCTTACTATTAGGTACTTTTACTCCTCTACAGTCGCTACAGGGACCCCCTAGATGGAAACAGGGGTCACAGGTGTTTTAGCCATCCTCAGATCCACTATTAGCCCCTTAATCTTTGTCACATTGAGCTGCAGATGGTTCTGCTCACTCCAAGTGACAAAGTTTCCCACCACAGTCCTATATTCACTCTCATCACCCATTTCAAAGCAGCCAACTATTGCTCAGTTATTAGAAAACTTCTGAAGGTGGCAGGACTCGGTGCAAAAGCTGAAGTCTGAGGTGAAGAAGCTGAAGAGGAAGGGAGAGAGGACAGTCCCCTGAGGGGCCCCGGTGTTGCTGATCACCCTGTCAGACATACAGTTCTGTAGGCGTACATACTGTCGTCTGCTCATCAGGTAATGGACAATCCAGGACACGATGGGGGCATCCACCTGCATCGCCGTCATCTTCTCACCCAGTACAGTCGGACAGATGGTGTTGAAAGCACTGGAGAAATCAAAGAACATGATTCTCACACTGCTCGCCGGCTTGTCCAGATGAGTGTAGACTCTGTTCAGCAGGTATATGATGCTGTCCTCAATTTCCAGGCGGGGCTAGTAGGCGAACTGTAGTGGATCCATTAAGGGCCCGACCATAGGCCTTAGCTGTTCCAGGACTAGCCTCTCAAAGGTCTTCATGATATGGGACGTCAGTGCCATTGGCCTGTAGTCCTGAAGGCCATTAGGACGTGGCGTCTTTGGCACAGGAACGAGGCAGGACATCTTCTACACCACAGGGACTCTCTGAAGGTGCAGGCTCAGTATGAAGACCATGTTAAGTACTCCACACAGCTGGGCGGTACAAGCTTTGAGCACCCTGGGAAATACACCATTGGGGCCTGCAGTTTTGCCGGTGTGGAGTCTGGTCAGCTGTGTTCTAACCAGGTCAGGTGTGAAGGGCATTGAATAGGTGACTGTTGGGGGAGGGGTGAGGTCCTCAGGGGGGGAGAGAAAAGGAGATGTATGCATCATTAATGTTAGCATACATCAGGTCCAGGGTCCTCTCCTCTCAGGTTGGACAGTTTAAATATTGTTTGAAGGTCGGGAGAACTCTGTTTATGGTGACATGGTTGAAGTCTTCCGACCTGATGATGAGGGCATTGGGGTGTTGAGTAGTTGGGAGATGGTGGTGTGTATTATGCTGCAGGCAGATGTTGGGTTTGCAGAGCGAGGGGATGTACAGGACAGCAATGATGACGTGTGGGATCTCTCTAGGTAGATGGTATGGTTGGAGTCCAACGGCCAGTAGTTCAAGATCCGGGCTACAGATCTGTTCTTTAATGGTGATGTGACCCGGGTAACACCATCTGCTGTTTATTAGAATGGCAAGTCCCCCTCCTTTCCGCTTACCACTCTTAGTATCCCGGTCGGCCCGAGACAATCTGGTCCGTAATGTTGTTGTGCAGCCACGTCTCTGTGAAACACATCAGACTGCATTCCCGGTACTCTGGGTGGTACCGCGTCAGAGCCGTTAGCTCATCCATCTTGTTGCTAAGGGACGGTACATTCCCCATAATAACAGAGGGGAGACACCGCTTAAACCTTCTCCTCTCAATAAGCCCTTGCCGTCTCGACCTTCCTTTCATCCCCCGATATTGCTTTAGACTGGGAAACTAAAAGTAGAGGTAGTGACATACCTTATAGATATGTTAAGGAATGAAACCTACCTACAGTACTGTGATATTACTAACATGCTTTACTGTGTGGATGGCGTTCTGGGCAAGCAGAGGTAAAAGTAAAAAAAAAAAACATGGTTTGTGTAGAAGTTAAGTCAGTGAATAAAAGTCAATATTGAGGTGCACGCTGGACTCATTTTGCTGAACTAGTCAAAGCGATCAATGGTCTACCCAGAGAAACCCCATTCTGCAAACTGTAGGACTTATAGGGTCGGTGTACACCATTCCTTGGTGAAATATTTGCCACTAGTGACTGTGACAGCACCTGCAAAGCAATATAAAACCGGTCTGTGAATTTTGCGATGCAATGGAAGTCGGAGATGAATGACAGATGGGCTGATAACAGTATGGATGGGAAAAGGACAGAGGAATCTTCAAGTAGGCTTTTAAGGGGAGCAAGCATATTATTTTGGACTGAGGTTCAGTCGAGTGCAGCTGTGGCCTGGTTCCAAATTACTTGGTAGTTCCTGAGGTGAGTCTTGACAGAAAAGATGGCAAGAAATGTAGAAGGGGAGGAGACACGGCTGAAAGCTTATGGAGACTTCGGAGGGGGAAAGATATATTGAGGCTCCATGAAGCTGGATGAATAACACAGACACAGTGGAGGGTATTTTCCATTTCCTAATTTGCACTGGCCATTGGATGGGGTGGTAACTGAGGTGAGTCATGGTTTAGCTCTGAGAGAGGAGCACAATCTCTTCCAAACCTGAGAGACAAACTGGGGCTTGAAGGATCTCAGTTGGGATGCTGTGGAGCCTGAGGATGAAAATAAACAAGAGTTTGGCTGTTGTAGAAGAATAGGAAAGTTTATTGAGCGCAACAAGATGACAAGACTTGGAAAACCTGTGAGTCGTGTGAGAACAACAGTTTTCCCTCTGGAGGCCAGGAGGCTGATGAGGTCAGGTGAGGATTCCACCTGGGTCTCAGGCCTTTTCAATTATCCTCTTAATATCCCAGGTGAGGCTCCCCACAGTGCAAGCTGGTGGAAGAAATGGCTTAGCAGGTTGGTGTGGAGAAAACTGGGAGAATGTGTCAGGCATGTGATTGTAAGTTTCAGCATGGTAGGTGAGGTTCAGGTTGAACAGTTGGAAAAACCGGGTCCAAAAGTGATTGTTTGGGGTTTATTCATTTAGCTTTCTGAAGATAGGATATGTTTTTTATGGTCTGTCCAGCCAGTGGCACCATTCTTCTAGGAACAGTTTCATGGTGAGGAGCTCTCTGTCCCCAACATTGTAATTCCCCTTGATGGGAGTGAAGCATTTGGAGAAGGTACCTTGATGGAGCTTATTATCTTCTCAAGACTGTTAGAGAACTACCCCGACACACATTCTGAGGCATCAACTTCCAGCATGAATTAGTGAGTGGTGACAGGAGAGGTGATAACACTAAAGTGCCTGATGAAACTCCGGTAGAAGTTTGTGAACCCCAGGAAGCGTTGGAGTTGTTTTGCAGAATCTGGAACCAGCTAGTTCAACACTGCTCAAACCTTTTTTGAATCCATCTTGTCCACCCTCAAAGACAAAGCCCAGGAAGATTATAGAGGAAATGTGAAACTTTCAATTTCTCCGGTCTTTAAAGGACCTTTCGAATATGAATCCGGTGTTTCTCTCAACCCTAAGAGAAGATCGGAATATCATCCAAGTATTATACTTGGAAGACATTTTGGTGAACAATGTCTTAAGAGACTTTCTGAATGTGTTTTTTTATTTTTATTAAACTCTGGAAAACAGCAGGAGCATTAGACAAGGCATCACCAGATACTCAATGGGTCTAATGTGAGTCTTAAAGGCTCTTTTCCACTAATTGCTCTTGTGGATATGGACCAGGTGGTAAGCATTGCAACGGTCTAAGTTGGAAAAGATACATACTTGAGGGGCAGTGCACGCAGACCCTCAGGTAATCCAAGAGGGGGGCATTTTCTTTTTACTTTGATCAATCATCTAGTTTTTTTGGTGCCTAATTCAGCCATGTCCTGCTACTCCACCCAGTTTACATACCGATACCGCTCTCCCCTCTGGTTCTAGTACACAGAACATGCTCACACATGTGGAGTTTTAGGGGCTATTTGGCGATTTTGGAAGCGTTCGGGTTCATGGGGCCTGGGTTCCGGTTCTCAGCCTATGTCTCAGGGACGGGGCCTGGTGGGGCCGATGGGCTGTTGCTCATGGTTCCTGGAACACTTCTGCCCTACAGTTGTGGGAGCTCTGACAGGGGCCTTCCTCTGTGATCTTCTGGGTCAGATGCATAGCTTTCTTTGGAGTGGGCTTCTTGGCTTCTGTGCTTTGGGGTGCCTTCTTGTGGACTGAGTCTTGGGGTTGTTCTACCTGCTTCGGTACGCTGGAGGTTGGGCAGCCCTTTGGATGCATAACTGTGCACAATCTGCGCGAAACATGGACTGCAAGTTTTGCATGCTTATTTTTACACACACACAAACAGTCATATACCCAGACACACGCTTATTTGTGCTTTTTATAGTTGCTGTGCAGTTTTGCTGTGTTTGTTGTATGTCTTGAGTGTTGTTAGTGTGCCGGCTTTCAGGTGCTCCTGAAGATTCTCGGCTTGGATTGCTCTTATAGGCCATGGGGTGTGTTGTGGTTATATGGTTTTGTTGTCTTTTTAATCCCCCTTTGTTTTTTATAAGGATCGTTTTCTTTTCTCCCTCTTTTCTCTTTCCCCCTGTCAGAATTGGTATTGTTTAATAAATGTAAAGTATTGTAACAAAAACAAATAAAGAAACAGTATTGTTTTTTTATCCATAAAGCTTACCTTGGCAAAGTAAATGTGTTCAGCATAATGCGGTACTCATATTACAATTTTGCTGCAATAATGCTGAACAGGACGAGACTAAAATATAGAAATAAACAAAACAATAACCAAAAAACAAAAACAATCACCACCGGTTGTGAATTAGAAATCCCATGGCAATAGTGAGAATGAACTTGGAATGTCTGTCAGCCATTCAGCTCCCAACTCAAGGATACTTTTTCACATTCATCAGGGAGATATGGGACATGCAAACTCAGTGCCAAAAGCACTTTGAGGATCTCCTCAATTTGGCCATTATGTCCTCCATTGACGAGGCAGTCTTTGTACTCGGGGGAAGAATTATCTATTGCCCACGGAGAAATAGGTGGTTTGTTTAAAAATCTTACAGGGAGCCATGGGTAGGTGAGATTTACATAGAAGGGATATCTTGGCTACCACACTTCCTCAATGTTGCATGGAGCAGGAAACTGGGGATCACACTAATCAGAATCGTTGGACAAGTTTACTCAAGTGTGTTGGAGAAGAGGAACCAACGGATTCTCAAACCATAGATTCACATGGTGCTGGCCATTTTGTCCAGGTTGTGGATCAGTGGAGCAAAAAGGCCTTCATGAAAGAGAGTATCTGGTTGGCTTGCCAAAGCCAGAGGAACCTGGGTTTCCCTCCTAAACCTGTTATCTAAGTAGACTGACCTTTGATAAACACAGGACACACAGTGGTTGGATAAATAACGGAATGTAGGACAAATAAATAAAATATCAGGCAATTATTGTGAAGATTTTGCTGGTCATATTGTCTATGCATCTCTGGTGGTTACTAATGAAACAGACTAAATCAAAGATGCATTGTTCATTTTTTTAAAGTTCTCAAGAGCAGTCTCTAGTTTATTTTAATTTGTGAACTACACTCTTACATATTTCTAGTAAAATGTGAACCTGCACAACACTGTTACAGGGTTACTGAGGCAGACTCTGTAAAACAGAGAAGAGCAAAAGGTTAATTTCAGACCCTAACACAATCTGAAATCATGTCTAAAGGAAGTGATGGATACAGTCCGCGGTATTCTGACCAGATGATGTCATTTACATTTCATTTTCACCTCACAAAAGTTTGTCTATTTAAAAAAAATAAAACAAAAACCTCTCCCTTAAAATCAAAAATTAAATTTCACTTGAATACATGTATTATATTCATTTTTTAAATGAATTATTATTTTTATAAAAAGCAAGAAAAAAAAAATCGATTTTGAATTTGTTTTGAACTTTTTGTTGAAGTTTTATTTTCCTTCACCGAATATCCTCTCACTCAAAAAATGGCCTGTTTTGACATTCATCATACTGTAGACACAAATGATGTTGAAAATGTACATATGTAGATACATGTGTTTCGAGCCATGCTCAATTGTCCACCACTTGGTGTGGTAAAGTTATAGAGGTACTGTTGACAAATGACCCTTGTTTGTCTCTTCCTTTAAGGAAAAAAGTAAGCAGCTCCCCTTTTCCTTTCACAAAAATAGGACCTCTCCTTACAAATCGGAAGCCGTACTCCTTTAGGATGTTGTAGCAGTCCTCCACCACCTGTGTGAAAAGCAAACACAGACACACATATTGATGAAACCTCTGTCTTTAGAAAATGTTAAAATAAAAATTCACATATAAACAATATCAAAATAAGAATAGACCGACTTGAACAAAAAAATTAACAAATTATCATATATAAAAAACAATGTTTGTAATATAAAATGAAAATGATTTCATAACATATACTAAATAAGAGGAACATTTTTATTAGACATTGATCCATATCTATATTCTATTATATAAGCTGAAGAGAATATGCTGAACAAGAACAAAATTGATAGAGGAGGAGGAAATTTGAACCATTTTCTCAGTTGATCTTAGTAGGAAGTGTGAACTCTTTGGCAGGTAATATATACTGTGAAGTGAGTATTTCATCAAACAAGCAAAGTGATCAAATCTAAAACATCTACTTCACCTAGATTTTACAGGCATACAAAAGTTGCAGATGGAGAGGTAAAGTCAAGAAGAGGTATAGCGATGCTTATTATTACTGTATGTGACAGTGTAATCCAGAGCCTTGAAAATCAGGGAAAAGTTGCCAATTATAATCCAAAATATCATTCAATCAGATCTTTTAATTTAGGTTTTCAGTTGCAAAATAATTTATTCATATCTGTTGAATTCCAGATGTCCATATATGATATCCAGATATTCCTGTGATATCCTTGTCTTCTTGATACCTAACAGGCTCAGAAAGCTTCAACTTCCCCTTCAACATTTCTTCAGTATTGCAAAAAAAAATTGTTTTCAATACTTACAAACCAGTTTCAAGCTCCATTAATTCCACCCCTGCAAGCCTTTAATATTTATAAGTTCCCCCTTTACAACATCATTAACACCTAGGCTCTCTAGAAACAGAGCACTGACCACAAAAGTTCAAAATGCTTTTTCATCTCAACCATTTATCCATCCGTCCATTCTCACAGCATGAGCCACAGGTGAAGACTTCAATCTAGATTCCATAGTCTATCAACAGCATTATTTTTTGCCAACTTTCTACTTCACCACCATAAAAAGTACACTACATCATCTGTATTCAGATGCTATAGCATCATTTATATGCTGACTGTATTGAGCGTATTGAGCTTGTTCAGCATTTTACTTGCTTGTCTTAAATGTCAATGATAAAAGAGGGGAAATGGTTTACATTTTCTAGTTTTTCTGCATTCTGCTCCTGTTCTACATCCATGACATTTCCTTGTGGACCCAACGAAAGAACTAGGGGTCTTTTTACATCATTATTGTTAGTTGGTCCATCAGCTGCTTCCATTGATAAACAAGTTTCCCGTTTGTATGTTTTGTCATCATAACGTGGAAAGTTTGTTAAAATGGTAAGTAGAAACTTAATTATAATACGAATATAAATGCAATATGACCATGTGTTGCAATAACGTATCAATAATGATACATTCTGATAAATGCTTTTTCTGAGTTTTTACATTTTTCATAACGATCTATACTACATAACACATCAGAGAGTTGTCTGCTCACTGTTGACCTACAAGTTTAAATAGATAAACATGGAGCTGCAATAAAGCAGAGAGCTGTACCTGGATGTTTCCCATCACCCCTGTGGACTCCATGCGGCTGGCCACGTTAACAGTGTTGCCCCAGATGTCATAGTGGGGTTTGCGTGCACCAATTACTCCCGCTAACACAGCCCCCTTATTCAGACCTACAGCAGAGAATTGAGACAATACACAAGAAATGAAGATGCTCATATCATGTAAGAGTGGGCATACAATATCAATGACAATCAGTGATTATTTCTATAGAGAGGAGAATCCTCTACATAAAGAAAATGTAGATCTTATTGAGGTGGAGATGTTTGAGTTTCTCAATGATCCTATGAAGTATTTAGTCAGGGGCTTTATGCCCCTGGTAGGGACAAGCAATTCCTAGTACCCCTTCTGATGAGTTACATAAATGGCAACAGGGTTGCTGGTGGAGACTAGCGATTGAGAGTTGTACCGGACTGTCATAATGAAGGTAGAGCTGAGTGTAAAACCGAAGCTCTTTATATAATGGTTGATCTATGTTCCCCCCCCTAATCTCTGGTCATGAGCTTTGGGTAATGACCACAAGAGTGAGATTGTGAAAACCAGCAGCTAAAATGTGTGTCCTCCGCAATTAGGGTGAGAAGCTCGGTGTTTCAGTGCAGATACTAAAGTTCATGTAGTTTTATCACAAATCCACAAAAACAGTTAAAATATTTGTAGTTGAATATTAAACTCTCTTTTTGTAAGTTGCTTTGGATAAAAGCGGCTGCTAAATGCATGAATGTAAAATGTTGTTAAATGAACATATAAGTCAGAAATATGCATAAAATGTCGTTACAGCCATCTGTAATTAGGCTTGTCCTTTACCTAGATCAGTCCCTTTGAAACTATAAACAAGTGCATGACCCTAACCTCAACCCCAATTTATGGCTATGTAGGTTGTGGACTTTATTTTTTAATTTTAGCATTTATAAAATCTTTCACCATAACTAAACAGGCATGTTACTGAAACTAACAGTAAGGAAATATGGTCTTATTTAATATAAAATTGAAACACTTTCAGTTATGGAGAGAGAAAAACTACAGATAAATATAAAAGGAGGAATATTAGAGCAACAAGCAAAATGTTCAAAAGCCATAATCTCACTTTTTTTCATTAACACATAGCACACAATTGACATCTTGTCAAACAAACTCTTGTTGTGGCACAGATTTGCAAGCCTATGAATCAAATTATTTTTGATTTTGACTCAACACATGAGAAAAAAAGCAGCCAAGATTTTTTTGACATGACAAATAAACTTATTTTTGTTTTTTAATCAAAAGTTAAAAACAAATAATGACTTATCTGATAATACTAGGAGAACACATATGACCCCACCAAATTACGCCCTTATGTAAAGAATGAGCACGTACCTATACGTAGCATGAAGTTATTGAAAGACTGGTAGTTGATGTTCATGAGTGTGACCTTCATAGCCAGAGCAAAATCTGCCAGGTCAGCCAAGTGCTGCCAACGTTCTGTGTCGGTCTGCTCTTCCTTCTACAGGACAAAAAAACAACAAAAAACCCACTGTCAATTTTTAACGAACACAATTATGCTTAATTACTGTTGTGTAGACTACAGTGCATTATAGTGCCATGATAACTCTTCTCATGTAAGCTTTTACAATTACGTACATAATACAATACATAATTAATACATACTTAATTAACTTATTATGGTCTAGATTTTCCGGCTCGTCATGCAAGAGTCTGGCAACTTTATATCACAAGCCAATGTCTTCCATGTGTCAGCCTCAATCAGATTTAAGCTCACATGTAGGTTGCACTGTGTAAGTCATTACTGCCCCACATGAAGCTGACATTGATGCATTAGGTGACTAAAGATAGCATGAGTGGTCCTATAGTTTTGCAATTATACCTCAATGTGAGTAAACATACATGCATTCTATACCTTGCTTGCTAAACAGATGCATTAGTGGCAAATCGAGTTTGTTGGTCATATTGCCTCTGTGCTTTCGTACATTAAATAATACACAAGTGAGTCCAATGCAGCCACAGCAATCACAGCACAACATCTTGTGGTCAATTCAAATGTTCACACCAACTTATTTAATTTTTTGCAATAGAAAACAATGTTTTTAAATTTGATCTGTATCATTCAACCCCATTCCAACTGTATGGTCCAGGTCCAGGGTGTGCTCCACTGCTTTAACATAGTCCCAAAGTGAGACACTGAAGACACTGACATACATACCTTCCTGCCTGTGTAGCCATTGCTGACGTTTGGGGTGACACCTGACGCTGCCATATAGGTGCTGCCAATGGTCTTGATCTTTGTGATGAAGCGAAACTGTGGCTCATCCAGAAGCTGGCATGTCCAACAGAGGTAAACGGAGACATGTTATGTAAAAGTTTCAAGTCCAGTCGCTTAAAATCAGCAAAAACGACTTGGAATACACAAATACAGTCCATGATCAACTGGAAAGACAATTTATTAACAATATATTTAACTGTTACTAATGATCAATTTGGAACATTATATCACACTGTGTGTGATCCAAACATCTTAAATTACCAAAAATTGTGATTGGGAGGTATAATGTTAACTTGAAATCAACTTAAGATTGTGTGTAGGATGTGTCAAATAAGCTGTTACAGTTTCCATATTTCCTGGACAAAACTTGGGTGAAGATGGGAGTTGAATCTTTCCACTGACCACTAACTGGAAGTGAGACGGAGGTTTGACTCCCACCTCTGGAAGAGCTTCAAACATGTTCCGAGGGAGTTGGGGGACATTAGTCTGAGTGGGCCGTATTCTCAACTCATCTCAACTGAAATTTTACTTATAGAGCACATTTAAAAACAACCGGGGATGACCAAAGTGTTGAACTAGTTAAAAAAAGCATGTATGATAAGAGAAAGAGATTAAGATAGATACTAAAATTCAAAAATACAACCCAATAAAACAATGATTCCACTAGAATAAAGATAAATTAAAAGTTTAAATTAGAATGTTTTTCCAAGTATCCACATAAGCTTGATTTAAAGCCAGGGAGAAGAGATGTTTTTATAGAGGATTTTAAAACCTCAAAAGATCATGTAGATGGGATGTGTCAGGGCAGGTTTTTCCAGAGCCAAGGGGCTGATAAGTTCGATCACCTTTGGATTTTGTTTTTGTTTTAGGGGCGACCAGTAGCAGCTGATTAGAGGATCTCAGTGTTCTGGTGGGGGGGTGGATATGAATGAGCTCAGTAAAATACTAGGGAGCTAGGCCCTTTGGAGCTTTACAAACAATCATTTTTTAAACCACCAACAACACTGTTTATAGTGCGGATGGTGTGTTGTTGACCTCATCTCAGGTGGGAGGACTTTGAAGACCTCCTCAATCCCACCACTGGGGAGGCAGACCCTGGGGACCTTGGATTGGGCTCTCCAATCTCTGCTGTTGATGTGGTTAAAAAAAACTCTTCAGTGGCAGGGCTCCAGAGTTGGATGAGATTTGGTGGGAGTTCCTCAAGGCTCTGGATGTTGTAGGGTTGTACAATATCCCGTGGAAATCATGGGCTGTTCCACTGGATTGGCAGAGCAGGATGGTGGTCCCCCTATTCGAAAAGGGGGACTGTATAGTGTGTTCCATCTACAGGGGAATCGCACTCATAACTTAGCTGGTAAGGTCTATTCAGGGGTTCTGGAGAGGAAGGTCAGTCGGAGAATCAATCCTCGTATCCAGGAGGAGCAGTGTGGTTTTCACCCTGACACAGTGGACCAGCTCTATACCCTCAGCAGGATCTTGGAAGGTACATGGGAGGTTTTCCAACCAGTCTACATGTTTTGTTTGTACTCGGAGAAGTTGTTTGACCATGCCCTCTGATAGGCAGGGAATCTAAGGGACACGGTCAGAGCTTGGTCCGCATTACTGTTAGTAAGTTGGACTTCTTTTTGTCGAGAGTTGGACTCGATCAAGGTTGCCCTTCGTCACCGATTCTTTTCATAAATTTTATGGACAGAATTTCTATGCCCAGCCAAAGTTTTGAAGGGGGATCCATCTTGGTGGCCTCAGGACTGCATCTCTGCTTTTTGCAGATGATCTGTTCTTATTGGCTTTATCAAACTGCGATCTTTTGCTGGGGCAGTTCACAGCTGAGTTTTAAGAAGCTAGGATAAGGATCAGTACCTCCAAATCCGAGACCATGGTCTGGATCTGGAAAGGGTAGAGTGCCTTCTCTGGATGAGGGGAGATGTCTAGACCCAAGTGGAGGAGTTCAAGTTTCTTGATGTCTTGTTCACGAATAGGGGTAAAATGTAGCGGGAGATCCATGGGCGGATCGGCGGACTTGGATGACAAATGAAGTATAGAACCTGCTTTGGGAGAGGGACGTTGTCTTCAGGTGTGGTGTAGTGAGCTGTACAGTGCTGCCAGAGCCAACCTAAAGAGACAGGTTGGCTCTGGCAATACCCTCCCCAATGCTGCATTCATTATTCATGATAAGAAATACCAAGTTCAATCAATGGAGAGGTACAAGTTGTATACCAGTGCAGAAAACAAAGAAAAATCAGTACAGAATGACAGTGTGGTATATTATGATTTTCTGCATACAACTCCTTTTTTTCAAGAAGTACGTTACATTTTGGTTGACAATATTTTTAAAACTTACACAACCTCTTTTAAAAAAAGACTTCTGGAAATTACCCTCCATCAACCTGCTCTACCATTGTAGGATAGCTCAGAAAGGGTTATTTCTGTGGAAAGAACTTTTGTTAAAATGTTTATACACTTACCATCAAGTGACATCTCAACCATTTTTCTAAACTTTTCTTCAACAATTTCATACAAGGAGTGCTAAAAATCTGCGTCGTCATAGCTCCAAGTACATGGGAAGAAAACACAGTATCATAACTTACACTGTCGAAATCTGAGATGATCTCGTTGAGAAAGCGTAAGCATTCGATACCACCATTATTGATGCTTTCCTCTGTGTAAAAGTCAGAGAAGTTAGGGATTGATGCAAACATGACTCCAATTTCATCATAGGACTGGCTGTACAACTCCTGCAATAGAACAAATTATGTGAACACTGATTTAGTATTTAAGTGGGAAAACAGATGCAACAATTTCATTTAAAGTCAAACTAAGCAATTCTAATATTCCTTTTCCAAGTAAAACCAAACACCTACAGTGAGGTCCAAATCTAAGCTTGATAAATGCTGTCTGTTAAACCTATCCATGTTACAAAAACAATCTTTACAAAGCATCTCCCATTCACCATTGACATAAATGTGGTGCTTCTTACAGGACAGTTACTATTAGTTGTGGATGTACACAACAAAAATTTTGCAAAGTTGTATGTCCTTCTGTTGTGATTTAGAGCCTGTCCAAGTAGGCTGGCACATACAGGTGGGTAGTATGTGACTATATGATGCATGTGTATGAGTGTACACCTCTTGATGGAAGCTAATACATCAAATACACTCCTCCAGTCCAGTATGACTGCACTACAGCCCTGCTACTCTTTACATATGCAATGAATATGTGGACAGCTTATACTTAATTATTTTCCAAAATATATTGTTCAAAATATCTCTGCAATATGAGTTTTTTGTCATATCCAGAAGTTTTGATACAGGAAAAGATTAGGAATAGAACCATAAAGCTGGAGTCTGATCACTCCATTAACTTAACATTTCCTACACACAAAGCAATGCTTGTGTGTAGGAAATGTACAGCACCAGAAGGTACACTGGATGCATAATCTATTACTTCAAGTCATCTCACGTTCGTGTGTGATCTCATGGTAAAGCAGATATGTACAGGCCAAAAGACTTAGTATAAGCTGTTTAATTAATAGTGTCTTGATTATGGAACTCTTACCTCATCTCTTTTTTTGGAGCCCAGGAAGTGTCGAGCTACATGTTCAGGCAGCATATTGGTAACGAGTGCTTCATTCCAACGTCTCATCTCATATACTTTTTCTTTTTGCTCATGGACCTCAATCTTCCACAGGAAAAGAGTACGGGCGAGTTTCTCCACCTTTAGGCAGGTAAAGGTACTTTGTTAGTATTTAGATCATTAGGGAAAAGACAAATCTGTTTTGAACATAACATTAAAATCTACACATAAAATTGAAATCTCACAATGTCACATTCTGTACTACAGTTTGATGTAAATATTTTGCTATACTTGGGGGGGGGTTGTTTTGTGAAGAAATGTTTTCACCACTTAGAAAATTGTCAGTTGAGCAGAAATTAATTCTCAATCTTAAAACAATGGTAGGAAAACAACAGTAAAAATGGCAAGATTTGTAGTTTCTGTCTTCAGACATAAAACAAAAGAAGCTAAATCCATATAAGGAACCATCTGTTCCTCAGATCAATATCAAAAAGTGTTTTTTGTTAGAATACAGATGCTTTTTTAAATAACATGATAGTCCCCTTAGTTTATGCTGCTCGGCAATGATAGTTTTATGACACTCACAAGTAAACACACACAATGTATACGCAGTTTAAAAATCTTAATAAAACTGATTTATGGCATTATGTAACTATAATATAAATATGAATAGAGAAGAATTAAACAAATGTGATATGTTTAGAAACTCCAAAATATACATTTCAGTATAACTAAAATTAGCAGCAGACATAAGTACATAAGTCAAAATGATCACCAAAGAGAATCACTGTGCTAGGATGTAGCGGTGAGCGGCCGTGACCTTCTGTGCCATAAATTATTACAGCAGAGTTAAAAATTCTCAACAGAACATATCTATGTAAGATTAACAAAATAAAAGCCTGGAGAAAGCCTGGAGTCTAAAATACACCCATTACTTATAAATTCAAACATAGAAGATCTGTTCTTTTTTTTCAGAAGATCTGTTCTTAATAAAGTTACAAATGGACTATTAAGGGAGGTTCTTCCAACAAAGTTTTCCCTCACTTACAGGACAATATTCCATTTTGTTGGTAAGATTATCAAAGTAAAAAAAAATTTGAAGTTAAAAAAAGTAAAATACCAACAGGAAGGCTTCTAAAGTCAACGTTTTCAATTGCGTGGAACATACATGCATTTTTCACAGATACGTGTCATTATCAAAATGTCACCTCAAGAGGTAGGTAAATTTGGCAGTGAGTACATTTGTGTTTATCTAATATAAAAATGAATTATGGCAGCAGATTCAATTAAGATATCTCCTCACGGGAGACTGCACACATTCATACACAGACCTAACTGAATCTCTATACATCAATTTCTATACTGCTTATTCCTAGTTTGGTCATGGGGTTTCTTAATCCTTTTCTGGCTGTCATTGGGTGAGAGGCAGGGCACACCTTGGATAGATCACCAGTCACAAGACACACAACACATACACTTCAAGGTTCAATTTGAGGCAACCAATGTAACAATCATACTTTGTCATCTGAGAAACAGAAAAGACTGTTTCATCTTATGGGAAAGAACAAATGCAGTGTTTTTTTCTCTTCTTCTATGACATGTTAACTTTTTTAAGCTTTTAAATCTGTTGGATCAGCTTTATGACATAAACTGCTCATCGAACGGCGCCTTTTTCATTTGTGTACTTTTTGTTGTTTTACTTAACTATTGTACAGCATTAGTGTAAGATGAAAATATGATCTTTCCACAATGTTTAGTAACAAAAACTTACATGTCTGGAGAAATAATAGAAGCTTGCCATCATGATGAAAATCATAACTGTCATTGTGAACTTGGAGGGAACCAGGTATGAACTGCAAAATAGGACATTGACATTTTCATTACATATTACTTAATTTCCCTTCGGTATACACAAAGTATTTAAAATTAATTTAGTCTATGCAATTACAGCATCTGTTTCTGATGTTTCAATACCTAGATGCCATCAAGGATAAAACTGGGATTGGATGGAATTATAGCCAGACTAACACACGGAAAATTTAAAACAAGGTAAATATGCTTTCTGAGAACTAGCAGGAGCAAACAGATATTGGGCGAATGTCATTTTGGACATTCTCCAAACCTTTCTGAAATTAATAAAGCAGGAGAACAGCACAAAGTTAGCATGACTCAAACTGACATTCTATCAATTATGTATACACCAGTTTCAAACAATTTCTGATGATTCAATTAAACTAAGGCTTGAGTATACCACTTGCTCTTAAATAGTGTTCATTCTTATACAAATTGACCCATGATCCAATCTTTATTACTGAAACATAATCACCTGTAGTCTTTGAAGCGGACCTTGTCATAGTGGTCAAAGATGTCCGTCCAGCTGTAGATGTTTATAATGCCAGTTGTCACTGTTATGAGCAGCATCAGTGTGAGCTTGACCATGTGACTGACTTGAACCAGCATAGTGGTGGCCATCAGTGCAAGCACAGCAGTATAAGTGTAATATTTGGGGTTGTTAAAGCAGCCTTCAAGGCTCGAGCGCGTAGAGAAAGAAGAGGAGGGAGCCACTGTTGTGCTGCCTGAATCTGGGACTCGGGGCAGACAGCTTAACTAGACATTTAAGAAACAAAGGTTATGTGCTCAGTGAGTCCTGTAAAATTGCATTCCATCATCTATTATCAGTCGTATGTTGACAGGAAAATTCAGAATCTCCAATTTTCAGTCTAACATACAGGTGTTTAACACTGCTTATCTGATTACACCCATTGTAAATTGCCATCAATTATTTTCACTGGTCTAATTTTTTATATAAGAAAGAGCAAATAACAGCTCACCATGTCAATGATATCGGCCATGATGAGGATGAAAATGGCTGTCATGGCCCAGGTGTTTCGAGCCCAGCGGGTGTGGTCAATCCACGTGGAGAATTTCACCAGCTTCTTGGGAAACACCTGACAGGGAAACAATATGATTTAGGATTTTGAATTTTTACCACCAACTTATCGTCAAATGATTTATAGTCAAAATATACCACATCTCCAATTTTCTACTTACCTAATCTCTGGTTGACAAAGGAAAAAGTTAAGTTTGGAAAATTCCCAAAGTATTCGAAGATGACACATTGTGTTGAAAAGCGACAACTACTATTCATAGCACCCTATATTTTCTAAAACTATGAAATCAGCTGCTGTGTAGTTTGTTGCTGGCTGATCTCAATTATGCCTTTAACAGAGTAAGTCAATACTGGCCTGCTTGGTGGATATCAATATATCAGAATTTCCATGACAAGACAGGATCTGAGAGTATTACATTGACAATGACTCAAACAACATGTCCTATGATGCTATCATAGATGTAGTTAAGAGTGGATATGCATTTTCTTTTTTCAATTGAGTTTTGTTGTTCATTGCAAGAAACCAAAGGCTGATGGAGCGTAAAACAGGACTTCATGCTCTGTTTTCTCTGTGTTCTGTGTCGTTAAATCTGGAGCTGGGGTGACTCAGATGGAATGTAAACAGAAAAACAGTTTGACAATATTAGTATAACTCACTCGAGGAAAGATGGCAGCCAGAGAACAGATTGTCAGGATGAGCAACAGTACTTCTCCCACTGCAAAGGTGATGTAGTTGGCAAGCAGCCTGTTCCATAACGAGAAAGAAACCTTAAGACATGGCACTAAAAGTTCAGATCAGTAATGTGGAAAAAGACAGTGATAAAAGCAAATACATTTTTTCCTCCAATCTTTCTTTCAGTTAGAAAAAAATAAACAGTGAGACGAATGTTCTCAGAGTTTACTTTGAACTGACCAGGGGTCTATTAGCATTTCCATCACAGCAGTAAAGAGTAGAACAACACAGGAGCAGCAAAAGGCAGCTCCACTTTGCTTTTCCTTCTCCACAGAGTAGCGAGTTTCCAGGTCTTGGTCCACAAACCTCAAGGAGAGCTTGTTGGTGTGTTTTCCCTTCAGACTGTTGAGACACAACATCCTCAGCAGTTAATAGAAAACTATTTCTAGAGCTATTACATTATATGTCCTTAGAATGGCCTGTGCCTAGTAAATCCAAGGATAAGTCATTTTGGAGTTTTCATTTTGAATATATTTAATTCAAAATACTTTCTCAATTACGTGGGCCAGTGTTTTAACTGTTGGGCATATTTATACTGTTCCCTCTATATTGAGTTTCTGTCAAAATGTTGACATCATTTACCTGGAATACTGTGGTATTACTTTTCTATCTCGCCACTCGGATTTTCATGATTAGCATCCTGAGCATGTTACGGAACAAACTGAAACACATTAGGCCCACTTGTAATTGGTCTAAGAAACTTTTTAAAACTCAAGTAGAACCCATACGTTGTTTGTCCAAGGTGCAGCTACAATGGAAAAAACTGAACATTTTGAAACCCATGGAGCACTGGTTCTGGCAAAAAATGTTTTTAAGGATGATGAGACCAAATAATTTCCAGAGTTTCTTTGCTTTTCAAGGATTACAGAGAGCATGGGGTTTTCTAGTTAAAAGAGTGAGGCATTCACTTACGCTTGAACTGTTTCCCTCTCCAGCAGAGCCTCATTAAGAAGTTTGTTGAGTTCCTGTTCATTCTCCTGAGCATCGATCACTCTTTCAGCCAGGTCCCGCAGACGTAACCTTCTCCGGGGATTCGGGAAAGAGGGATTTACCACCTGCTCTCCAACAAAGTCAAAATGGAGAATGAAATTGACATGTTTACTTTTTGCTTTTTAATGAAAAAGTTACTCCAAAAACTTTTTGGAGTTACTTCAAATGGAAGTCCAGATCAGAAGTTGTGTTTCTTCACTTGTCTACCAATGTCATACTTCCATTAATATAATTTCTATCATAATTACACACATATTTGTGAGAGTGCATCTCGACAGCTGTAGTCTCCAAAAGTGCACCAGCTGTTTAACGTAAATTTGCAGGAGCCTATGCTAAGATGGGTCAATGTCATGTTCCTGCTGAAAAACAATTGAGCCTAATAGTTGAACGCCAAAAACCAGGCTGGTTTACAATTGAAATTCTCAGTGGGACACAGAAATAGTCTCGGTAGCGATGACATTTACCAAACTAGCTTCAAACTAATTTCTTGGCAAACTGTATCTTAACAACAGTTAAGATGGGATCATTTTACATGTGATAATTTTTTGGTTACCCTCGTGTCCAATTCTTCTGGTTCCTCTGGAGTGGTACAAGCTGTATCAACGCTGCCGTTATACTCTTTTGTGTTGATTAATTGTGGAGAGTTTCCATTGGAAGAGGTTACAGACAGCTTCTAATGTGAAAAAAGCAAACAGAGGCCATGGGTTATTATCAGTTATATATGTGAGACTTTCACAACTGTTTTCTATGAAGACATAACATTCATTATTATTATTTTTAACCACAGATTTAGACACAAAATGTATTTAAATAAATATATATTTCTTTAAATGAAAAAAAGTGTAATTTGAGATTATACGCTTGCCTCTAAACACATCTATTGCAAGTGAATTCTCTATTGTGGAATTTAACAATCATCATTTCAGTAAAAAAGTAATGATGTGCAGTATGCCGAGTACTCCAGAGTTATGATGGATTTTTATGAAACCAAGCAATATAAATACAAAAGTGTCAATGCAATTCAAATTTGACTTCACAAATTATACAAAACATTTTCAAAGTGAGAAAACTGCTTCGGATATTAGTAGACAATCAAATATTGTTTGCAGTGAAGATGTGTGGAGGTTTAACTAACCACATCACTGATGCCATTCTTTCCAAGAGGTCCTTTAGGAACAACCACAAGGAAGGTCTCAATGCCTCTCTCCCTTAAGTAGTCACAGCGGTCCCCTCCATTCCCTGGCTCTACATCAAACTCGCCATGAAGACATTCTATAGTGCTCTGTGAGATGTGAACACGACTGGGCCACACATAGCAAAGAGAGGAAAGATTAAAAAGCTAATGCTTCATGGGGTCTCTGGAAAATTGGCAATCAACAATCTTTTTCTTTTAAAATATCACAACAGACTATGGCAAATATGTTTTGATCGCACATTAATTTGAAGACAGTTGTCAGAAAAAGAGATGTGTGTGAATCCTGTAACATACTTCTTTTTCACAGAGAGAAGAATATAACTAACCCTACAGGTAGACAAGTTGGTAATAAGCCCTCCACACATCCCCTTTCAATTATTTGAAAAATATTTTTATGTTAAGTTAATGGATTCTCATAATGATTTGTTTTTATCCCGTCCCTTCAATGAATTAATGAACAGTGGAGAGAGAGTGGGGGAGACTGGGTGAAGTGGTAACATTGCTCTTTGTCATGATTCTGGCTCATCTGCCTGTTGTTTTCCTCCTCTGCTCTCAATGTCTGCAATCTTGCCCATCAGCCTGCCTGACCGCCACATTAATGACCATGCTTTTGTCTCTCAGATTTCCGTGTCTCGCCTTGCCCATGCTGGATCTCTGTTTTCTGGCTAACGACTTAGTTTCTGCCCCTGGACTCCTGCCTCGCCTAGCCCTCTGGTTACCAACCTGAGGTCCATGGTCGGTGACCTCCTGTGTTTCAGCCCTGAATAAACCTTTCAGTAACACTCTGTCTCTGGCTAAAATGATGGGTCCTCTTTCATGCTAGCTTGGATGATACATGGACTAACAAGGTCTATGTCATGTGTTAGGGACACACTCATGGTAAGTGGGCTACTGGAACAATCAACTCCTTGACCAGGGACTATTCCAACAGTCCCAATTAAAGGGAATATATGCAGATAAACAATGGATGCTTTGAAATCCAATATCTAATGCAAGTAAGAAGGAATGGGGAGGTACGGACAATATGCTATGACTAGGGAAAGGAAAGACCAAAGACACAGAGACTATACCATCATCCCCACCTGAGCCTGGGTATCAAGCCCCAGTAGAAAAACTGGAAACACCTAATGCATGGACAACTGACCTGAGATGGATCACAATATAGATGTCTTTAGAGGAGCATGCATGGCTCATTGGTAATGCACTTTCTGAAAGTCTGCTAGAAAGTGAACATAGATACCAGTTCCACAATGAATGAGCCAACTCCTATACAAGAATTAAATCAAGATGTATGCTAGGACTGAACGAAACATTGACTCACTGATGCACCTCAAAAGAATTTACAGCAAGGACATCGGAATGGCATTTGGACTAGATAAACATGGCCAGATGATATCAAAGAGAGGAACTATAATCACAACTGAAGGGGATGCACTACCAGAGGAAACCGTACCAGAAGATAAGACCAGTTACAAATACCTTGGGATCCCAAAAGCAAATGGCAACCATTGGGAGGCCACAATGAAGTTGGCCACAATTAACTTACATGGAGTACGGCAGACCAGGATGAATTAGCTGACCAGGAGGAACAAAGCCAAAGTCATCAGATACTCTGCTTACATAATAGCCCGGCCATAGAATTGAGACAGAAGTCACTGATCCCAAGTCCAGCTCCCTAAGACTGTATGTTAACTGGAAAGAGGGAGGTTATTGAGTGTCAAAGCTATCAAGCAGCTAGATGAGTGTCTAAGGCAGTCAAATCCAGGGAAGGATGGGATGAAGAAGAGGAGGAACCATCATGGAAGTATATGTATCAGCATGGCATGTATCACTAACAGATAAAAGAACTAGTTGATAACAATAAGTCCTACCAAAGGCTACAAAGGCTGGTGTAAAAGTCAGTACAGAGACACTTAAGGTACCTCAGTATTAAGGCAATAGAGGTTGGGGTCTAACACAGGTAGGCTGGATGTTAAATGGACTCTGTGACAGTTCAGGACATGATAGCAGGGTGCAAGATGTAGGCAGGCACAGCAGACATGGAATGCAAGAACCAAGTGGGTGATACCCTCAAGGGTGTGTGAGAATGAGGGAGCTAAGATCTGCATGACTTGGAGGATTAAGATGTCAGAAGCCTGCTGGCCTCTGGCTGGCTCTATGGTTTCTCATGTTTGATTTTAAAAAGAAGTAGTTGCATGTGGTTTGTATTCTTTCAATTTCCAAAGGGGAAAAGCAGCATCAGAAGGCTATTTTTTTTGCATTGAAAAGTGACAGCTGTTTTGTGAAAAGAACTTACAAGTGACACAGGTAAACACTAATAAGAGTAATTTTTGCAATGCAGACCCCACAAATTCATTTGTGAATAAGACTGTGAAAGGAATTAGAGAAGTATTATTTCCAGTACATAACCAAAGAAGATGTTGTGCATGAACTTGTTCTTACCCTGGAATGCCTCCAGCCTCCATTTTGTTTGCCACAGTGACATCTGTGGACCAAACATCATACTGCCAGCGTTTCTGGCCCAACACTCCTCCCAGCACTGTGCCACTATGGACGCCAACCCTCATGTCTACATCAGTCTGCGTTTTCTCCCTGACATACCTGTGGTTAGTTCACAAAACATGCAAAATGAATGAAATACAGCAGGAGATCAAAACTCACAGATCGATTACTCATATTTTTTTAACACTATTGGAAAATTTAAACTATGGATACAAGAGACAAGCATAATACAGAAAACAGGCTATCACTGAAAATCTCATGTATGAACTCACGAAATAGCCTCCACCATAGCCAGGCCCATCATTATGGAACAGGCAGCATGGTCCTCCCTATAATCCGGAAGCCCACAGATACAGTAGTAGCAGTCTCCCAAGATCTTGATCCTCAACTGGTGATATTTCTGAAAATGTAAATGAATTAACACAAAAAATGTCAGAACAAATACACAAAGAAACAGACTGAAACATTATGTTCTAGGCTTTGGCAAGTATATAATAGAAAGGTTATGAGTGCATGCTCTAAATAAAGATTAAAATCCAAACAGTTGTTTAAGTGTGTTTTTGTTTGATTTAAAGGTGATCCAGATGATTTGGCAAAATAATATAATGATAATGTATCTAGTCTTATTTTTGATTATTGAATTTATTTCAGGTTTTTATCAAACTTCTTCCATTGCAATTGATTGGTAAGGACATTTAGTTGTTAAAATATTTCTTGAATCATTCAGTTCTTAAAAGCTATGTTAACGTTGCTGAACAATTATGAATAATGTTCTGTGCTGTTGGGGTGTTGTGAAGGGGTTGCTTATTCTGCCATACATATTCAATTCCACTTGTGATCCCTCATCAAATATGCATGTTGTGGTCTGTTAAATTGTTTATTGTATCTAAAGTTGATTTGCTGGTGAATTTGGAATGATGTTTAATATCAAAGGTTGCACAGGACAGAAAACCAAAAAAAACCTCAAAAAACTATTAGGTGATCTAACAAACGGTGCTTCAATTTGAAACCCATTTCTAATAACACACTATGTTGACAAAATCTATTAAATTTGAATAGTTCTAACTTCACATCATAAATAAAATGTATTAGTGATTTCATTGAAGACTTTAGGAGAAATAAAACGGGCCTGAAAGAGGAGATGGAAGACTATCAATACCTTGGTGTTCATTTGGAAGACAGACTGAACTATAGTTGTAACAGAATCTGCTTACAGAAAACAAGTCTGTAGTGTCAAGTGCACTTTGTGTTAGTGCCATCTACTGGGGAAGCGCCATAAGAGATAGTGACTCCAGGAAATAGACTAAATGGACACAGAGGCTGGCTAAATGGAGGTTTCTCTTGAGTACTATGAACCGATTATGCAAATCATATTTAATATAAACGATATCCAAGATAATGTACAAATCCAGAGAAAAATACACAAATTAATAGTTATTCAGCTCTGCTGCAACAAAGCACATTTCTGCCACTAACTTTAACACTAGGCAATCACCAATGACATATATATTTTTCTTGTCTCTGCCAGCCCAGCTCCAGACTCCAACTGTACTATGACCCTCTTTCATTGAAATGGGAATGGTTGCAAGGATAAAGTGCAAATCCTTTTAATTTGAGCTTACTGTGCCAATTAACTTAATGTTAAATGATCTCTGCTTACATATCAAGCTGTTTAACCTCATTAAGTTCTACAAAGCCCATCACAATATTATTTTTATTATGCTATTCTCATTCGGTGCTATTCAACAGTACGTTACTGATCCCTGAAGGGAAATTATAGCGCTGCAGTATTAATCTGCAAGGTCGCTTGATAGCACAAGTAGTCTTTTGCCCAACTCATGTTCATTAAGCCTTGCTGCTTCAGCAGGCCTTTCCCTTCTCTCTGCTGACTGTATAGATATCTAGGAGGGAGTCCCAGGAGCTTGTGCACTGGCACTGTCACCCCATGGAAATGGTGTTTGACAGCATTTAATAGCACATGATCCTTACAACGTTGTGATACACTGAGTGTTAACCAAGACAAAAGAGAGTGAGAAGGGAGGCAAGGTACCCAATGATGGTGGAAGACCACCTGAGGGAAAACACAGCATGCACAAAAGGTAAGGCACCAGATGGTGGAAACTCCTGTTGGTCCAGACCATCCAAGCCATCATCAATGGCTTTACCTGGACGAGAAGACTGAAGATTGACTGCTAAGGTCCTGGGAGTAGCTAGAGGAATCACCAGGGTAAAGAATCTATGACCATCTGAAATGTGCCGGAAGTAGTTGACATCAATCTGGGTCTCTCTCCGCAATCTGAATCTGTTGTAGGAACCGGGTCATTTCCAATGGCGACACTTGTCCATCTTAATGAAAAACTACTGGCACCACACAATCAGTCAACGAAGCTGGTAAAGTACATTTCCACTCACCAGGAAAAAGTGGTACCCTGACTAGCTTCCAAATGCTATTTTTCCAGCAACAGAACCTCAAAATGATTTGTGAGGCTTAGGGGTTGAGAAGCTGTCAGATAAAGGTATTTTTTTGACCACATACCACCAACTCAGCTCAGGACTTTTGGTGATTCGGCATGAAAGAGGATTATGGTTGGGCGCCTGTTGAGATGAGTTGCTTCGAATAGGACAGCATTTTTGTTATTAGGCTTCCTGAAATTTGTATTGAACCATGGGAACAAACTTGAGTTCCTAAGTGTAGTCACTTGGTTAACTTATTTTTGGCTGATCTGTGGCTGATCCAGGTAGTATCCACAAACATCTTCTTATTTGTAACCCTGCATTATTTGCCTGTATGACTATTTCTTCTTATAAAACGATAAAAACACTAAGATAGAAAGATGCTTCCTGTTATGAGAGTACTCTGTTTTGTATTTGCTCTTCACTTACTTAAGACAACCTCCTCAGTAAATTCTTCACAATCGTAATCTTAAGAGTTCCGTCTTCAACATCGCAATGACAGTAAAGCTGTCTAAGTTTAAGTCCAAGTCTAGGCTATAGGCCTTAGGAAATAGGACAGCTGACATCCCTTGGGTGGAGGACTTTCATCCCTAAAATCAAAATTAACCTGCTCAAAGAACCATTTTTATTCCATTTTACCATTACAGCAACATTCTGAATATTAGTGATTCTAAATAACATTAATAAGGATACAAACTTTCTGATCTCTTATTTGATTATTGATGCTACCTTGTATTACTCCTCCCAGACTAAAGGTACATGTGACCACAGTTCTCTAATGATAAGGATGTCTGGAGCAGCTAATCTCTGGGAGTTTAGTTAAGTCAAAACCCTTATGTCAGGTCTGGGACTGCTAAATTAGACTGCAAGTCAGTATATTTTTCAGTAGGGAAGAAAAGCATCAAATCTTTAATCTAATAAACTTCATGATGAATATAGTGGATCATTTGTGTAAAATTAATAAAGTATCTTCGACTTAAGGTAGTGAAATTGGAAACAAAATGGAAACACAATGGCCTTAATACTTCCGAGCAATAATCACTGTTAATATTTAACCCTGACCTGTTATACACAGCCTGCTCTGCAAGCAGTCTGCTCCTCTATCAAATAAACAGTCACAGGTGAGGGCAATAAATGGCCAAGAGGGAGGAAGTGTGATGAAAAATTAATGCGTGCATCATCTTAGCTCAGAACATGCATAAGTTATAGATGTTTCTTTTGAAATTGTGCATAGCCTTCAAGTAACTGTCTTCTTGTGATAACTGGCAAGGTGTCTTGATAGCAGCCCTGTGTTGTCTTGCCCCACTCGTGTATAAAGCACCTGCTTTTGTCTCTTAGTCTGTAGACCAGGTAGAAGTCAAGAAATAGTTTTTGTCTTTTGTGACACATACATACACTTTCACAAGACCAGCCACATTCACATAGAATCTATTGTTATATACAGACTTTAAACTAATCTTACTTATGCTTTCAGAAACATAAGCATAAGCACCCCCACACAAATGAACGCTTTGGATGCTATTTTGATCTTTAGTTTCTTGTCCAAAGACAATGAAATATAGTCTGGAGAGGCCATGGGTAAGACCATATATTATCCGATTCAGAGAATTTTGCTATATTTCATTAGGACAAACTGATTTAATGTAAGCTCAAACTTCTGAAATAAAAGACGAACATATTGTGAAAATCTCAATTTAACATGTCATGAGAGCACTGTGAAAAAAACGACAACATGAAACTCACTGCAGCCAACTTGTCAAAACGAGCAAAGAGTTCATTGAGCAGTTTGACCAGCTCCTGGGCACTGCAAGACGACGACAGCTGGGTGAAGCCCACAATATCTGCAAACAAAATGCTACATTACAAGGAGACAAAAACAAGACAACAAATTAGTACACCGTACTTTCAGAAGGTTTAAACTAGCATCTTTCTAACACACTTTCACTCATCTGAGACTGTAACCTGCACCAGATTGTCATGCCATCATTCACCCTCACTTGTAATACGAACTTTGGAACATCAGTATAAATCAAAATGTTTAAACTTTATGATTACCCACTGCAGATTCTTAATAATGCACTTTTACATGTGCTTACAAAGGCTACTGTCAGATTGCAACTTTATTGCCATACAGGGACAACATGGAGTAACTGAATAACTGATTTTATATATATCATCTGTTTAATTAAAAAAAGGCTTTTGAGACACTGAGACAAACAGTTTAAATTTCTACTAAATGCTTGCTATTCCCCTTGTTATGACTTTAAATCTGTCACTTTAAAAAAGAAGGTGTCTATTGCTTGAACATTACATTACAGTACAAAAATAAAACAAAAGGACCTATTTTAAAGATAACAAAACTCATGGCCCACTTGACATGTTGGCTTCAACGTTGAACACAGGGAGGGAGCAGTGCAGTGTCATCCATCTTTTTAAATGTTTATAGTCAAAAATATTCCAAGGCTTTTCACAGTCATATTAGAAGCTATGATAATGCCCTCCACAGTAGCTATATAGCTATAAAAGGTCTTCATGGAGGGTCGAAAAAACAAAAACCTCAGCCCTCTCATAAAAACCAAATCATTCAGGTCTATGTTCCCTTTAGGTAATGATTCAATTCTCCCCAACTTATTTATTTCAGCTGACACAAGAGAGGAAAATGAGCTAAGCACTGCTGTAAACGTAAAAATATCAAGCCAGTGTCAGGGACTTTTACTTTTCTTGGTCTATGATTAGAGGTCACTCTAAAATGTATCTATAGGGGAATTCATAAAATGGTAAAAATATTTTTTCTTGTTGTAGCAAGGTTGTAACATGATGCAATACACATGGGAACTACTATCAAGACCAAAGCTCTACCATTCAATAAACCACATTTAATGGTTTGATTTTTATCATTAAAGTTTTCGTCTAAAGTCTAATAGGGATATCAATGTTTTGAATTTTTTGTGTTGGTTTCTAAATTAACATTTGGACGGTCAGGAAGTCGACACGGTCATTATTTTGGTGGGATGGTTGCAGCTAGGTATTTGAATCTCAGCCACAATGTATCAGTCCATAATTTATTAACACTATAAATCCAACTGGGAGATTTTCTGTGTGGAGTTTGCATGTTCTCCCTACACATCCATGGTGTTCTTCTTCAGGGAATTCTATGAGTTTTTCTTTGGGAATTCTTACCTCCCACCATTCAAAAACATGCATATCAAGTTAATTGATCAGTTTAAATTGATGCTTGAAAAGTGGTTTGAGAGTGACACCAAGGATTTGAACCGGGTATCCTCTTGTTGTGAGGCAACGGTGCAAACCATCCATAACAATCTAACAATATATCATTTAATGATTGAATCCGGGCGGTGTGGTTAGCATCATCACCTCACAGCAAGAGGGTTCTGGGTTTGAGTCCTGGGGAACCTGGACCTTTCTGTGTGGAGTTTGCATGTTCTCCCTTTGTGGGTTCTCTCCGGGTTCTCTGGCTTCCTCCCACCGTCCAAAAACCTGCATGTAAGGTTGATTGGACATTCCAAATTGCCCTTAGGTGTGAGTGTGAGTCTGTGTGGTTGTTTGTCCTTGTGTGTCTCTGTGTGGCCCTGTGATGGACTGGCGGACTGTCCAGAGTGTACCCCGCCTCTGGCCCATTGACCACTGGGATAAGCTCCAGTTCCCCCCGCAACCCCATTAGGGAATAAGTGGTTATGATAATGATTGGATGGATGATTCAGTCCATAGTCATCATTCTCAAATAAATATAAAGCTATATCTAAAACTGTTGGCCCATGGAGTAGATTTGACCATGACTGCTGGGTCTTTACTGCCTATGGTCTTTTGTTTAGAAAACTCAAATTTCCAAATTTCTTGTTAATCATTACAAAAGGCAAGAGTTAAACCATCATCTGATCTACTTTGATGCATGTTATACATCTGATGAAACTTGCATCATAAGAAAGTCTGATGTGGAAAACTTATTCTAATCTGTCCACATAAATTCGACAGCCGCATGCTCCCATCCTTGGAATGCATTCTGCAGCAGCAATCATTATCAGGTGTATTTTGGGAGTCCACAAGACAGTAAAGGTAGGCTAAAGATTTTTTTTAGGGGAGGAAAATGTGTTGCACCCACAGGAAATGACATGCCTGTGGAAAAGATTCTTGAGGTCATGTCTTTGTTCAACTTATGAATCACACTATAAAGGATACACCAACGGCAATTAAGGTAATGTTAACTTTAACTATCATTCGATTCAATTAAAATGTATTTAATTTGAATTTCCATTTAATTCACAGTACTTCAGACTTTGGCAGAGTTCCTTTATTTTAAAATGATAGGCATGTAATTTCTAATGGAGAGTTTTTATTAATGCCTCCCCCTCAGCTGTTTTCCATTACAAATGGGGTTCCAACAGAAAGGTTTGCCCCTTCATTCAATTTACTTTGACGCTCCTGACCGTCCTGATTGTGGCACATTGTATGTTTTCTTTTCCTCCAGAAATTCAGAAGCTTTTTAAATTCTTTCTAATTTTGTATCTTCGTTTACCGCCCCTTTTTTTTAGATATATATAAAAAAAAAAATTTAAATTAAAGTGGTGCATTAAAACATAATAACAGCACTCCCTTAAAAAAAAAGTGTTACAAAAAGTTAATTTATCTGCTTCCCATGTCATTCAGCCCATACCACCTCACAGACACCATGCAATTTGAGCTTTCAAAAGGCATATTGGTAACTTCATTACATTTTTTACTTTTCCACTTCATTCATACGTTAACTATGACTAAAGTGTCCCCAGCCACTGTAACATAGGCATTGTTTATGTGTCCTCCTGTCTTAATTCTAAGAATTGCAATGTCTGTTATTGCTGAGTACAGTACAGATTAAGTTTCTGTGGTAAGTGACTTTAACATTCATATAGATGTTTAAGAATGACAGCGTTAATATACTTTGATTCTGCATCAGATGCAATTAGATTTTCTCAAAATCCTCCCTGCCTTACTAAATTGTATAGTCTTGTTCATGTGTTGACTTATGGCATTTAGAGTGAACAATTAGCAGTGTTCCCTCAAAATCCTGTATTATCTAACTATTATCTAACTAAAACAAATCAACATTTGACATCACTTTACAGCACATCTGAGAAATATGCATTTATAGTATATATCTATCAAAGAAAAATCTGTAACCAGATTTGTGTAATTAATTCCATTTCTATTTCATTCTCTGAAAATACAACAGACAAAGCTACCAAAACTTTACTCTTGCAAAACCTGACTGTTTTGCCCACAACACTAAAGTTACAACAATCACTGGACAAAGTTCCCCCTCTAAAAAAGAAGGTAATCAGTTATACCAGGCTAACTAGCAAGGCTGACTAAAGAACAAAAAAGGAAAAAAAGAAAATAAGAATCACAACACAGTGTTAACTTTTTTTAACTGCAGACAGAGAACATATGTGCTGTTTTTGCTGATACTCAAAAAGTTAACATCAGATTTTAATATGCATCTGTAACTCCTTTACACTGATCAACTCTGTGATGAGTTCAACTTTTTGTGGAGTCTTTAGAACTCAATCAAGTTTCAAGGTTTAGCCCCCACTCTGAAAGGCACATTCCTGCTTACACATTTAAAATGTTTACTTGTCAAGACAAATGCCACTTGTAGTATAACTAATGTACCAGCTATTCTGGAAAAACTTGCAGAGTGAAACATCAAGTTACCTGACATTTTCATGCCTGTACATGTACATCGTGTTGAACTGCTGCATCTCCTTTTGACTGGGCTCCTTCTTCATATCCTGAAGCATCTCATCTGCTATGTGTTTTGGAAGAATGGAGAGCAGAAGACGCTCCTATGGAGGACAAATATAGACATCAAGAGAACATGACAAGTATTTAACAGATAGGAAATAGGCACCCTATTTACATTAAACCCTATTTATACTAAATCTAATTTGCTCTCAGTAAACAAGATCTCTGGTCTGACGCTCAGAGCTCAATCCCTAGGGGATGTCGTCAATAATGACTCTTGGCAAGCAAACATACACTAGCTGGGCAGATGACAAGTTGACCATGTCAAAAATTGGATTTCCCAAAGTTAAACATTGATTTGCCAAGAATGAGTGAAGTTTGTTTGTGTGGTTGCTTGGTTTTGAAATAGAGATTTATGTATCTGTTTCTGGTTTGTCTGCATCAGTGCACAATTTCATTACATTTAATAAAAATGTGTAAGGCTAAACACAAAAGCTCCATTTCCAGCAGACATGTGATTTGTTGACCTTTACTTCCCATAGCCCGTCACACAGTCTCTGTGTGCATTAAAATGGGGCGGGGCTTGTAGAAAGGGCTGTAGGGAAGTATGAGTTTTAAATAATAATATTAAAATTTGACAAAGGAGAAACAACAAATGGTTCAGCCAGTTGGTTCCTGTATCACAGCTAAGACTATATAAGTGGGCTGGCTGCCATGGTAACCGTCCGCGACCGGATGCCATTTCATTGGCTGGTGGTCATTGCCTTCCAGCAGCCTGCAGTCCTCCATTAGTATTCTGGGGGTTTCTTCCAGTCATGGTTTCATAATTCCTTTTGCTGTGCTTTTCATCACTATCGCCAATCACTTTACTGTCAACATATGCTTTCTCCATCTTTGTGTTGATTAAACAATCATTTAAACTGAGTAATGTTTTTAAGAAGAGGAAGAATAGAGACTGTTAAACAAACCAAGATTCACATATTCTAAGCGTTTTTAAAAGATGACTCATAGGTTTGGAATTGTCTTTGCTTTGGATCTCCACTCAATAATAATATTATTAAGGACAGCTGATCAAGATAAACACCCTGAAACAGGATGTTGGAAAAAGGTTTTTGGAATCAGAGGGGCTTCCAGCTGTACAGCAGTACTGTGGTTGATCGGCTTTGTTAAACTTATTATCAGGTTTTCATTTTTACATTGGTCCCTCTCACTGTCACAAAGCATGTGCTTGATGTTTACAGATAGCCTGAACCAATTTGGCTTTTCCATTAGTACCTATTCAGCCCCAGTCAGCTCTACTGACCTGGCAACAGATCAGACACATCCTCATGACCACAAGTACAATGGATTACATGTTTTATCCTGATCAGGTGTAGTTCTCTAATGGGAAAACCTGCATCTTGGGACACACATGTATTTCACTTTAAGACCTACCAAACATTTCTGCTAAGCAATCAACCGTTATGTTGACTGCCATGCAGCAGGGCAGCATCACTCTTCTAATGAGCAGCCTTCTGCAGGCAGAGCCGTGCAAATAGTTTAGGAACAGAATCAGAGCACACTTTAAAGGACAGGGGGTAATTTTGTTATGTCTGATTGGTTTGTGTCTCTCAATGCACAGAGATGCAAAGTTGAATTGTTATGTCAGAGCCTTGCCACACTGGCCACTGAATGAATATTACTAACTCCCACTGAACATGCGATTACTTTATAATTGATGTTGGTTAAAACTGAGCGTGTTCTCAGTCGTTTAGTTGGTAGGGTGCAACAAATTCAAAACAATAAAGAAACATATTGCCAAGGCTTGGAAAGCTCTGATGCATTTCTTCCCATGTTGCATTTGAACTGGAAACCATAACATGGTGTAAATATTTGTGGATCAGTGAACAGCACAACACTTTTTAAAAAATCCTAATTTTGAATTCATTTAGGTGAAATCCTGAAATTGTATATTTCCTCCACGGGCTTCTTGAATTGAGATTTCAGTTAACCCTGAAAAAATATGGACGAAAATGTCCTTTAGCCTTGCTTAATAGGTCCACTGACCTGTTGCTGGCTCTGCTCCTCCAGGTTAAGTTTAACCTCCAATGACTGTCTTGCTTCCAGAAAGGCTTTCCGATGCTTCCGATCTGCCATGTAGTACGACATGACACCCACAGTGATGGCACAAACGTAGATTATAATATTGGCCAGGAGCTTAAGCAGACAAAAGAGAAGACAAGAAAAAGCTATTGACTGTAGTCAACATAATATTTCAATGCAACAAAAAAGCACAATTAAAAGCTCTCGAGTCATTGTACTGTCCAGATGGGCATGTACAATCATTATTTTCAGCTCACTTTCTAAACAGCATTTGTTATAATGTACCTAGATCTTGTCTGTTGTTCTAATTTCAAGATGTTTTTGTTCCCAAATAACACTCATTATAATATCTGATTTAGAATGTTTTAAAATGCTCACAAACATGTCATTTGCCAGGAAAATAAGATAATTATCCATCAGTTGAATAGACAATGCATGTTTAATAGAGTTAACTAGAAATTCTTAATACACTAAAGAGAGCTATTTTTGTGCCGACGCGATTTGGTGATTGTGGTGGAAAACTATATCAGCTTTGACAAGGATTTAAAGTTTAAGCAGTTCTGAACCAGTTGAGTCAGTATATTAAAAAAAAGTTGTGACCCGGAACATGAATGACTGCATCACGAAGTTCACTCCCCCAGATATCGCAAGTCAAAATTAGCCTTGGCATCAGGATGAAAACTTTTTTTCCCCCACCGTCTTTACATTACGAATCCATATTTTTTTTGTTGTAAAATGTTGCGTATCATATACAGGGAAAAATGTAACTATGGTGTAATGTTTTAAGGAGGCATGGACACAAGGAAAAATCTTGTTGTGGACTTCCGGTGATGCCATACTGGAGACAGTAGCTCAATACAGTGCTCCGCAGGTTAACTGTTAATTTCCTAAAAAAACTACTTAAAACTCGGCAAATTTAGACAAACTCAACATGGCAAGTTCTGTGAGAGGCAAAGGCTCAAAAAAGGAACACACGGATGACAAAAACGAAAATTTGAGGCAACTAACTTTAAGGCAGTCTCCGAGTGGCGCAGCAAGTGATACCCCTGCAACTATAAGTCTAAAATACTAACTGATTTGGAGAAATTAAGGGAAGAAAATTGAGACGGATGTCAGAGCTTTCCTCAGTGGAAATAAATGATGCAGAGTTTCACTATGGAGTTCAACACAACCCAGGTTCCACCAGGGACAGGTTCATGTTCAGGTTTGAAGTAGATGAACAACTAAATGTCACAGAGGAACCCAGTAGGGTATTTGGAAGTTAGCTATAAGGCCACTTGTTTTAAGTTGCCTTGAGTTTGAACATGGGTCACTGTCAATATGCACAATTTCAGTTTTCTCTGATTTAAGTTGTATTTGTAAAATACTGAAAGAAGAGTATACTAAAAATAACAAATTACTAATTCATGGATAGTTTAAACTTTATCAGCTATAATGTAAAGGGTATAAATAGTTCAATTAAGAGAAAATAAATATTCAACCAAAAAACTACATTGGTCTACAGCAATGCTACAACAGACTCATCCGACAGAAAAAAAACATTTAAAACTGAGGAAAGAATGGGTGGATCAGATAAATAGTTCCTCCTTCAAAAACGTGAGGAAAAGAGGAGTTGCTATCTTGCTAAATAAATCAGTTTATTTTGGCCATGAAAAAACAATTGAGGACAAAGACGGTAGATATTTTATAGTAATAGGTAGTACTGTTGGGGGTTATAAAGTTACACTAGTTAATCTCTCTTCTTTAAGATGATAGCATCTTTATTAGCAGAGAAAGCAGAGGGAATTAGTTTAATAGGTGGAGACTTCAACTGTGTTTTGAGTGTGGACAGGCTTCCAGCAGGAGTAGCCCCTATATCCAAGAAATCAATAATTCTTCATGCAATGATGGATGAACTGACCCTGGTGGATGTCATGTCACATGTACATGGCAGCCACTCTAGACTGGACATGTTTGTGATATCAGAAACAGACATGTACAGAACTAGTGAATGTAACATAGAACCAATTACTATATCAGACCATGATCCTGTAATGGTAAAGATACAGATAGGACCGAACAAACAGTTTAAATACTGGAGAATCAATGTATCACTAATAAACGACGAAGCAATTCTTCAAGAAATCGGTGAAAACATAACAGATTACTTGAAATCTAATGATAATGAAACAGTCTCCCCCTCTACTCTATGGGAGGCAGCCAAAGCGGTGTTGAGGGGCAACGTAATTGTTATTTCATCCAGATCAAAAAAACAAAGACTAGCTCAGCAGGTTGAATCAGAGATGCAAATTAAGAATCTAGAGGCCCAGAATCAACAATTAAAAAAAAAAGTTCTGTCATTATCAAAAGAAAAGAGACAGCAATTGGATGACCTATTAACCTACGAAACAGAAGGAGCTCTGCGGTCTATTAGCAGGAAGTACCACGAATTTGGCAACAGAGCAAGCTGCCTACTGGCCTTCCAGTTGCGTAAAGCTCAATCTGACAGAGTAGCGCATAAAATAAAATGCCCAAATTACAACCAGATGTTAACCGCACCAAAGGATATCTCTAAGTCATTTGATACCTATTACCAAAAGTTTCCAGGGGTTGATGGTCTTCCGAGAGAATATCATAAAACCTGGAAAAATTAATTAACTTTAGTTTGGTGTAGAGTCTATAACTACATCCTAACAGAAGGATACCCCTCCAGGTCATGGTCAGATTCAGTGATAAGTGTTATTCATAGACAATAAAGATCCGACTTTATGTACATCTTATCGCCCTATCAGCCTCCTATGTGTAGATCTTAAAATCTTGACTTCTATTATAGCAAATAGAATACAAAAATACATTACAAAACGTATTAAGCCAGACCAGACCTGTTTCATTAACAATAAACAGGGAACTGATAATGTTGGAAAAGCCCTGAACTTGCAGTTTCTTGCAGCCAAGAAGGACACCCCGGCAATGCTTCTCAGCTTAGACACTGGGAAGGTATTCGAAAGGGTTGACTGGACCTTCTTAGAACAGACCCTAAGCAAAATGGGCTTCAATGATATCTTTGTGAGGTGAATTAAAACTTTTTATAAAAACCCAAGATCCAGATTTAGAGTAAACGGGCACTGCTCGGAATTCTTCCCGCTGGGACGTGGCACTCGTCAAGGAGATGCATTGTCATTATCAGCATTGAACCTTTAACCGAACTGATAAGATCTGATCCTCTCATACAGGGAATTTGTGATGAAGGAAATACCCAACATAAACTGGCACTTTTTGCCGATAATATATTAACACTTCTGGAAAATCCTATTATCTCTGTCCCCGCTCTCCTACATGACATTAATGAATACAGTAAAGTGTCTGGCTATAAAGTTAATACAAACAAATCTGAAGCCATAATGATTGTTGGGGACTGGCCCTCCCAGTTCGACGATCTGGTCTTTTTTAGAATATCCAAGCACGGATTTAGATATATATTGGTGTTTTTCTCACACCTAAAACCACAAAAATGACTTAAATAGATGGGATATACTTCCCCTGCCACTCTTTGGCAGAATAGAGTCTGTGAGAATGAATATTCTACCAGGACTACTATTTCTATTTCAGTCCCTACATATCTTAGTACCACAATCTGTATTGAAGTTATTCTAAAAATTGATATAAAAATTCCTCTGGCAAAACCAAAGACCAATAATACGGTTGAAACGTACTGATGCCAGCAAAAGAGAAAGGAAGTTGAACATACCCAATTTAAAATGTTACTACTGGGCAGCATAGGTGGTTGGGGACTTAGAGAGTAGATGGGTCTCTATTGAACAAACCGCTATTCAAGGGGTACCGTTGTCTAGTCTTCCATTTCTTAGCAGGCAATCTCAGAAAAAAACTTAAAATCAATCATTTATGGATTGTAAACACATTGAAGGTCTGGAATTTAGTTAAAAAACAAGTTAAGGGAGCTCTAACCCTGTCACTGGCTATGCCTATTGCAGGGAATATAGAGTTTTTACCATCTGTGTATGACAGGGCTTATAAAGGATGGGCAGAGAAGGGTCTGATAATAATAAATCGACTCATGGATGGACAGGTATTTAAATCTTTTTCACAACTTAGAGACAAATTTGACTTACCTTCAAGTGATCTATAAAAATACTTACAAATTCGACATTACGACAGAAAAAATACAGACTGGGAAAATAAATATGAACCTACAAATTTAGAAAGTTATCTCATAGACTTGTTTGAACAACGTTCTTTAACACAAAAACGAATATCCCACATGTACAAAAAATTAATGATGTATATATCAGACAATACACTACATATCAAGCAACAATGGGAATTGGAGCTGAATGTAATAATAGATGATGACTCTTGGGAAAACATATGTTCCATAAGCCACAAGGGGGTTGGGAGCCATTTATAAAAAGAATTTGACTGGAAGTTCAAAATTAGATTCTTCAGGACAACTTTTGTTTCCAAGAACAATCCCATCAACAAATGCTGGAGGAACTGTGGTATGGTCGGTAACCATACTCATATATTTTGGAATTGCCCGAAATTGCAAACATTTTGGAAAAATGTCAAAAAAAGGACTGGAAAAAGTTTTGGCAGTGGACCTTCCTATGGACCCTTTGTTATTTTTATTGGATGTGTTTCCTGACCACCTGTTTACCACAGAACACTGTTATATATTACATATTCTGTTGATGATTGCAAGAAAAAATATTACTATTAATTGGATGAAGACTGACCCTCCCACGATCTCTCAGTGGTTTCAGAAAGTAAAACATGTTTACACAATGGAATATATGACTGCCCAATTACAGCTAAAAGTACCTGTTTTTATGAGAAGGTGGACCCCAGTTACTGAATATCTGTCTTAGGACTCCTATACACGTATACTATATCCATTTATTATTATCATCACTATTATTATAATGATGGCTTCTTTAAATCTAAAATATCAATTTTTTGGATTACAGAACTTGATAAAATATGTGCTATACCCTTTACAGTGTTACTCTTGTGTGACAGATTTTTTTTTAATGTGTGTCTGTTTTGCTCTGTTTTTCTTTGTGATGCGAATTGCCTGTTAATTTGCATTTAAGTCAATGAAGTAAAAAAAACAAAAATAAATGTTTGTAAGACCACTAAAAAACCACTGTAAAGGAAGCAAAATGTTGCCATCAAGCCAATAATTTTTCAGAATACTCCAATCTAATGTCATGCACATAACATTCATAACAACCTGAGTACTGCTTCAGTTGATATTACAAGGGATTCTTTAAAATAAGACTTTCTAGAATCGAGAGAAACTGTACTTTTTAAAAGGAAACATTTGACTGTAACGGCCTCATCTAACTGGTTCACCTCTGTGACACAACAACAACCAGTCCATATCTGACTTCGCCTCTAACACAATGACAGCCGGGCGAGGCTCCATTCCCCCTTTGGCGTTAACGAGGAATAAACAAGTATCGAAAATGGATGGATAGATGTAACTGCCTCGGATAACTCAGCCCTAAGTTGCAAGTTGGAACTAGAATGTCATCTTTTGAGGAGCATGAGTTTGTGAAGTTAAACTTTAGCTTTGAGGGAGAGGGAGCAGATGGAGGAGGGAAATGGAAGAAAAAATTAACTTTACAGAAAATCTTAGAATATAGCTGCCAGGTAATTCATATATTAAAGTTACACATCCATTGAAGAACAAGAGAAGTTTCTCTGGAACTGTGTGTAGGACATACTAGTTAAAAACTGAAAACAATGCTGAAAAGTGTTGGATGGAATCTAGTTTAGTGAGTTTTGTACATTGATATATTACATATAAATAATTGCTTCAATTCTTAAACGTATAGAAACTAAACTTGCAGTGGACAAAAAAAAAACATTTCCTCCCCTGTAAGTTTTACCTGTCTTGTAAGGGCTGCCCCTCGAATGTCCTCTTGCTGATGTTGGGCGATGGTGACCCCCAGAGCCAGAGTGTGAACCCCACAGGAAACCGTGGTGATGAGAACAATAGGAGTCAGCCTCAAGGGCAGAGTCAGGAAAAACGAAAAGCTGAAGAAGGCCTGCCAACCCACTGTGTCACTGGCCTGATGGAAGCGAGAGTAGTTCAGGCCCAGGTAGCAGAATATCTGAGCTGCTATGAGGACCCAGAGCGCGTAGGGCACCACCCGTCTGGAGATGCGGTCTGGAAGAAGCCCGAAGCGGCACAGCAGGTAAAGGACAATATCCCCCACCAAGCCCACTGATGCCACTAAAACAGAAGCCAGCTTGTCAGTGGTGTAGACCAAAGTACACATAACAATAATGTAGCTGTTGAAAAGGGCGGCGAAAACAACAAGCACCAGCAGGGTTTCATGCCTCTGCCGTCTGACGTAGGTCTGGTAGAGGTTCTCCAGAGACTCGGGGGCAAAGGTAAGGCGCATAAACCGTGGAAGGCAAAGGCAGCATCCTGAGTTTCTCACTGTGACCTCATGAGTTCGTCCCACTGCTTGCCCTGGATCAGAAGGTAGCGTAACCGAGCAGTCTGCCGAGTACTCGGCGGAGTACTCCGGCTCTGAAAAAGCGCGATTCCGGGGCATGGTTAAACCTCGGCGTCCTGGAAAAAAAACTGAAAAGCGCTTTGTTGTGCTGCTTTTAAAAAATCAAATCTCAAGACAACATTCGAGTGTTTGGTGTCTGCTGGTTTCTCCAATGACGAATAACCACCGTTTTCCCCTGAGAGCCCACACGTGTGGCATGAGTCAAAACAGAGTGCTGACTGTCCTGTGCGCCAGAAATGTATTCTTACATCACTGGACCCGTGGTCACTGTGTCCAATATTGTCCTTTGATGCTGTGTCACATCGGCAGACTGAGTATCTTCACTCCTCGTCATGATCCAAATACTGTCCATTTCCTGCATTTCCATTCAACTTTGCCAACATGCATTTGTATTCCAAACTTTATAGAAAATTAGAGCAGTGCACATTGATCAAATATCAGATCATTTAACTTTGTGGTGGTAAGACTTCTTCTGATTGCATCATTGTAGCTTTTTGAATTCCAGGCTTCCTTGACTCCATTTCACTGGGCCTGAATAAAGATGGACACAAACACAGATATTTACTATAGCCTCACATTTGAAGCAACTGTTTGGCACATAACAAAACCTGATGATTATAGCAAAGTACATTTGCACATTTTTCTACTTGGCTGCTAGGTTTCCCTCAGTAGAGACCATTTCAACATCCTCATACAATTGTAGTTTGATTTAACAGGTTTTCTATTTATGGCAGAAAACTGAAACATCTCCGTTCTATCTGCATCCACATATCTTGAAATAGAAAATGACCACATTTCCCCATCCCTCTTTTTTTTCTTTCTCAAGTACCATTAAAAACGGTCCTTGTTGCACCACGTCGCGCGTGATATCCCTTCACCTGCTAAAATGGAAACGTACATCGTCGCCCAGATCATCCAGATGCTGTGAAAATCCATACGGCTACATAATGTGTACCGTTCCAGCCGCTTACCGTGTTTAGTGCCAAATTTCGTCTTCATTGGTCGCTATCGTTATTACCCTTCGAATGGTTGTGGCTGTCAATTGCTTCAATTAAACAGAAGCTCGCGCACGTTCAGGCTCTCACGGAGAGCGCGAAAATAAAAACATGGAAGAGAGAGAAATGCCAGAGAGACAAGTGGAGATGAGGGGAGAAGAACGCAGAAAATCCCAGCGATGAATTATAACAGCCCAGCGTCTGAGATTTTTCTTTTTCTTTTTTTTTTTCTTTCGGTATTGTCAAGTTTTTCGCACTGGAGCACTGGAGGCAAGACTTCCGGTGAGTTTCACGATAAAACTCGAAGAATACACATAAGCAATTCAACATCAAATATGTTATATACACACATACATACACGCACACACATACGTATGTACATATATATATATATGGTGGGGGAAATAATTATTTGACCCCTTGCTGATTTTGCCGGTTTGCCCACTTACAAAGAATGCAACGATATATAACTTTAATCATATGTACATTCTAACAGTGAAAGACAGAATCCCAAGGAAAATTCCAGAAAATCACATCATATGAATTTATTAAAATTGATAACCATCTGATGAGGAAAAATAAGCATTCTTTGTAAGTGGGCAAACCTGCAAAATCAGCAAGGGGTCATATACTTATTTCCCCCACTGTAGATAGATAGATAGATAGATAGATAGATAGATAGATAGATAGATAG